GTTTGCGAAATATTGAACTTTAAAGTGCAAATTTTTGTTCGAGTAGGGCGCCCCCCCCCCCCCCCCCCCCTCTAAAAGCTATTGGCTTGAAAAACCTGAAAAAAGTCATGAGAAGTCAAATAAGATAGTGCTTTTCATAACCTTTTAAGGAGAACTATAACGATAAAGATAGATTTGTTAATCTAAGAGTATTGTCGTTCTACTTTGGTTAAAGAAATTTTCTTACCTATTGAAAATTCAGAAGAAAACATTAATAGTGACATAGATGAAGTTATTGTAGCGTAAAACCTTGCATTGCAAAAAATTAAAAAAAAAACTAAAAAGCTATTTTAAAACCACAATAAAATATCATTAGGTCCACAACGCTACCGCGAGTACCAACGGCAACGACTCCTGAGTCGCGCTAACGTAACGTTTTTATAAAAAGTATGTAAGCAATTGAAAAGATCGGCGGTTATACCCCATTCTCAAGGGATGATCGCATCAGATGAAGCTTTTAGTCAGTAAGAGTCTAACATAACCTTGCAGCCGGCTGTAGGGTATTCATGAGGATTTCACAACCGCTCCCCCGCTTGGGAGGAAACAATAAAAGAATTTGCGGTTACCATTCGTATTAAAAAAAAAATTAATTGATTTTGAGTTTGAGACGCAGTTTGACTTGGATTAAGGTATTTTATATTAAGTTGAGATACATTGATTTATCTTGATTGGTTTTCTAATTCCCTATATAGAAAATAAACACTCCTGCTCAAATATATTGTGGTAACTACAGACAACTACGGAACCCTATACTGCGCGTGGCACGACACGTACTTGGCCGGTTGCCAATATTCTTTAAATTAAAAGTACTTAACAGCTACTTTGGACAGCCCAAAAATTTTTGGAACGAAGTTAGACGGTTCACCCACATCAGCGCGCTACGTCGCGTAGTGCGGAGCGCTAGATTACGCGCACGTGATCCGCGCTACGGTCAGTACCCTTAGTACGAGTTTTACAATAACGAAAACTATGATAGTTTTCGTGAGTTCGCACTTGTACTAAGGCTACTAATTTTATTGTTTTCATTTCAATACAAATAAACACTGTTTAAATTTTATCATTAAATCATTTGCGTCTTCTTAAATTTCAAGTACATTTGGTTAGTTTTCACCAAAATGGATATAGAAACATAATTTACAATTACGAAAACTATGATAGTTTTCGTGAGCACAAACTTGTACTAAGGGTACAGGACGCGTTGCCAGTAAGCGAACGCGTGCTATACTGCGGCGCAGTGTGTGGTAGGTCGTGGGATTTCTATACGAACTGAGATTCTTGCATATTGCGTTGCGTAGCGCGCTGCAGTGGGTGAACCGCCTAAGGACCGTTTGGCGGATAGAGGGTAGGCGAAAAAAAAATTTTTTTCCGTCACTACCTAGCGAGGCTGCTAGGTGGGTGGCCACTGACGGTGGTGGCTGTCGACTTGGTTTAAAGTATTGTTTAACAATTTGACGGAATCGGGGGTTCGGGCCACGACCTACCACGCTAGGACAAACACAGTTGTTTGCTATACTAATATTATAAAATGGAAAGATTTGTTTGTTTATTTGTATTGAATAGGCTCCTAAACTACTAAACCGATTTGAAAAAATCTTTCACGTTTAGAATCCTACATTATCCCTGATGAACACGGGCTATAGAGTATTTTCAAAATTACTTAGGCTTAGGTTAGGGTTCCGTATGAAAACTCAAACTCAAACTCTTTATTTGCAAACTAAGTGTTACATAAGTTCTTCGATAATGTAAGAAACAATTCCGCCATACATGATTTTCGTGTAACTTTAATCATTTACGCAGCACACGCAACGGAAGCTCGCAAATGATATATTTTTATCCGTTTTTGCAACAGTTTACATCGATGATCCACTCCTACTGATCGCAGCGTGATGTTATATAGTCTTAAAGCCATTCTCAAATAATTCACTATCTAACACAAAAAGTATTTTTCAAATCGGACCATTAGTTCCTGAGATATGCGCGTTCAAAATGGTGCATTCGGTACAACGGGTCCTCAAATACGCAACAAAATTTTCACTATCATTTAAATACATTCGGTTGAAATTATGTAAAGAAATTCATTGTGTATAATACAAGCCTTAGAAAAAAAACTATAATCTACACTACAGCTCTACACCGAAGCGAAGCGAGGGCGGGCCACTTGTATGGAATAAGAATATAAAAAAAATGGAAAGGGGAGGGATCTACACTGAGCCCAATGACTCGCGACGCGGGCCCAATGTGGATTGCTGGGTGGTATATAAAAACTTTAGCACTCACGCAATTTTTTTGCCTACTCAGAGCTTCCTATAGCTGTGGAGTTTGGTTTGCCACGTGACGGTTAAGCAACTTTCGCCATGTCTGATTATATGATGGGCGACCGAAACTGTCCTCACGTGGACTGGACTGGATCATGGCCCAATCTGCCCATACCGTCTATAGGGTAGGCTTGTGCCCAACAATAGGGGCATTAAAGGCTGGTAATGATGAATACATCCCCTGGTTATGTGCACTTTGATATCCAATCCAGCCACCACAACGCACGACGGCATAAACCATTTACTTATACCAATATACGTGTGGTTTTCACTGCCTTGTTTTTGAATCCGCCAGTTGCGAACTGGTAAAATCCGCAACAACCTTATGCAATTTTTTGTTTCATCGATTTTTCTAAATATAACATCGCACATGCACCGACAGTTCACCGGAACTACAATTTTAATGCTTCGCCTCGTAAACCAGCACCCGTGTTGAGATACCTTGTATGTAGGAAAAAGTACAAAGTTACACACTGTGTAAAATAAAAGATGTATTTGTATATACGAAGTAGTGATGTAACGAATATTCGCATATTTTTGAATATTCGCATTCACATTCGCATTCGCATAATCTCTGCGAATGTTTTGTGAATATGAATATTAGAAAGAAACAATTTGAAGAAGTTGTAGTTCTGCCTTTCCTTGAATATTCATTGTTACACAGTTTGCATTTAGCTCGTTCAGCATCGCAAAGTGTGAAATAAGTCCATGTTTCACTAGAATTCGATTTACTCATGTTAATAAATCACTATTGCCACTCACAATCACTACCTCAAAATTCACTTGTTTTGTTTACGGAAAGACCGGTGCGAGCGGAATGACATTCAGGCGGATGAGTTCATATCAACTCGGCAATTCGAACGAAACTGCCACCATGCCATAGATAATTGGCGCCAATTTAAAAATAAATAAATATTTGCATTCGCATTCGCGAATGTTCAAAAAATGACATTCGTTACATCACTAATACGAAGCGAGCCTCTCTCGAGGCGGAATGGGAAAAGATGTTTTTAGTATTGTGTGTCTATTCTACTTCCAAGAAAGGATTAAATGGCGCCGGCATAATGCGTCCGAAGCCTTTTAGTTTAGATGGTAATGCGGGTTTCTATCTCCCGATGGTGGAGTAATAAATCTGGCGAGTGTGGTCTGCGAGCCGCGGGCTAAGCGGCCACTTCTGCCACTACCAATAAAATGTTTACTCCACAATTTATATACGTTGCAACACTATAATCTATACTTATAATAAATCTGTAGAGAGGTCAATTCTGTACATGAAATATATTTTCAAAATAACTATCAGGGGGTGATTAGTGATCGATACTGATGCCAAAAATGCAATCAGTAAAATTTTTGTCTGTCTGTCTGTGTGTATGTTCCTTATAGAAACAAAAACTACTCGACGGATTTTAACGAAACTTGGTACAATTATTCTTCATACTCCTGGGCAGGTTATAGTATACTTTTCATCACGCTACAATCAATAGCAGCAGAGTAGTGAAGGGAAATGTTGGGAAAACGGGAGAAGTTACTCCATTTTTTAAGCTTCCATCGCGTGTGCAGCCTTAATGGTTAAAGTTACATAGAAATCATGTATGACAAAAATATTCTACATAAAATTGTCTAAAAAATATCCCGCAACAGCATATGTCTATCTTTTATGGTTGACTCACAATAACACGTGTAATTATATAAATAAAGTCATTGTTTATAGCACAAGCCTGAGAACAAAAACTATAGTTTACACTACAGCTCTACACCGAAGCGAAGCCAGGGCGGGCCACTAGTGTACCATAAAACCAGCTCATATACTTCGTAAAATTAATGCGGCTCGCAGCAGGCCGATTTGAACGATCTAGAAACAGAATTGAAAATTTTCTCACCCATAAAGTTTGAAAACAGCCAATCTGTCTTACATTATAATCTATCAATCTTTTTAAAGGTACGTTGCCACGATACGGGTTTCCAAACGTATGAGAACTCGTAACGTTTGAGTTTTAGCCGTCTTTATACACGATACGAGGTAAATAGAAATCTCGTGCATTTTGTGATGTCGTAATGAAGCTGTACTTACTTAGTCGATCCTTTGTGGAATGGACATTTTATTACATTCTGACAATATTTATGGTTTGTGTACATGAGACAAACAGTCAACATTGTTCAAATCTCACATCAAAGTGAACGAGATTACTGTTTACCGCGTTTCATCTAAAGGGACTGCTAAAACTCAAACGTTAGATTTCTCATACGTTTGGAAACTTTGCTCGTCGCGCACCTTAATAATTTAATCACGGTTCGCGCGGCTATAATTACATTCCTATCTGGCTTCTTCTAAATAGACGCAGGTAAAATTTCTTTCACGTCAAAAGTTCGTCCTTCGGATGAAGCCGTCTGTCAATACTCAATATTATATTAAGGATGGGCGCGCCGGAGACGACCTTCGGGCTCGCCTCCGCGCCGCCCTCAGGCGCGTCGCTCGTAAAAAAATATAAACTTCGTCGGACGGGGGGGTCTCCGATGCGGGTTTAAAATCTTTTCATTTTGTATAGGTGAGCAAAATTTTGGCAAAAATCGGATGCATAGGAGCCTCTGTTTTGGGGGATCAGGAAGGCTGCGGCGGCATCGGTTGTGGAAGGTTACGGCGGGGCGGGCGACGTGCGCATAGGGCGGGCGGGGCGGCGGGGCGGGCGGGCCGGCGGCGCGGCTGCGCGGAGGGCGGGCCATGCGCGGCGGCGCTGGCCGGTGACGCAGTGTGACGTCAGCGCGGCGCCGGCTCGATACGCCGCGGTCCGTCGTCCGTCGTCCGTCGTCAGTCGCCGCCCGCTCCAGGCCACCGAGCGTCGCGCACTCGCGACATACCCGTCCGCGCGTTCTCTCTCATACCGGGTTTTAGTTTCGAACCACGATGACATAGCCCTAGTGCCGTGCGACGAGACTACGTGAAAGCGCACACACATTTTTAAGTTTTTCCGTTGGAACGAGGAAACCTCAAAGGTCCCCGTTGTTGCAGAACTAGCGACGACCCACCCCATTCCGTTGAGGGACAGAGGCGAGACCGAGAGGCGGCTCACACCTTTTTTGTCCGCCTTTTTATAAAGACTAACGAAAAATGGGCGAGGTGAGTGCGGTGCTTGCAGTAGTGCTTGCCCTTAGCGTTTGCAGCAGCGAGCCCCGTGCGGGCGCCGAGTGCTTTCGTGAGGTGTGAGTGCATGTCGAGGAAGTGACAGTGAAGCCGCCGCAGCGGGTGCCGCTCTGCGCCCGCGCTGCCGCTGCTGCCGCAGCCACCGGCTGCACGCAGGACTCCATTTGCACGTTCCGCTCTTTGTTTCGCCACCGCAATCGATGTGCAGCGTTAGTTTGCGCACCTACCCCTCGCCGTGATCAAAGATATCATCTCATTGTCTGCTAACGCGTTTTCCGTAGATCATCTTTCGTTTAGTGCACTTTTTCTTATTTCCAGTTTATGTTTAATCCGTATTCATAATGAGCGAGTAGTGTCATTAGTACCTGATCTTTATGATTTAGTGACCAATGAAAATGTCATGATGTAGAAGAGACGGCGCCGGCGGGGTTGCGTAACTTGTTAGTATCGATCTGTGCGGGACCGACATTCTGCTTTCACATGTCTAACAAAGTCCTGCCTTGCCATTGCAAATGGTAAAAAAAATACCTTCGCGGTAGTTTTATGTTTTAGAAAAAAGACGAAGAAATGCCTTGTTATCTCGCTAGAACAAAAACTAATTCCCAGATTTTCTTTGTTTTCATTAAGTATATTATCGAACTCAAAACATTTTCTGACAATCTGTGTAAAATCCGACACTTTTAATAGAAAAGTAATCTTTTCAAACTCCCTCGTGATCCGGAGTGACCACCTGAATTGTTCACTTCGTTGATTGATAGTTTATTATATTTGTAGAAGTAAGAACCAAATCTTGTAAAAAATATGACATCTACTAACTTATTGTTTCGAAATAAGATTTCTATTCCACGAAGATTCCGTATATCACATCACACTAATATTATAAAGGCGAAAGTTTGTGAGTGTGTATGTTTGTTACTTCATCACGTCTAAACGGCTGGAGCGATTTTAATAAAATTTGGTATGGAGTTAGCTGACACCCTGGATTAACACATAGGCTACGTTTTACTGCGGGGAAAATATCCCTAATAAACCGCGGGTAGTACCGCGGGGCACAGCTAGTCTATCATAAAATTTCTTGCTTCAAAATCAACACCAGTATACTTAGCCTATTCTATTATCCTGGACGAGTGTAACAATGTCCTCTTTAATATTAAGTGGCAATAATTCTGCCGTGAATCATTGCTGCAAATTCTCAGAGCTCATGCCTTTTCCAGCGCGAGAGGTAGCTGGTAGGCCGGCGGTCGTTTAAGAAGATTCGCTAGGTGCTCCGAAGGAAGTAGCTAACAGGTTGCGGGAGCCGCCGAGCTGCTTCGGCCCGAGAACTATAAGCCCGAAGGTTTATTAGAAAATTGCCTCGTCATTATGTCATTTAAATCGCATAGAGTACTGGAGCTCTATTGGAGTATTTCCTTTATCCTTTGTGACGGCAGCGTGCATCAATTAGGATGCTAAAGACACGGTCACTAGGAAGTTTCCCGAAGCTGCAGTTAATTTTTCACACGCACAATTTGTCTTGAGGCGGTTAAAAATTTACACAAGCCCAAGTTGTGCTCTCATTAGTGGAGATCTAATAGGCTTTATACTGATAATGGAAGGATATTTATGCGAAGGCAATATTGTTCTAGATGTAATAATTATATTTCTTATAAAGTTAGGAAAACAAATCTTGTTATTAATCTAATTCATTAAATCAACCTGTCTCCGAAACAGCTAACTATATGGATTTTGTCAGTCTACTCATATAAGCAGTGGCTATTTCTTGTAAAACTGATAACCATGCAAGTCCATTACAATAATAATACGAGACAATATAAGACAATGCAATTTTGAAACCATAAACTGAAAGGATTTTAAGACGATTATACATAATTTCTTTTAGTTAAAATTTCTCCTGAATTGGTCATAAAAAGCACATTAAAAGTGTTAATAAATAGAAACCATTCTCGAAGAAAGAGCTTAGCACTCATGTCAAAAAGGATTTACCAACGTTAAAGTGAACACTGGAAGATTACATCCAATCAATTATCAACACAAAAGACCTCTCACGCCCTTAAGTGATTGGAGTGTTAGATTTTTATAAAAAAACGTGATCAAGCATTTATAAATCCAGCGAAATTTATTTTACAATGTTCATTCGTCTTTTTAGGTATTCAAAATAATTACAAAGTTTTTATCTTCACTACAGTGAAAATCATCTTAGACAAATATAATGTCTCAAAATTTACCCACAAATCGCAATAGGAATTTGTTCTGTCTAAAAGCAAGTCTTCCAAGATTCGACGTGTAGCAGACTAAGAAACGTAATCGTCAAAAATATTGATATTGGTAATTGGCTTTTATGTTCCATTTAGCTAAATTTCTTATCTATCAGTCAGTATTCTTAAATCTAAAGAAAATTTTACTGGAAATAAATCCAAGCGGTCCAGGCATCAGAAGGAATTCGGACCCGAACCTTCCGCAATCAGAATTTTTATTTAAATTTATAGATCTAATAGTTAAATACTTAAAATTCAAAATATAATAAACTATCAGTTTTCTTGTTGATGGAATTCATGCTCACAATTAAATAATAATATAAAGATTACTTTAAGTAGAAATAAAATCTAATGCGTTCGCTTTTTCCACGTGGACTGCTTCTAATTATTATTTCGCAGAACCGTCCCTACGATATTTTTAGAGCAGTATCTACGGTAGTTAGATTTACATGAGTAAATACGGTACGAGTTAATTAAACTTTAGTTTTAGCACGGTAGCATTTTGAATAAATTGATAAACAACAAACAAGTCGAAATTTGGAATCATTGCTTTGATTTTAAGGGTAAGATTGTGACTGTGGCCTGTTTCGTCAGATAAATTTTATACCATTCAATTTTTTCTCTATTATTTTATGTTCTCCGATAATGTGTTTTACATCTGCCATACATTGCAATCTTTATTCAGCTAATAGAATAGAATCCATTATGTACTTTGTTGATTGCAACGTCCATGACTATCCTTGAGTCTGATTGTCACATGCGTAACATAGCCGTCTATTTGCAAACTGGGTCACACATTCATGGGAAACAATTATGTTCTATGCTTGTAAAATTTACCCCTTTTTACAAACCACAGTTTCTTTCTTAACATTTTGACATGACCTTTTCAAAGAGCATGGTTATCTAATTAGCAATGTTCTTTATAGGTCTCCTCTTGAACTTAATTTATAAAGACACAATTATCTAGAATTCAAAATGTTATGTTAACATCTTATAAAAGGTTATCTTAATTATGTTGTTACCGATTTATTATTTTAGTTTGACCAGTTTATTTTTATGTTTCAATACACCTTTGTCGCTACTTTCTTTGGACTAACATTGATTACAAATATTAAACATATAATTTGATCGCAAATTCGTTTCATAAGTAGTTATTTTTTGTATGCAATTAGATCAGATTCAGAAATAGGTTTCGGTACCAAATATTTCTAAACTGGAAGACTACTGGTCTAATTGTTTCGAAAGAACATCTCGACAGCTGTTTATCGGAACAACTGATAATAAATTCATTACGCATGAAGAGAGTGTGTTGTGCGTTTGGCACGATTCGCATCACCGCGTGTCGTCTCCGCGCCGGCCTATCATGCGACTCATTAATGTTAAAAATAATTGTCTCATTCACACACGTCATGCCTCCACTATAGTAGTAACCACAAATTTTCGGTACAAAGCAGTTATGCGACCGTGGCACTGAATCTTCCGGGTGTCTGTTCATTGACATTTTCTATTTACAGTTAGTGGAGAACACTTGATTTTTATAATTGGCTCGAGACGATGACCGAGAATTCGATTTCGTAATACTCGGTTACATTACTTCTGTTGTGGGCATCTTTCGCTTCTGCTGGCGATGTATGTCGGAAGTAGAAATTCTCACTCTCTCTATTGTATTTAAAAAATCTAATAGTCATCCAATACTTGGGGCCGCTCAAAGTTGAACGACTCTTTCCCATTGTCCGAGTGCCCTTGTGAAAGATCCTACTTTGGTTCCGGAATATTTTGTCACACTGCCCTCGTCTCCCTTTCGAGATGTGCTAACGTCAGCCCCTCCGAGCACGTCAACGTTTCATTCTTCTCAATAACCAGTTTTGATTTTCCATCAGATATTCCGGTTTAACCTTTATAGAGATTATAAATGCGGTCGTCGGGGTGGGGGGTGGCAACCTTGTCTTTCAGCTATTTATGTAGAGGGTGGCGCGGAGGGGCGCGCGGGCGCGGGACGGGTGCGGGGGGGACGGAGGCGCGCGCAGGCCGCCCTCTTATGTAACGCGCCGGGCATGCCGTGCGTCTGCCACTCCTCATAACCTCATCCTATGCTCTACCATGAATATTGCATTACACCCTCGCACGCTTACAGCGTCCTTTACGCCACTAATTAAGAGCCAGCAAACTGAATTATTCACGGGGCACGCTCGGCGACCGCTCGGGCGCCCTGAACGATCACGGCGGCGCCCCGCCGCAATCTCTTAGCGCTCCGAGTGCGCCACTCCAGTTATTCTGAACGCGACCTTCGGAGGAATCCGGGGCGCGGTTTAATGAGGCTGCATGTACACGGCGATTAATTATCGGCGACTGCGGACTTGTTTACGGCACCGCGGACGCATTTAGAAGCGGTGACATCGGCGGTTCGCAACACTATGCGGCCGAGCTGCACTTACGTAACCGCTCACGGTTCCCGTGTGCTGTGCATATTCCACACCAGACACATGCGTGTTTGAACGCAAATTTAATAACTTCAACGTTGACGTAACCGCTTCCTCCGCTCACGTGACTTTCAGCTGTAAATTAATTATAATTTACTATGTGGAACGTTCAGTTAACATGTTACGGTTATGGTAATGTACAATTAAACTGCTCCGATGGCCATGCAAACTAATGTGCGAGCTATGAACGGTGTCGCTGCGTTACTCGCTCGTGTTGGAAGCGGCGCAACTAGTTCAGATCAATTGAGGATATTGCCGGTGGTCCTGCAGGGCGGTGCGTCGGCGGCAAGGTTACCTCGCATTGTCTGCCGCCTCGGACGCTTCACAATATCTACCGACGTAGTTTAGATTAGAACCACGTACTCTGCCTTTTCAATGGTTACTTTACATTACTTCAATCCCTTATTTAATCATCATTTATGTTTGAAAGGAAAACGGTTAGATTTGCCTCATCCGTAGTGGCAAATCCGTCGTTTCCGACATTTCATTCATTATGTTGTTTTTGCACGGCTCCAGTCTCTCTGCTCTTGAAGTCTCATACGCATTAGACCTGAGGAGCCCTGCAAGAACGTTATTCATTGGCTTCACCCATACTGCATGGTCCATAGGGCCGCCTAGTAGAATGTGTCTAGCCCCTAGTTGTGTTCCAGCATGGCAGATCTGACTCGTACCGCGTCGCCACCATCGCCCCCGTTAAGGATGATAATAGGACCGCTGACGGACAGTACAAGGTTTTTATTTCATTCATCTTCCATTTCAAGTTCACCAGTGACGAATTAAACTATAACTTTTTGATTTCTCAGTATCTATATCTCCCGTCGCTATGACTTTGTACGCATGTTTTTTATTGCATGTTGATTCATTAATTCATGATGCTTTTCTGATTAGAATTTTGTAGTAAACTCTGAGGCTATTAAGTACAATTGGATAATCGTTATTGTGAGCATATTTGATGTACTGCCAGATCTTAACCTTGTGTTGTTTATTGAACGTTTGCAGACACGCCGGAAACCACCCGCAAAAAAACGGAAAGCAGGAGATTTAGATGATCTTAAACAGGAATTGGACATCGACTTCCACAAAGTAACGCCCGAAGAACTGTACCAAAGATTTCAGACACATCCAGAAAATGTAAGTCGATATTTTGAAACTTTCCACTCCTAGCGTGCGTGACGATGTCACTTATAGTTCAGCCGTAAACGATAAATCATTACCTTGAAATGTCATCGATATAATATCGAATTCTAATGGGCCTAAATAATTATGAATTTATAACACTCTAATATGGGTGTCGTGTCATATGAAATCAATAAGTTATTCAGGATCGTGTTTGTTTATGGTCCTATGATTTTCTATCTGTGATATAAGTAATCTGTAGATATACGAGTAAGTATTATGAATTGAAATCTGTAGGACGATTCTGTATAATAAAATCTGACTTACGAGTTCGACGGCTCCAATTTTATAGGTACAAGTTAAATTTGCATTGAGTCATTACACGGGAGAATCGTAATAACTCTTGAAGCACTTAGTAATAGATATTAGTAAATTTTCAAAACTTCAAATTTACGGAATGGAAAGTGAGATTGGATGTTACATATTCGACGTATTTTGAACTCTTTCGGTCTAAAGTTTAACCTGGACTAAAACTGATGCTGTCACTTTTGTTTGCTAAAGAGAAGAGAAAGACAACATTAGGTTTTAACCAAGACTAACTTTAGTCCGCATTTGGTAGAAATGGGGATAGTGTTTAATTAAAAAATAGAAAAGAAAGAAAGAAAAATGTTTTTGTTGTTGGCAGCACATAAAATACACATAAAAAGCCAAAAATACATATTGCATAGTAAAACAAAACGTACAAGTAAAATTTACAACAACAAAAACAGCTACAGAGAATAAATGTGTATTTTATATGATGCCAACACTGGATATGGCTCAGCATACATAGCAGGTAATAGGGGTGATGACGGGGTACATTAAACGAAATTCTATTTAGTCCGTCAGTCAGATGATCAAAAAATAATGGACACATATTTTTTCTTTGGGTAATCATCCAAAAAATGACAAAGTTATAGCTCGTCAATGTTTGGGAGTAGGGGCTCGTGACGTCACTTTTTAGTGATTTTTCACTTAAAAGTGTACTCAAACGTGACGTCATGCGACTTTTCAAATCAATATCTCTGCAATGTTTATATTATGTGAAAAAAGAAAAAATACGTGTCCAATACTTTTTGATAATCTACCTGATAAACGAAGAAAAAAATAGTCTGCTGCTGCACTGGTATTCTGCCATACCCAGTACAGTGACATCAGAGAAAGCAGAAGAATTAATACAAATTAAATACATTCTAATTACAAAAGGAAAATAAATCGGAGTATAAGACAGATCGCAGCCCAATATCTGTAGCAGAAACTGTCTATGGTTATAAACACTGAGCTAGTAATCTATGTTACAAAGGTAATCTGTATTTAAAAAAAATCAACCAATACGTATTGTTTTATGTTCCAGGGCCTTAGTCACGCAAAAGCGAAAGAGAACTTGGAGAGGGACGGTCCAAACGCACTCACGCCGCCCAAACAAACGCCGGAATGGGTGAAGTTTTGTAAAAACCTTTTCGGCGGATTCGCGTTACTACTCTGGATTGGTGCTATTCTATGCTTTATCGCTTACGGAATTCAGGTCAGTGTTACATCTCCATCCATCAACACCCTCTATTAGATTAGGGACCGTTTTAGATACTGCCAAAATACATTCTTGTTACAATTTTTTATGATCTGAGGATGATTTTAGTTCTAAGCTTTTGTTTTTGTAAATATATCAAGTAAGTTCATTATCAGTTTGGGGTGATCGTGAATGCTAGTTTTCCTGTAAATCTTGCTATCTTTTTATATTATTGAGATATTCGATTGATCATTATCTTAAGGCTGATTATAAGATTACATTTCAGTTTAGTTAACCATCAAAATATAGTTTAACTGCAAGCGACTATACATCAGTGTCGAAACACATAGGCATGTGGCAGGGAACAGAGTTGCTAGAGCAATTAAATTTGGAATTTGCCAAGTCTGCATTTATTACTTTATTTAATAAGTTACGTTAGCTGTTGTGTGTCATATTTTTAATATGACAATAATAATTTGTAGTAATAGCTTCTCAAATAAAAAAATCTATATCATCATATAAAACCTAATTCTTCATTCAGCTAGTTGGTACAAATACGGTATCCACGTGGTATTGATATTTGAGCTATCTGTTTATAATTATATTAATACCGTCTCGATGTACTCAAGACACATGAGTACCGTAAACACATTTACTATCTATATTACTCCGAACTTACTCCGATTATGTCACCGTGTGGGGTACTATATCAAACCGCAACATTTGTATGGCTTCTGCGGTCGCTCGACAAACAGGAAATAAGATAATATATAATAATGAAATCCTGCTTTTATCCACATTCTTTTAAAAATATATGTGACCAACACGACTTTTCTTTCAATAAATATTATTGGTTTTCTAGTTTTGTTTAAAAAATCTTCTAATAGGCTTTGCTTATAATTATCATTCCACAATAGACTAATAATTTGTCCCAATAGCTGTTTTTCGAATTTTATTTATGTATGATTTTCTTTCTAATCTGAAAACTTAATAGAAATTAATACAATGTTTTTTAACAATTTACAATAATGAGTGACAGATACCTGACTTAGAAAAATGTATGTTATTAATAAGGTTTAATTTAAATTTTGACGAAACGTAAGTGGATATAATTGTATTTAATAATCTATGGGACATGTATTTGAATGCAAACCAGTGCATGAAATAAAAATGATTTAATTAATTATTTATTAATGTTACTCCACGATAATTTGAGAACATAAATAAAATCAAAGCAATTTTACCATCTGTATCGACTGCAAAATTGTCAGTCACAAATACTTCTAGTTTCGCTATTAATTCCTCCATATTTTGCTGTAACGACTTAGCCAAACATAAATTAAAGTAATCAAGTAAATATTAATGTTTGCTTATTGTGACATGTACATCGATGCGTTAGCTATCGTTGCGTTAGTGAACATAAGCCTTAGTAAGGTTATTTAAACTTATCATTCGTTCATTTGTTCCCTAAAATTAATTCAGATTTTTTTGCTTTATATAAAGAGAACAATTTAAAACATTCGGTCCTTCGAGCCGGATATAAACCGGCCGCATTAGGAACGTTTTGTTAAAAGAAGGGCCAACATTCCAGGCGAGTACCGTAGAGGAGCCGGCGGACGACAACCTTTACCTGGGCATCGTGCTGGCGGCGGTGGTGATCGTGACCGGCATCTTCTCGTACTACCAGGAGAGCAAGTCCTCCAAGATCATGGAGTCCTTCAAGAACATGGTGCCGCAGTTCGCCACCGTCATCCGCGAGGGGGAGAAGCTCACGCTACGTGCGGAGGACCTGGTGCTCGGAGACATTGTTGAAGTGAGCGCTCCATTTATTACTTGTTCATACAACGGTCGTTTTGTGAAATTTTCTTTACAGATCCTAAAGAAGACTAACGGTTTAGTTAGATGGATCAATTCAACTTAAATTATAACACTTTTACAAATCCGCCGCTAAAGCCGCTGAATTCGTGAATTTCTTAAAGGTTGACTGGCAGAGATTGCTTTAAGCGTTAAGTTCATCTTTTATCGATTGTTGCAATTGTGGAAATACAGTTTAAATTAATAAATGTTGCATTGATCACGTATTATTTTGTTATAATTGCAAAATAAGTGACCACATCAAATATTATTAAGCTTAACCAATTGATCGATTCAATCGATTTTGTAGAGCAATGAGGGGTTTCTGAAATCATTGGCCCTAGATGCCAGCACTCAGCCAAACGATCCACTCACTTGTCAAATCGCATATATCGACATTTTCTAGTAATCAATTTAATCTCTCTCTTGAATGTTTTCGTGCCAATACTTCTCGAAAAGACCTCATTCTATAAAGGCGCCATCTGAAATCACGAATATGTAATCGTTTTTTCTGTGTTACCGATTTCTGCTATATTTCTTCACTATAAGCAGAACATATGTTGTGTCTTTTCTTCGTGCTAGTAATAATAAAGTACGGGCGTATATTAAAATGCGGTTCCGGGGTTGTCCAGGTGAAATTCGGTGACCGAATCCCTGCGGACATCCGCATCATCGAGGCGCGCGGCTTCAAGGTGGACAACTCGAGTTTGACGGGCGAATCGGAACCTCAGTCCCGCGGCGCAGACTTCACCAACGAGAACCCGCTCGAGACCAAGAACCTGGCCTTCTTCTCCACCAACGCCGTCGAGGGCACCGCCAAGGGCATCGTCATCTGCTGTGGAGATAACACGGTACGTTTTTATACTATACTAGCTGTCCCAGCGAACTTCGTACCGCCATAAAAAAATAGGGGTTGATTGTAAAGGGTTGAAAATTCAGGGTTATATGTATTTACTAATGCTGTATCATGAAAAAAAAAAATCTAAAATTGAAAAAAGAAATTAGGTGTGGATTACCCTTAACATTTAGGGGGATGAAAAATAGATGTTGTCCTATTCTCAGACCTACCCGATATGCACACAAAATTTCATGAGAATCGGGAAAGCCGTTTCGGAGGAGTTTAACCACAAACACCGCAACACGAGAATTTTATATATTAGATTTGTATTGTGGGCAAACGGATAATAAACTTGTTTCTGACTCAGTCTGTCATCACCGATTAAACGTTGTATTACGTACTCCATATTTTATTATTTAATGTCCTTTAACTCCTCAATTAGGACATATTGGCGACGAAAAGTTCTTCACGCGTGTTCAGAAATAAACAGTGAATAAATTGTTAGCAAAATAATAATGTTGGGTAATGGAAGTTTAATGTTCGATGGCAGGTTCATATTCGACCACAGGGTTCAAGAGTGGAGCATATTTAAAAGCAGGCGAACGATATTGATAACGACACCGACAAAGCAGGAGTAAAAAGAATAGCTTTGCTTCTAACTACCTTGGTGGAAGATACCTACCGCGTCGTTAATGATTTAGTATTTCCGTCTTCATCGGAAAGCTTGGAGTTTCAGACCTTGATACAAAAAATTGGACAGCCATTTCTTATCCAAGAAAAGTACCTTCGCAGAGAGATACAAATATACTATAGTTTTATATTGGCCATTTTTTGTTTGGCGGCATCCCATAGGAATGTAACACTTATATGAGTTTTGCGAGGAAGTAAGCATTTTTTCTTTCACATCATCATCAGCCTATTAATGTCCTCACTGCTGGTGCACAAGCCTTTCCTTTGGATGGAATAGGGAGATTGGGCCATCACCCACCACGCGGGCCCAGTGCTGATTGGCGGGGGTGCTAACGACTGCGTCACCCATCCAATGCCCGACCACTGCGAAAGTTGCTTAACTTCAACGATCGCAGCCGCGCTTTGCTAGCCACCCGCGCCATCGAGCTCCTTTTCTTTGCCACACATCTTTGTAATTTAGGGACACAATAGTACTGACATACAGACTTCGATTTGGTCACACACCCTTAAATAGCTTTAGGTACTTGATGAGAAAAGTGAACTCTCCAAATTGTACTGATTGTGATCAGGTCGAGGATGTATAGCATGTGATGGCGGAATGTACGAGGGTTGTGGCGGGAAGATACCACTTTTTAACCAATTCCCGGAGCTGACAGTAATGGATGTTGTTTTATATCACAGCATACTATCTAGTCCTTCTCTCTAAAAACAAGTAAGGTTATGTATTAAATTGTATCAATCTGTTTAAGATGACGATACAGTGTTATAACAATAAAGGTGACATGGTCTATAAAAGACAAAAAACCTTTTAAAAAAAGAATAAAAAAAATAGATTGTAATTTCATAATAATGTAAGTACATTACATATTTTACTTACTTCTTCGTAAATATCTAAATATCAGTGCGTAGCAGTGACGTTTATGAATCAATTTTATAAGTGCTTAATCGGATTAATGACCTACTGTCTGCAATGCCTTAAAATTGATTTATGTAGGTAGTAAAAACAGTCTAGGACAATCTGTTTATAGTCTCGCACGTGAGCGTTATACGTCTGCCAAGCGTTAATCTTTCCCGTCTGATCAACAGCTATTTTTATAGCTTAAACATTATAAAAATTGTTGATTACAATTCTCGACCTTGCGCCAGTATCAAAAAGTTAGTAAAACTACATATAACAGCATAGAGCTATTATTTTACACAAAACCATATCAAAGGATGGGTAAATTCATAATTGAAAACTACATATCAAATACGAAGCAATGTTATGTATAGCTTAATTTTAAAGTACAGATTGTTTCATAAAAAGTAGCGTCTAACCAGAGACTACACACCGATGAAGCTCAATAATAGATAAATTATAGCGACAAAGAGATACCACACCAATCGTCGTTACTTTTGCGGACTAAACTCCATTCCCCTATCCCTTATCTCATGGAACGCTAGCTTGAACCAATAAAAAATCAAAATTCAATATTGTTTATTCAGTCTATACTTCATTCCAGATAACATTAAAAGAAGACTAGCAAACCAGTGAACCAAATGTTCACCAAAAAAAAAATGTATTTAATTAATTGAGAACTTCGGAGATTTTGTGTGGTTTCGTTTGAAATAGAAATCACGTGATTTCTCGAAAACCGGAAGTGCTACGTTACTCACATCCGGTTTGTAGTCTTATCAGACTATTCTTAACTTATAACTTAAACATTCTCTATATCTATCTCTTACGGTTTGGCCGCTGAAACAGCACCACGGACGGACGGACGGACTTGTCTATTAGATAAGAGATGCCGAAAGAAGCAGGGTTTTGAAACATTTTCATGACATGTATAATGATAATCATGGAGGTTAGAGAGAAGGCGAACGATCGCTGTAGAAAATAGTGTCCCAGAAAAATATGGACAAAATAAGTGAGGCGCTGCGATCGCTAAGTTGTCTCAATAAAAGCGGGATAATTTGAAATGGCCAATGCCGCAAAACATAAATAAATATTTTTGGAATAGTATTTCCAACATAAACTACTTATATCAAAGTCTTGTACTCATATGTACACACATCAAAAGTGTCTAGGGATCAACATATATTTTTGCAATAACTTTTCTCCTGATTGATATTAATTAAAATTTTCTTTAAGGATTCATCAAATAAAGTGTTTTCGTTTGTCACAGTAACGATAAACCAAGTCACCTTTGCATTAATAAAGAAATTTGCCATTTTCCTAATAAAGGGATTTTTGACATTTGAACCACCAACACAAAAGTTCGAAAAAAAGACTGAAATAACAGTTTTCTCTAAAATTTTATTGGGTAACTTAAACAATTAATAATCCGTATTTCTACCGCGAACACTAACAACACAAGAACATCGGTTTGGCATACTCAAAATGAGTTCATCCAAATCACGCTGCGGCGAGAGTCTGTCTTACAACTCTTGCGGTGTGCGGTCGTGCATTATCATGCATTAACTGAAATAAGGGACCGATTTGCACTTGTAGAGGAACGATGACGTCTGATACAATCGTCTCAGCATAAATTTGAGCGTTGAGGTTGCCTCTGATCCAAATCAACTCAGTTCTTCCGCCGATCCAAATACCCGCCCATACCATGATGGTTCCACCACTATAAGGATGGACTTCCTGGCAGGATTTTAATCGCTGTTGGCGTCCAGGGGTTCTCCAGTGTCGTATACGTCTTGTATCCGGTCTCATACCAAAACGAGACTCATCAGAAAAGCACACGAAACGCCATTGTTCTTCTGCCCAATTTCTGTGTTCAAGAGCCCATTGATATCGAATCCTACGATTGTGCATTGCTATAGGTGGTACCCGTAGCGGTCTTCGGGAATGAAGGTTCACTTCATGCAAGCGGTTTCTGACTGTTTGGTCGCTAATTAAGTTCCCTGAAGAGTGATGAAGCCTCACGGCTAACATCATGGCGGTTATTGTTGGAGCTCTTCGAGTTAAGATTTGAATGTATCGGTCTTGTCTCCGTGTGGTGCAGCGATACCGTCCTCCATGGCGCTCAGCCACGGTACCAGTGCTTCGGTATCGTGTCCAAAGTCGACTGATAACACTCTGACTTGTATTCAGAGCTAAAGCCACAGTACGTTGCCGGGAACCAGCTTCTATCATTCCCACGGCTCTGAGCATTTCTTCCCTGCTTAAATGACGTCGCCGCTCCATAATAACGTTGGTTTTAATCAGTAGTAGGGAAACAGTAGCATTAATAATGTCTTCAATGCGTTGTATGTTTTTATAGGGAAAATATTGACAGCTGATTTTCATCTTTTACTCGAATTTGATTCACAGTTCCTGATTCAAATTATGAAATGCACCAAAAAGGATCCATATAAATTTATAAAATCATAAATTTATTACAAAGCCACATCTCAATCTCAAGAAATCCGCATAAAAAAGCTTGATCCCTAGACACTTTTGATGTGTGTAGATTAGCGGTGGGTCGTTCTCAAATTTTCTGACGACGAAACGTAACCGTTTTCTCTTAAACGAAAACTAGTCCTCGAAACGGTTCTCGTTCGCAACTGGTTTTAGTTGCGGCTGGGTGATGCAACGAAACGACACGCGACGGTCGAACGAATGTAACGCAACGAAACTGAACTAAATGAAATCTTGTTAACGTTCGTTTCGTTGCTGCGAACGAGACGACGAAACATCGAAATAAATGTAGTGTTATATGATAATCGATTTTAAATGTTCAATAAAAAAGATTATATTATTGTAAAATCAAGCTTAATTTATCATAGAACGAAACGGCCTTATATCATTGCGTTCTATTATAGACTGTATTTACAACTTCATAAAGTACATATTGGCGTGCAGACAATCCGAGGACTAGTTGTTCGACGAAGACTGTTTTGATCCGAAACGTAAAACGGTTCTATCGTCGCGGAACACAAAACGGTCCTTGAAACCGGTTCGTCTTTAGAACGCTCACACCCAATTTAGATTAATTTTAAATTAATCACTCTGTTCAGAAGATGTGGACACCGAAGACGATGACGAAGATATTATCGTTAACATTATCCAACTGACAAAATTAATCATCTTTTTTCTTTGTAAAGACTGAAATACATAACGAAGCAGACGTTTTAAATGTATATTGAGGTTAATTAATCATTTGGTAAAATATACCTGTGGCGTATGCTGTTTTTTGTGAAATTCAACTTTTCTATAATGCCCTCACATATACTCGTACCATACAATTGCCATCCCCACAAATACCATACAATTTCACGTTTAAAAACCTAATTTACGTACCGTGCTGACTGGACATTTAAAGTGTAATCCGTTTAGTCGCCGCATTAAAGAGTGTCACGTTACCGCTGCCTGGTAATACCGCGGCCTTGACCAATTACGGGTCCTGGGTCACTTCCGGTGATGTCATCAAACATTGGCCAGCGGCGCCGGAAACGTCGCTAATTAATCTGTCCTAGTATTATCTCATATTTATGCGTCAGTTGATACCCAAACTAGAAGTTTTTTTTTTGATAATGTATAAATATAGAGAGAACTTTTCGGGTCTATCAACTTGCACTCTTGAAAATTGAAATAGATTGAATATAATGAAGGATATGCTTCGCGAAATGAAGAAGCTAGAATTATTTTTATTAAATATAACAAGTTTCAACGGTATAGATGCACTGATTTATGTATTTATTAACGTTTCGCATCCTGAAAAGCGTCATCTGAATTCTTATTTTATTTAACCTAAAATTAACTGTCATTGGTGTCGATTCTAGCATGATTCTCTAAACCTAAACTTAAATTTGACAGCAGTATATCCTTGTCATTCTCTATACAGAATGAAAAGGAGAGACTGATGTTAAATTTAGTGTTAAGTTTAGAGAATCACGCCAGAATTGCCACCATTCTCTCCTTGTGAATGTGAAAGCTAGATTCAAATACATTATAGATTAATTCACTAGATCATTTTTATAAAAAGCTAACTTCAAATCTGGACATCACTTACAATTTACGCTGAGTTAAATATTTTCCTGATAATAATAGTGGTAGTGATGCATGAGTAATGTTTGCCAGATTCTGTATTAAAAAGAATATTACTTATTATAATTATCTTTATCTAAACATAGTATAACATTTCTGTTTGTCCACTAAATCCTTCTTAATCAATCACGCTGCTTACTTTGATGCAGTTTTCACGAGCATTTAGATATATTTTAACGGAAGATTTAGATATTTAAAACTTAACTAAATTTGAACAGCGCCACAAAGGACGTAACGAGAACTAAAAATCAGTACACATTTGACTAATAAAATAGATCGAATTCAACTATTCGAATTCTATAATGCTTCGTGCTAAGGGTACTGTACCCCAAGCACGAACTTTGACAGATCCGTAATCTTATCGCAGCGTCAAAATTTCTATGGAAACTAAGCAGCGCCGCCTACCGGACATAGGAACAAACTGGCTTCTTCCATAGAAAATTGGACGGTGGCGATACGTTCACGCATCTGTCAAAGTTTGTGCTTAGCTCACTGCAGTATACACCGACACTAGTTTCTGGAAATAAGTATTTGCCCTTTATTATACAATGGTGTTGTTACACAGGTAATGGGCCGCATCGCCGGTCTGGCATCCGGTTTGGACACTGGAGAGACGCCCATCGCGAAGGAGATCCACCACTTCATCCACCTGATCACGGGCGTGGCTGTGTTCCTGGGCGTCACGTTCTTCGTCATCGCCTTCATCCTCGGCTACCACTGGCTCGACGCCGTCATCTTCCTCATCGGTGAGCGGCCTCTAGCGGATTATGTACTCAACTAGATACTTGTGTTATTCTACCGCCTCGTCACTAGATGGCGCTACTCCATAATGCAGCACTAAGGCTCAGTTGCACCAAAGTTCTTAATTCAAATTGAAAAGGTAATCATGTTTATGCCATCATCATCATCATCAGCCTATTAATGTCCCCACTGCTGGGGCACAGGCCTTCCCTATGGATGGAATAGGGAGATTGGGCCATGACCCACCACGCGGGCCCAGTGCGGATTGGCGAGTGCTAACGACTGCAGATGCAGCCGGGACTAACGGCTTAACGTGCCTTCCGAAGCACGGAGGAACTCGAGATAGAAAATATTTGGTCACCCATCCAATCACCGACCGCTGGTAAAGTTACTTAACTTCAACGATCGCAGCCGAACGCGCTGACCACCTGCGCCATCGAGCTGTTTATGCCATGCCTTATTCTATCTCTATTTGACTTTATACAATTAACAAAGATGGAATGATATATTAATTAAACACGATTAAGCCAAAGATGGAATGATATATTAATTAAACACGATTATGCCTTAAATCAAATTAAGAGCTTGGTGCAAATGGGCCAAAGAAAATTCTAAGGCCAATTATCGTTTAATGATTTGAAAGATTTTCAATGTTACTTTAATCATCCTATTGTCTCTTGCCTCAGTTAACTTGATATTACAATAAGTAACACGTTGAGTTGCCATAAAAATAAACTTTCTCAATTTATTGTGATCTAATATCTATCAAGCAAGATAAACCTCGAAAGTTGGTTGAAATGAATGAAAAAAAATATTTATACGCGCTGTTTTTAAAAAAGTGTTTCAGTTAGAAGTTGATCTATTACTGCTGTGCATTTTTACTTCAAATTTCGCATTTATTATTACGCAATTCAGGCGCTAAATGTTAAAATACAAAAGACCAGTGCCGTCACATTGAAAAACATAATTAAGAAATGGTTCTTATATGAAAAGCTGTTGCAACACTGATGACATCTCTGACAATGTGCTCTAGTACCAATGCCATCAAATATAGTTTACTGATGGAAACGAGTTACTTAATACAAGTTTTTCAATATAATATCGTTTATTCAATCTGGGCTGTTTTTTTTTATGCAAAATAGGCCATACTTTTGACCACAATCTCACCTGATGGAAAGCAATGATGAGGCCTAGGATGGTACACGCCTGCCTAGAAGATGCCTGTTCACTCTGGCCTTGAAGATGTCCAGATTATATCGGTCCGGGAAAACAGACCTCGGCAAGGAGTTCCACTCCCTAGCCGTTCGCATAATGTTACAAGCACTTGTTGGAAAGTTACGCCATCGGTACAAGTAATAATGAATGGGATATTTAGTTGTTATTCTGTTTAGTGACAGGTTCTTTTCTCATGTGTTGTAGTTTTCCGTCTTCAGGAAAAGTATATCAACTTTAATGAACAATTTAACTCGTAACCCAGGTATCATCGTGGCGAACGTACCCGAAGGCCTGTTAGCCACAGTGACCGTATGCTTGACCCTGACCGCGAAGCGCATGGCGTCCAAGAACTGCCTGGTGAAGAACCTGGAGGCCGTGGAGACCCTGGGCTCCACCTCCACCATCTGCTCCGACAAGACCGGCACCCTCACCCAGAACCGGATGACCGTAGCCCACATGTGGTTCGACAACCAGATCATTGAGGCCGACACCACGGAGGACCAGTCCGGAGTGCAGTATGGTGAGTACTCAGCGGGGAACTCCTATACAGACTTTACCACCAATCTTGCTTTATTTAAAACTCAAAATACCTAAGTTAAGTTTTGTAAATAATATAAGTGCAAAAAATTTCCAAAGTTTTTTAAGTTTTCTAGTGGATTCTCTAATGTCTATAAATTGAACGAAAAGTTTTTCAGCTAATTATGAATACAATAAAAATTTATTGGGCTCCATAGATAGATTGAACTGTTTTAAATATTTTTTTTATCTATTGATACTATTAAGATTGTTTTAAATGTTTTTGCTTTTTTTAATAAGATTTTTGCTCTCTCTTATAAATAAAAATAAAATAAAATACTAAAGTGTGTCCGTTATTGTTAATGGAATAATAAGAAAACCGATTCAATATGTTCTCTTTTTAATTGCAACCTTTCAAACTTTAAATACTTTTGTTTATCTGATAAAGCATACTTTCAGTCTATTTTTGTTATTTCAATTAACAATGGAGCGTGTAAAAAATTGAAGCTTGGATTTCAAATAATCATTTTTGTGTTGCTGAGCTTTCGCATTTTTACACTTTTTTTCACTTCAATGAACGCAACACAAGATTGAGCACAAAATTCAGTCTTATATTCCTTATACAGATCGCACAAGCCCCGGCTTCAAGGCTCTCGCCAAGATCGCGACCCTCTGCAACCGCGCGGAGTTCAAGGGAGGCCAGGACGGCGTGCCCATCCTCAAGAAGGAGGTGGCTGGAGACGCTTCCGAAGCTGCGCTGCTTAAATGCATGGAACTGGCGCTCGGAGACGTGCTCTCCATCAGGAAGAGGAACAAGAAGGTCTGCGAGATACCCTTCAACTCCACCAACAAGTACCAGGTATGAATGCCAATACGTTCACAACACTTCCTTTCTGTATACAAAACTTATTTACAACTTGTAAATAACGATAAAAGAGATTATCTCTTATCTATTAGACAAGTCCGTCCGTCTGTCTGTGGTGCTGTTTCAGCGGCCAAACCGTAAGAGATAGATAAAGAGAATATTTAAATTATAAGTTACGAATAGTCTGATAAGACTACAAAACGGATTTGAGTAACGTAGCACTTCCGGTTTTCGAGAAATCAGGTTTTGGTGAACATTTGGTTCACTGGTTTGCTAGTATATCTTAATAAGAAAGTTTATGACGTCCCATGTAACGTCCTGTAATTTATAATGTAAAAAAACAAGGTTTATTGAATTACTAGTGGCCCGCCCTCGCTTCGCTTCGGGGTAGAATTGATCAAAATCCTTTCTTAGCGGATGCCTACGTCATAACATCTACCTGTATGCCAAATTTCAGACCGATCCGTCCAGTGGTTTGGGCTGTGCGTTGATAGATCACTATGTCAGTCAGTCAGTCAGTCACCTTTGAGTTTTATATATATATATAGATAGATTACTATAGGAACAATGTCTTAACTTATTCTTTCAAGGCAAAGAGCTACGAAATGTCACTATAAATGTCTCAATTTAATAATTATTGACCGCAATTCGAAACACTGATTAGTTTTAACTCTTCTCAAAATTATGAGTTAATTTTATTGCAGAAAAAAGGCTTCTCAACTTTAAACTTACAAATTACTTGTCGCCAATAAATATTAGTCTGTTATATGAATTTCTGAAACTGCATTAAAAAAAATCAACTTAAGATCTTAGCAATAGGGTCGATTCCGCCAAGATTCTCTAAACTTAAAACTAAGTTTAACGTCTGTCTTTCCTTTTCTCTATTTATAGATAATGACAAGGATACACTTTTATCAAATTTGATTTTAGGCTTAGAGAATCATGCCAGAATTGCCATTCAAAGTATCATATTATAAAGTTTAAACATTGAGATGTTAGTTGTGAATATAGAGGTGATTGTGCGACTCAGGTTTCCATTCACGAGAGCGACGACCCATCCGACCCGCGCCACCTGCTGGTGATGAAGGGCGCCCCTGAACGGATCCTGGAGAGGTGCTCCACCATCTTCATCGGCGGCAAGGAGAAGGTACAAATATTGTACCACCACGCTACACTAACTGACAATGTGGATTATACCACACTAAATGATTAGCTGTTTCATCTTGTGCTCTTGATGTTTTTTGAGCACGACTTCTGTAATAATTTATTTTAACACAAAAAAAAAATACATATAGCATAAAAAACAGTTTAAATATTTGGGTATTGTATTCAAGTACAAGTCTACAATGCAGTAGTCAGTACTCAGATTCTGTAATCTGAAATCTGGCTTTGTTTGTAAGCCGAAAGCTGTTTTGGGGAACTGGCTACTAACTCTAAACTATGTTGTTAGTTTAATGTATTTCAAGATTGTTTTTTTATCTACTGTTTATTTGGAAAACGCAGGAAAGTCTTGAAAGTGAATGTTTTCGGTTCTCCAAGATACAGGCTCGGCCTAGTTTGGGAACCTCTGTCAGTATTCGGTTATGCATTCTTTCAATGCACAAATGCTACCATATTTGACGACCTCCGTGGCCGAGTGGTTTGTACGCCGGGTTTCATGGTGTCGCCGACTCGAGAGGTCCCGGGTTTGAATCCCGGTAGGGGCAGATGTTTGTGTGATGAATACGAGCATTTGTACTCCAGTCATGGATGTTTAATATGTATTTCTATATAAATATACTTATATATGTACAGTATATGTATTCTATCCGTTGCCCTAGCATCCCATAACACAAGCCTTACAGTGCTTACTTTGGGGCTAGGCTAATTGGTGTGAGTGTTGAAAATATTTATTTATTTGTATCTGCAGTATTTATATACCAAGCTCTGGATAAAATTGTATAATATACGAGATTGTATGGCCCCAGGTGTTGGACGAGGAAATGAAGGAAGCATTCAACAACGCTTACCTAGAGTTGGGCGGATTGGGCGAGAGAGTGCTGGGCTTCTGCGACTTGCAGCTTCCCTCCGACAAGTACCCACTTGGATACAAGTTCAACACTGACGACCCCAACTTCCCTCTGGACGATCTCCGCTTCGTGGGGCTAATGTCCATGATCGATCCCCCCAGGGCTGCTGTCCCCGATGCCGTGGCTAAATGCAGATCTGCTGGAATCAAGGTAACTATTACTCTATTAAGGATGAGTTCCTCATCATCATCAACCTATTAATGTTCTCACTGCTAGGGCACAGGCCTTCCCTATGGAAGGAATAAGGAGATTGGGCCGTGACCCACCACGCGGGCTCAGTGCGGATTGGTGGGTGCTAACGGCTGCAGTTGCAGCTAAGCCGTCGGGCTTAGCTTAACGTGCCTGCCGAAGCACGGAGGAGCGAGAGATAGTATTGATCACCCATCCAATGGCCGAACAGTGCGAAGGTTGCTTTACTTCAACAATCGTAGCTGAAAGCCCTAACCCCCTGCGCCATCGAGCACTTTAAGGATGCATTAGCTAAACCATAATACTCGTAATTATTGTTAATGATGTTAAAAAAGAATTCAGTAATCTTTGATTAAAATTTATGTAATTCTTGATTTCCTGATGTAACATTTCACATTTCTATTTCATGAACTTTTTACAAATCATCAAATAATTTTCTGCCACAATAATATATCCCATGCAAACAATTTAGTTTATCAAATTATTTAATATCATACTACACATTCAATTTTATTTTGGTATTTTATCAACCGGTAAAGTTTAGATTATTCTCAAATAGAGAAATAACTAAATACGAAACATTCGATTTTATTTATTATAAATATACATTATAGATATGTCAATAGGGTATTTTACAAGTTTTATTTTTCACTTTGACCGGGAGTTTACTAGCATGTGACGTCATTTTAGTCTGCGTCAATCCCAGGTGTTTTCTAAAGAATCGTTTCTATTTAATGATTTTTAGAAAACTTATTAATTATTTTTTCTCTTAGAATAGTGAAATCGTTTCTCATATTCATATTAAATATAGTTGCCAACAATTGGTACTTTAGTTTTCGTAAGGTCAAATAGCTTATTATAAAAATCTAAAACATTTAAAGTTATTTTCATGTAATTTATCATCGAATCTTAATCGCTCTACGTCGACACAATGAAATCTAAGAAATAAAACGAGTGTGCTTATGACGGTTAACGATTGAAGTGAAACTACTTTAGCTCCATCTGTATGTATATGTGCGTGTACAATGATGTCGATTCTGGCATGATTCTCTAAAGCTAAACTTAAATTTGACAACAGTGCATCCCTGTCATTCTCTATACAGAATGAAAAGGAGAGACTGATGTTAAATTTAGTTTTAAGTTTAAAGAATCACGCCAGAACTGATACCATTATATACATACATGTACATATACATATTTCATTTACTAGCCAGAAAAGAAAGAGAGAAAGAAAACGTGCGCGCGCACCGCTTTCTCTCGCTCATATCCCCCACTCGACTCCCTTTCGCTTTGCTCGATCACACTTTTCGTAACGCGTTCGCCAGCTCACCCTCCAAGTCGAGCGTACGTAAAGAAGTTTCACTTTAAAAATGTTTTGTTAAAATCGAGTGATATACCACCAGGTGATAATGGTGACCGGCGACCACCCGATCACCGCCAAGGCGATCGCCAAGTCGGTGGGCATCATATCGGAGGGCAACGAGACCATCGAGGACATCGCGGCGCGCCTCAACATCCCCGTGGGGGAGGTCAACCCGCGCGAGGCCAAGGCGGCCGTGGTGCACGGCACCGAGCTCAGGGAGCTCAACTCCGACCAGCTGGATGAGATACTCAAGTGGGTCACCGTCATCTCTTATCTATTAGACAAGTCCGTCCGTCCGTGATGCCGTTTCAGCGGCCAAACCGTAAGAGATAGATAAAGAGAATGTTTAAGTTATGAGTTAAGAATAGTCTGATAAGACTACAAACCGGATTTGAGTAACGTAGCACTTCCGGTTTTCGAGAAATCACGTGATTTCTATTTCAAACGAAACCACACAAAATCTCCGAAGTTCTCAATTAATTAAATACATTTTTTAAATCAGGTTTTGGTGAACATTTGGTTCACTGGTTTGCTAGTTATATTATATCAAGGAAGTGGGCATCATATCGGAGGGCAAGGAGACCATCGAGGACTTGGGTTTGCCAATCAATCTGCTCTGAAAAGCTCTACTGTCTAAAGGCGCGATTACACTTGGTCGCTAGCCCGAATACGAGTACCAATGGAATTCTAGTAAACGACAAGTGTAAATGAATGGAGTCGAATACGCTCATATTCGGGTAGTTTTCGTTTTGTTTACATAACACTGTCTTCCAGCTCGTATTCCAGTGTAAATATTGCTTTGGATGCCCGAATTCGAATAATGTCTTTCGTTTCGGCTAGCGACCAAATGTAATAGAGTATTTGACAAGTTGTAGAAAACGATCTCACATTATTTACTAATGTTCTTAGAGTCTATAAAACGTGCATATTTTAAATATTATTGTGTAATTCTGTAAAAAACTAAATTAAAAATTAAATTTTTAAGTTGCCGCGAAAACGTTTCTCTGGATATTATGACGTATCACTAGTGTGTGACGTCACACGCGTGTCATTAAAACGTCAAATGATACAATGTAATGTCACTTTTGCCGGAAGTTTACTAATGTGTGACGTCATTTCAGTTTAGGCCAATCCCAGGCGTTTTCGATCACGTGACCATGGAGCAAAATCATTTCTATTTAATTTATATAAAAGTTCTTAATGATTTGCTCTTTCAGAAAAGTAAAATCGGTGTTAATATTCTTATTCAAAACAGATGAAACAGTCAGTACATTATAAATAAATATTTCCAACACTCACACCAATTAGCCTAGCCCCAAAGTAAGCACTATAAGGCTTGTGTTATGGGATACTAGGGTAACGGATAGAATACATATAATCTTTATATATAAAATTCTTCTGTGAGTGTGTATGTCACTGAACTTCTCTTAAACGACTGGACCGATTTTGATGAAATTTTTTGTGTGTGTTCAAGGGGATCTGAGAATGATTTAGATTCACAATTTTGTCCGCTGGACAACCCCTATTTTTTTAGGGCGGTACGAAGTTCGCTGGGTCAGCTAGTATATAAGTATATTTATATAGAAATACATTATTATTGCATCCAGATACCACACGGAGATCGTATTCGCCCGCACGTCGCCGCAACAGAAGCTGATCATCGTGGAGGGATGCCAGCGCCTCGGGGCCATCGTGGCCGTCACCGGGGACGGGGTCAACGACTCGCCCGCTTTGAAAAAGGCCGACATCGGCGTCGCCATGGGCATCGCCGGCTCCGACGTCTCCAAGCAGGTACTATTATATATACCACAAACGGTGTGCGAATCAAATGATTATTGATTTAAATGCATTATCGTCATCGTCGCCCAATTCATACCCCCTTTCCTAAGACAAAGATTTCTTGATACAAGGAACCTGCTTAACTTTAACGACCGCCGACTAATGCGACTAAAACCACTGCGCAATCGAGGTTCATAATATGTATACTGCTTTTATCCTGACTTGGTGGAAATCACTCCCTGCATCTGTAATTAAAAATGCAATAGTATATGTATTAAGATTACAAACTCCCTTTTTAGTCCAATTTTGTTAACTTACGCTTTTATAATAACTTCAGTTTCTTAACTGACCCTAAAAATCACCAGTTTTTTAAGACTACTGTACCCTTAGCACGAACTAATATCGAATTCGAATAGTTTGCGAGTCCGAAATGTCAGTGTCAAATGTGTACTGAATTTTAGTTCTCGTTACGTCCGTTATGGCGCTGCAGGAGATCTACTCCATTTCAACGAAAAACTAAATTTCGATCGAATTTTCGCACGTTTCTTACTCTGTTTTCTTTTCATTTCGAATATAGTTTGACAATTAAATTCTTCAAGCCTACTCTAATTCGCAAAACTTTCAAACGAAAAGTTGATTGTGACAGAAAATTTTTACTCTATAAATTAGTCGGCTCAAACTGTCTAAGAAGTTTTTTCAGTGTCATCATAAATTTTACCGTATAGTAATATTGTTTCCAAGTAAAAAACGTAATGTAAAAAGTGGACATAAAAAGAGCTTAGAAACATCTCAATACTCATTCCATTCGTTCATGAAAATTGTTTGTGATACCGAACTTTATGTGCCTGTTCGAAAATAAAATAGAGTAGAGTTAGTGGCGAAATTTCGTTTAAAATTCGTACGTTAAGGAAATTCCATATCGGAGAAAGAGTAAAGCTCCGGTTCATGTTTACATACAAAATTTGACAATGATATTTCACACTAGCAAACTATTCAATATTTGTGATTCCGGCGACGGCATTCGGGCGGGTCGGACTAATTATGCAAGTAATTGCTACATTGTGCGAGCTATGAAATCATACAACTCTAAATATAGTCACATTGATATATTTAAACTTAATTCTTTGAAATTTAAAAAACTAATTCGTAACTCGCTTAGGCACAACATTTTTAATTCTTTTTGTTTTGTTTATATTCATTAATTATGATGCCAAAAATTGTTTCTTTTTTCTCTCGTGTTTAGTAGACACTATGTGTGATAAATAATAGTGGAAATTACCTAGGCAATTGTTTAAACTTAATGTTATATTTTTTATGTAAAGGGGCCGTTCATAAAATACGTTCGCATACAAGGGGGGGTGGGGGTCTTGCTAATTGTGACAAGATGTGACAAGGGGGGACCGGGGGTCTACGGCAACGTGACGTTCGTTGTTTATTAAAAAAAATTAAATTAGTATTTCTTTCAACTATTTTTTTTTCTCAATTTTCATCAAGATAGAAAATCATTTATTTCGTATTTAGTAAACATATAGACATTCAAACGTATATAGTTTTATTATACAATAAATTGTAACTTGATATATTTACTCATGTTTATTTTTCGACATTAGCGCATATTTATATACCTATTTAAATTTTATTATAAAAACTAAATAAATATTTAAATTCTTAAAATTTGTGTACTATCAATTGAAATTAATCATACTTGGGGAGAGGGGGGGTCTCCGTTTTTGTGACGGAATATTTCAAGAGAGGTCACAGAAAGTGTGACACAGCGTGACAATAGGGGGGGAGGGGGTCGGAAAAAGCTGATTTTAGCGTGACGTATTTTATGAACGGCCCCAAAAATTAATGCTGTTATTTCCCTAAAAATAAATAAATGAATCAATATTGGCTCGTGCTAGGGGTACTGATCAATTACACAACATTACCACACTCGAATGTGATATCGAAATTTAACTAAATCCCAGTACGCAAAAATCTAAACTCGAGTACAATTTTCCACCCGCTAGGCTGCCGACATGATCCTGCTGGACGACAACTTCGCTTCCATCGTGACGGGGGTAGAGGAAGGCCGCTTGATCTTCGACAACCTCAAGAAGTCCATAGCGTACACTCTCACCTCCAACATCCCCGAGATCTCCCCATTCCTGGCCTTCATCCTGTGCGACATCCCGCTACCCCTCGGCACCGTCACTATCCTATGCATCGATCTGGGAACCGACATGGTAAGTTCCACTCTATGCCCTAGTTTACAAGATCTGTTTTACGTTGAACTGGTGTTGCATCGAAAGAGTGTCTTTTGTAATGTGATTGAAGTATTTTGATGAATAGGAGAGTGATAGATGTGATAATGAAAATATATTTTCTATTGTTAGAAGTACAGTTGTTCGGCGTTAGCTGCGAAAAATATGTGGATTCGTCAATCTTTCTGAACCCCTGGATAACTTTGGCTTACAAAAACAAGCTTAAAATTGCAAATTAAAAAGGCGTTAACAAGATAGCTAGTGATTATCAATTTTCTCTACCTGATTAGAAAGGACTAATTAGAAAATCTTATTATAATCCACACTCATAAACATTATTGTTATCCTAAAAAATAATTACGTAATGTATTTTTAATTGTCTACTTGTAAATGTAAAATAAGTAAGTGACAAGGCGTTTTAACTTGAATTGTTTTAAGACTTTGAAATATCGATGAACACGTACCGAAGCGATAACTTTCTATGTGGCACCTATTGATGTAATAATGTAACTATTTCCAATCTTTACAAACTCAGGAATTACAATTATGATTTATTAAACTACTTGACCGTCACTGAAAGCTTTATATTGAGATAGCACTTCCGTTTCCCGTCGAATTACCATCAGTTTCCGTACTTTTATCACCTTATATCCGGTCCAGTGGCGACACCTGGCAGAAGCGCGGCCATTTTTGTTTTCCTAAGTTTTGACAGCGCCATATTAACTCATTGGCGTTCTGACTCCCGTCGAAGCAACACGCGCTCAATCTGAGCGATCGTTGTGAGATTTTAAAGGTTTTATTATTATCAAGTGATAAAACTGTAAGTAAAACTATTTTATTTAACGGTTTTTGCCGTTCGTGTTATTCCAAATAGGTACTTTACGTATTAAAAGTGAAGGAACCGTAAGTAAAATTATTATTCTTTTTGATAGTTTTTGCAGCCCTTGTGATAAGGGATATTTCAAACAAATATGTTAAATTGTGCAACACCTTTGTTTTAAAAATAATAATAAGCCGTGAGTAAAACTGGACGGTGTTTCAAGGTGCGTTTGTGTTTAAAAAAAAAAATTAAAGTACCTACATAAGTAATTTTGCAATACTTTACGACCGTCTTGGTCGTTTGTAATTAAAACTATTTTAAGAGTGTTTTCTCTTGGTACTCAATTAATGTTTCCGTATAAGTAAGTGTAAAAGTAAATTGGTAAATGTATTACAAAATACTTAATTAAATTATTTTACAGTTTAGAGTGAAGGACATCGGTCAATATTGACATTTCAGCCGCCGACTGACTAGCATTAATGACAAAAGCAGCAATATGTGTGGATCTAGTCATAATTGTTCTTCGAGCAGCTGCAGTAATAATTGGTTGAGTTTGGTCTGGTATAACGAAAGCGGCATCGCTGCCTTAAGAAAAGTAGCCCTTTTATTAAAAGATTGTTCGATGGGTAAGTGAACTATGTACAATCTTAATAAGGTATTTGTAATGTCGATGTGCCGTTTTCTGAACATGGCCAGCTATCAATATCAAAAGGCTTATGAATAAAAAAGTTCTAACATTTTACTGACCAATACACGTTATAAATATACTCATGTGAGTCGTGTGACTAAACTAGGATAAAGGAAGGCTCTGTTCGAAAGACATTCAACGTTCATTTTAAATGATATGCTGATGTAAATTGAAAATTATAATCATAGTCCAGGCTTTATCAACCTGGAAACAAACAATGAGGTAAAGAAGTATGATGATAATTTATGATATATCACGTTCCTGACAATAATTTTCTTTCAGCAAACGCATATTTTAAAATAAAAATTAATCATTGCGGGAAGGCACCTGCTCAGTTAATTTTATTAACGAAAGTGATAAGATAACAGAATCGTTTCTGAGGTATTTTACAGCTAGTGAGGGCACAAAGCTAAAAAGAAAAAACTAAAGCACTGCTTAAGAAGTTAGTGATCTCTGTGATGAAGCACCACCATCCAATCACCACATAATGATTCAGAGCTTTTGAGGTTGTTTTTCTCGTATAAAGTTATACTTATAATTATATTTTGTCATGGATTTAAGTGATTGACATTTCATCAACCTAATGAGCAACTCACGCAGAGACAAGTGATAGCTTAGCTCATAATAAGCTTCATCTCATGAAGCCCAAGTCGTGTCAGGACATGCCCTCCCATGGCGTACCTACACATATGAGTACCGGTGGCAAATCACCCTCGCGGGGTGCATATTGTATATAATTTGTTTCCACTAGGTGGAACCTTATGAAATGCCTCTAATGCGTTGCCTACATATACGAGTACCGGTAGCAAACCACCCTCGCGGGGTACATATTACCAAAACTCTAATGACCGCCCCTCGCGGGGGTATATTATGTATAATTTGCTTCCACCGCATGGAACTCTTTATGAATAAGGACATGCTTTCCATGGCTGGCCTACACATACAAGTATCGGTAACAAATCGTTGATGGAAGAATATCCTCATCAATCTTATAATCGCCCTTGTGGGGTCATATCACACATAATATATTATTTCCATTACGTGGAGCTCAATATATATTCTCCTTAGGACATGTTCGCTTATGGAGTTCGTACTATTATGTAAGCACCGGTAACATACGACACTCGAGTGGAGCAAATTATGCATAATTTAACATATTGTCTATTCGTTATTCATAATTTATTTTTGTGACCATGGGGTCTGTAAAAGTGCAAACAATTCGAAACATTAAAAATAAGTAATTTGAAAATATAATAAATGTCGCTTGACATAATTCATTACTTCCATCGTGTGGAAATCTATACATCAACGCAACGCAACATAGCCGCTCATGGCTTGCGTACACACATAAGTATCGGTTATAAACTACCCTCTTAATAGACTAGAAAGATCAAAGATCGAATGTTGATGTACCCCGTTGTTAAGTGCAATGTACACTGGTTTTTAAGGTGTCGCATACTCCGAGGTCCGGTGGGGCAAATCATTGTATGATAAAAACGAGCATCGGTGCCTAAGTCTTGGTTGTTAACACATATTTATTCAAAATCATACTAATCTATGCATCATCATTATGCATTTCTATGCGTTAGCCCATAACACAAGCCTTTCAATGCCTATTAAGAGGCTAGGCTAATTGGTCTGAAGTGTAGACTCGATCACTACGGTTGTTTTACCGTAATATAGTTATCAAGGACGTGCTGTAATAATTTCAAAAGGAAAAGGAATGTCGAAACAATTAATGTTTGAAATATAGTGCAGGAGAATTGGTAAATTGGGAGCACCACAAATAATTCTTAAATAAATTTGGTGGTATAGCATGCCATTCAAAAGCTTGTTTATCTAAATCCAATATATATCAAACTCCAATCTCAAGTGCAGTACACTATAAAAATGTAAAGAATTCTAAGTTTTCTGCAATTTAAGGACTACCTGCCAGATAGATAGATGATAACACATTTTCCCTTGAAAATAACAAAAGCAAACCAAATGCAAAAGCAAACATGCAATATTGGAAATGTCGTGTATGAGGTGTCTGAGATGGTCAACATGATCATTTTGATATATAAGTGGTGCTATGTACTGAAGAAAGATTGCACGATCTACCAAATTCTTGAAAGGTTTTTGAAGATCATTGTATGCAATTATCCACTTTATGTTATTTTTAGTAAAAAATACTGAAAACTGTTCTTAATATTAAACTTACGCTTTCTAACCTTGCCACGACTGTCTGGAATAAATATACTTTAAACCCTACGCATACTACATGCACACCTCAAGTAAGCTGTGTAAACCTTATAACTTAATCTTTATTAAGTATTAACTAATACATATAAATGACCTTGATCTAAGAAATGAAAAAAAAAAAAAAAGGAAATATTATAATCAATTATAGATTCCAGGATGGCAAATGAATTTCATAAAATCTGGTCTAAACTTCGTAATAGCATAATTTATCACGGCAACCCTGCAACAATATAAAAACTATACCTGAGAATTTCGTTGTAAAAGAGTAAACTTCAGAAGTTGATCGGTTTCAACATTTTTGTCATTGTGTGGGGTTGTATCAACCACTCCCTACTTCTAACAATAATTATGTATTCACTGCAATCGACCTTGCAATCACTTCCCGCCAATCTAATATGAAAGCTTGGGAAGTATAATTGAAGAACACGGCTCTACCACTTCACTTCAATCTCCACTCCAATCATATAGATATGCTAGCACTACGCTTTTCATCATATTCTATAAAGAGCGACAGCTCTGTATGTCTGTATCAGATGGCTCGAAAACGCTGGCTTGCGTGGTTGCATTGGTCTAGGAACAAGAATGTTTATCGGAATAATCCCGCAGGTTGTGGACTCAGATCTGAGCTAACACGATTTTTGAGACTTATTTTTAACACGTGACTTATCTCAAAATAAGTACTATTATTTTAAATAAGTCAGTAGTTTTTACATGATATACCAATGGATGATAAGTCTAATTACCTAAGCTCACCTGTCTTGGCAAACACATATATTGAAGTCGATTGTTTTTAAAGAATCGGTCCGTAACCCACTATTCTGGAGAATCTATAAGTTAACTTATTTCCTTTTCTTCAATAATGTACTCGTTACATCATAATGATCTGTTTCAAATACCTCGTCATACTAGTTGTTCTGAACATCATACAGTAATTATGCTGCGTATTATTTGGTTCAGCATGTGGTACACATGACTTGTTCCTACTTCAAATTAACCCGAATCATTGTATTGGTACCGACGAAGATTAGTTTTAGCCTTGTTTTGGTTCAAAACAGGTGAAAGTAGTTAGAGACAATCCGATTGGTGACATGTACCGAATACTGGTAATTGTAAATGGGACCCTGATTTTTGGTACTTAAGAAAAAAGTACAGTCTTGTAAAATGTAAGACTCAGTATCGAACAACTTTACTTCTTTTCTCGCATTCCTACGCCTTTTTGTGATAAACAAAGATACAAATGAATGCTACACAAGGAAGCGTCCAGTCATTAAGAAAGCAAATATATATATATAATTAAGTAAGCAAGTTTAAGTCAAGGAATATAGCAATCAGCTAATACATATGTTAAAGCAGCTTCGTGAGCGTGAAGAAATTAAAGGCGGGATTCAAATAATGTTATTTGATCCATTTTTAAGCTTTTTCTTTTCTATAAACAGTTTCATATAATCTGATAAATGTTAATATTTAAATATATCATAAATTGTCACATTGGCGTTGTATCTATGTACGTGGCGATCACCAGGCGATAACAAACAGGTCTCAATATAAAGCTTTCAGTGACGGTCAAGTAGTTTAATAGCAGCATTTTACCTGAAATAAAATGCATATTAAAATACTTACCTCACTGAAAGCTTTCACTTTAAATTCTGCCTGGTGAAATAATTGAGCCAATGAGTTAATATGGCGCTGTCAAAACTTAGGAAAACAAAAATGGCCGCGCTTCTGCCAGGTGTCGCCACTGGACCGGATATAAGGTGATAAAAGTACGGAAACTGATGGTAATTCGACGGGAAACGGAAGTGCTATCTCAATATAAAGCTTTCAGTGAGGTAAGTATTTTAATATGCATTTTATTTCAGGTAAAATGCTGCTATTAAACTCTGACAAATAAAATATTGTTTATAATTTATTGGAAATTGTTACATTATATTGAAATGTCTAAGAGTTATTTTCTTTATATTATCTAGATGGTACTCAGTTTAAACATGAGCAATATAATAAGATTATTTAGGATAATATGTGGAGAATACTAAACTTATCTTCCTTAAGATTTTAGCGTGATGGCAGCCAAGTTATATATTATTTATACTGTTACTTAACGAGTGCTTGACGCTAGGTGCCAGCGATCGCGCTAGCGTACGAAACCGCCGAGTCGGACATTATGAAACGGCCGCCTAGGAACCCGTTTTGTGACAAGCTAGTCAACGAGAGGTCTCTATGCGTGTTGCGTTATTGTGTGGACGTTCATACTAACCGAGTTTCAGCTAACGCCTGTGTCTCGATATCGTTACGGTGTTACCTAATAACGACACTGTTCTACGTCATCCGAATGAGGGCTACCGTTTTCTGCCTCACCAGATGGCGCCACTGTTGAGTGAGGTCCTAAATTGTAACTTTTAAAGTTTATTAATACGCACATGAAATCAAAAGGTTACATGTAGATCGTATTTTAACACAAAAGAACCATATCCTAAACATAATAGGCCATGCCACAGTGACGCGCAGTTCCGTTTTATTCGGAAAAAATGGGAACATAATCATTTTTCTAAGCTCAAATTTTTAATAACTGACATTCATTGCCACATAACTCATATTTGCCATAATTAAGCCGAATTGTTACCAATTATTCACAACATTATTTTAATTAGAAATAAACCCGCGTAGTCAACCAACAAGCAATAACATTTGACATTTCGGAGACCTCACGCTACACTAGCGCCTCTAGCGGCGGATTCATACGCGATAGCCCTCATTGATACTCGGAGCTGATGAGTAATGTTGAGTTCACCCGATGAGATGCGATCACGGAGGACAGTGACACTAATACTGTGATATGAAAATGTGGAATCTCGCAGGCAGCTTAACAGTTTGAAAGCATTTCACTAGTCGTAAGATCTAACGGGATACCGTATGAGACTGTACCAGTCGTAGAGAGACATGTATGTGTCCGTATCCGTATGTACAGACACGATACCCACCGACACACTCCCCCCACCACCCCCCAGACACCCCGACACCCCCTAACGCCCCCCTACATCCCCCACATGACCCGTCCGGTTCCGGCGCCATCGATACGACCATACTCATCCACGACTCATTCGTTCGACTTTACGTTTCACACGCCGGGTCCCATCCACCCGATGTCATGTCATGGTCTACATTTTTGTTATGTGTTTACGATTATTTTGTGTGACATAGTTTGTAAGCACAAGCGGTCGCAAGCGGGACGCGTGGAGCCGCTCCGCTTGCGGCCGCTTGCTGAATGTTCGGTGTTGTACACATGTTCTAATGATGCGCACGCTTTGGTCCGAGTGCGAGGTAGAGCGCGTGGTGTCCCGCCCTCAGATTCGCCGTTTACTAACACCCATTTATTCAAAAATAATTGTATATGATCGCCCAAATTTTGCTATGTTCGCTTTTGAGTACTATTTGAGTAATCGTTTTAAACACATTTGCTCCGAAAATGCATTTACGGACGTTTTACCGCGCCTTCCCATACACGGCGCCGTGCTTATCCTTTACGGTTGTTTTTTGATGTATAACATCTTTCCTCTCGCTTTCCTGCAATAGGGTATTTGACAAGTTTTAGAAAACGATCTCACGTTATTGACTAATGTTTATGATGTCAATAAAAAGTGGATATTCATCATTCTGTTGCGTATTTCATTAAAAATAATAAAATCAAAAACTCCTTTTTCAAGTTGCCGCAAAAACGTTTCTCTGGACAATATGGCATCTTACTAGTGTGTGACGTCACACGACTGTTATTAAAACGTCAAACGATACAATGTAATGTCTCTTTTACCGGAAGTTTACTTGCGTGTGACGTCATTTTAGGCTCCGCCAAACCCAAGCGTTTTGGGTCACGTGACAATAGATATTTTGTAAATATAGTAAAAACCCCTGCCAATAATAATTCTAAACACAGATGCTAACAATTGGCCCTTCATTTTTAATACTGTCAAATACCCTATTTGTGGGAGTGATGTCCTGAAATGGGACAGAAGTGTGTAACAGGAAGTCGCGAAAGCGCGCGCTATTTGATTTGATTTTAGAACGTAATGTTCAATTGGCTTATTCATTTTGTAGTAGGTTTTATTTCTTTTTTTTTACTAATATAAGGTGAGGTTTCAAATGTTACACATCATACGCGACTACTGTAAGGCTCGCTTGTTTATTTTTTTATTTCGGTCGAACCTCCTTGGAAGTGATTTTATTTTATACCATTGTTTCACTCTAATACTAAAAAGCAAAAGAGATGAAAGATGTAGTTGCTAATTTTCACCGCACAGGGCGCCATTTGAAAATGCCCGCAAGTTTTACTTAAATTAGATATAAGTACTGTTTTCTCGCAAATGTGTTAAAAAACGTTGTTGTATGACATTCGTGCAGAATTGGTATTTACAAATTCGTAACTATGGTTGCTACAATACTTATTTATGATACTAGTGCGGCAAGTTGGTACTAGTATCATAAATAAGTATTGTATCGTCTCGCGCGATAGACGACGTAGAGACGTTAGCGTCGGGACTGGGAGTGGGTGTCAGTAGCCGGGGGAGGCTGTAGGCGGGCCGTATTCCGGCGCTCAGAAGGCTAGTGTTTGTGTAGGTGCCCGCCATTTCCCTGGCCTACGAGGAGGCCGAATCTGACATAATGAAGCGCCAGCCGCGTAATCCTTTCACTGATAAACTCGTTAACGAGAGGTAACTCGCCCGGGTGACTGCCCACCCGTTGAACAATATTATTGTATCCGCTATTTGCTTGCTACCACGTGTCAGCTAGTGTTGGGTCTGAGGTTTGGTTGTTGCCTGTGGACGGTGTCGTCACGATAGTGTGTGGAGTGTTGGAGGCGACCATCGCACCGCTCCTACTTATGGCTTGCGATGTCTTTACTCAGTTTTCTATTCTAACAGATATTCTTCTTATCTAATGTAGCTTGATGTCGCGATGGAACAACGCGTCTTGGTATCGCACGCGTCAATCAAACGCTTTGTTTCATTTGTGTGTGTGTTTTTACGTATCTCTCTATACATTTTTTTTTAATATTATTAACGTAATGAGTGGTCGCGCTTCCAAGGTAAGTGGATTCGGTGTCTTCCGTCTCTGTCACTTGTCTAACATGCATGCACTTGTCCGATGTAACTATCTCCTTCCTTACTAATAGAAAATTAAATCTTTTCGGTACCTTGTTCCTGTTGATGTTTTTAGCGCGTGTTTATTAATGTGTTTTCATTAGTAAGGATTTATCGTTTTATACTTTATTTATATGTTACTTTTTATCTCATAATTTGTTATCTCATGATCTCCATGCACACCACACGATATGTCTCACAGACTCGTTATCATTCGTTGTACTCACGGCCACAGCTTCCCACTCACCCTCGTACGAGTATGTATCATGTACTGTCTCATCTATTTACAAAGGTCAGCTACACTACCCGTATTATATGGTACATTATTATGTAACACTATTATAATTATTCTGACGCTGCTAGGGCTTATTCGTAACTTCTATCACTAGAGTAGTGTTTACAGATGTTCAGAGGTAATGACGTTGATGATTTTTTAATCCTTATCACGCTAATTTCTCTCATACGTATATCTAGTTAATGAGTAATTAAGTTAATTAGTTGATAATCGGCGAGGGTATCGATAGCAGTAGAGGAGAGAGAGCGGTGTGTATATACATATACATATATATATGACGCGACTCGTACCGTATAAGTGGTGGTGTCGTATGTGCTGATTGGTTGGTGTTACCGAAGGTGCCTGCTATATCATTGGCGTACGAGGCGCCCGAGTCCGATATCATGAAGCGGCAGCCGCGGGACCCTTACCGCGACAACCTGGTCAACAGAAGGTCGGCATCGCATCGAGCCCACGCCCCAGCTTTTAGTATCGTCTGGGTGTTGTCGCCCGCCTTCACGCCCCTTCAGGCCCCGCCCACTCCAAACACGAGTGCATCAAACTGCTTGTCCACTTTTGAGCGATCATACCAAGTCAAGTTTGAACTACACCAATTCTACGATGACAATATTGTATGCCAATCGTTATGTTTTCAATCGTACACTTTTCGCAATTTGTTGACCCTCATCACCGCTGAATAGGGATGATGACTAATTTTTTTTTCTTTGTTTATCAGGTAGATTGTCAAAAAGTATTGGACACGTATTTTTTCTTTTTTTACATAATATAAACATAACAATATAAACACAACATAAACAGCAGAGATATATTGATTTAAAAAGTCGCATGACGTCACGTTTGAGTACACTTATAAGTGAAAATTCACTCAAAAGTGACGTCACGAGCCCCTACTCCCAAACTTTGACGCGCTATAACTTTGTCATTTATTGGTTGATTGCCCAAAGAAAAAATACGTGTCTATTATTTATTGATCATCTAACTGACGGACTAAATAGAATTTCGTTTACTGTACCTTGTCATCACCCCTATTGTCAATGACTGTCAAAAGTGTACGCCTGATCTTGCTTGCATTTGACAAAAATAAATTTTGGTACTTATCTTGCGCTACAAAAGTGGACACTTTTCATGCATAATAAGTAAATATTGGGCTCGTATCTAGACAAAAGATTTATCGTAAAGTGGGCGGGGCTGGGTGGTGAGGGCGTGGCCACTTGTGACTGAAGCGACTATAACCGACACTGGATGTGGAAGAGTGAGACGCCAGCATGCGATGAGCAATCCTCCCCCGAGTTTAGTTAGAACGCCGGCCGCAGCGACCGCGGCGACTGGCGCCCGCGATCACTGTATCACCCAGTAATGACCCCTCGACTTGTGTAATGTAACGATGTAACGAAACGCCGACTGAAACGCGGCCGTACCACACACACCCGACTCGATGTTACCGCTTTCCAATCGAATATACACGATCAGTCTACGATGTGTACTATTAACTATATAGAATACCACACTACTCACTTTCTTTCGAGTTTTGAGTACGATTTCCTTTATTTAGTTTTGGAGCATAAGATTTTTGGAAACTTGTCACGTATCGCATAGACTTTAGAGGAGGTAGTCCTTTATCTCTATCTCTTCAACCTTCACTCTTCCATATTTAACGAGAGCGTCTCGAACGCGCGCACGTTAGCCGCAACCTAGAGGTTCTAGCCCTCGTCATAGATCACTATATATAGTGGATTTATTTGTGTGAGTTTTCGTGTTAGAGTAGAGCAGATATAGAGTTAGTGCAGTAAAATGCGTTTTAGATTTTGTTTTTTATCAGAAGAATGTACTACTAGGTGACATGGAGCATCAGTATTATATTTTTATAGCTATATTTTATTTATATTATGCCACGTATTATATACGTATGTAAATATTATGTAGAATAGTATTGCATGTAGCTCCGACATCCGAATCACTCCTGCGCAAACGCTATCGCCGCACGAACACTCGACATCCCCCGCCTTTTCACATTGAAAGCTAAGTAAATCTCATTTAGACTAGGCCTTCCCCTTGCTTATTAGCAAACAAAAGTCGCGATAGCCAGAAATCAAATTGATATGAGCATGATTATCAAACCGTCCTATTAATGAACGAATATTAAGCTTGGAATAATGGTAGCATTACGAGACATTTGTAAGTAATGACACAAAAATGAATCACTGATTAAATATATACAAGCTTAGATTCTGTTTATTATAAGAAGACCTCTAATGCTTGAAAATTTTCCATACCTTTGCCATAAAAAAAATATAAACTGGCAATTCTTTCGATGTGAACGGATGACTTTACTTTAGGGTTCATTTGGATTACGAGCTTCTCCTCTAACCCTTGGTTTTTGACGTGACAACGTCTAAAATTAGGTTGCGGCTGGGAGTCACTTATGAAAAAGTGTAACGCTCGGTAACGTTACGATGAGTCTCTCGTGTTAAGTTTAAGTTTACATGTACAATGTTTTAGTAAACAAAATATATTTCTATAGTTAAAATTTGTGCAATTCTTATTTTCATTCAATTCCTTGTTCCTATTGTGCAATTTAATTATATTCATATCAATAAATATTCTACCGAGAAAAAGACGTTGTCACGTAAAATCTTCGCCCGTAAAACCGACTTTACAGGCAACCATTTTTTTTTTTATTTCTTAGAGCTACAATGTCAATGTTGTGTTTACTTCTGCATTAAGTTATTGTTTTTGCATTTTACGCTGATAATATTATTTAATAATTAAAACTGCAGCTATGTTATGAGATTGCACGATAACTCTACTTAACTTGCTATTACTTAACCTTTCTACGGCTTATATCAATATTTCGATCAATGTTATTCCTTCTAAATATTACTACACTCCCGAGCAATGAATCCGGGTCACTCTTAAATCAACTCATGATAGCATACTTTATTAATTGAACGTGTATAATTTTATTTAGAATTGAGAGGATTCAAAATTTTATAATTTTAATATCAAATCACAGTATACAATAACGACAAGAATATTACCCATTTTCATTGCTCTTTTGTGTATTTAATCTATATGTAAGTTTGAACACAGACCCAGATAATGATTTAGAGCGCCGATCTATGTGTGATCAATCATAATCTTATCGATCATTATTTAAGAAAGAAACAAAGTGTTTTGACATCTTTATAATTAAAAGGAGACAAGTCAAGCTTACCAACTTTTGCAATAAAGGGTAATTTGTACCATTGAAACACTATTATGTTTTTCATTTATAAAAAAATGTTTTTATGAAAAGATTTCTAATTTGTATTTGTGAGTGAACTTCCGACAAAGCTCTATACTCAAGTTTCATGGGTCTGTGAAATAGTTATCAATATTCTTCGCAATATTGATGTAAGTAGTACTTAGTTCGTAATGCATGATGAGTATATATACTCTACTGTATCTGTGGTAAAATGAAAGGTAAGTATTCTTGAAAAAGCCTAAAAATAATATTTGTTGCGAAAATATGAAATGAAAGTTATTTAAGTAATGTCCTAATTAACACACATCTATAACACAGCGTTGATTATCTCAAACCATAAAAGAAAATGTTTGATGTCTTTTATTTTTCTTATTTTCGCAATAAAACAAATGTTAGCTCTGTAGTGGGAGAAACTTAGACATTTTCAATGGTGACAGCAAAATAATTTTATAAATTGTGAATTTAAGAAACCCTTGACTTACAAATCGTACTTCAATTTAATTTTTTAAGGTAAAATTTATCATATTCGTTACTCACACTACACAATGTTACCAAAAAAACCAGTCTTGCTTACATAAATGAAAATAAAAACCAAGAAGTAAATCAACACTCTTAAAGTTTCAACTCGAGATTGGCTTCCGAAGTGTTTGTTACGCGCGGCAGTGCTGACACATGATGTGACTATCGGCAGGTTGATCTCGATGGCGTACGGCCAGATCGGCATGATCCAAGCTGCAGCAGGCTTCTTTGTGTACTTCGTCATCATGGCTGAGAACGGATTCTTGCCCCTCAAACTGTTCGGCATCAGGAAGCATTGGGATTCGAAGGCTATCAACGACTTGACCGACTCCTACGGACAAGAATGGGTTCGTATATTGACACTTGATTTTGCCATTTATTTATTGGCTAAAATATAATTGCACCAGTATCCATTTGTGATTCTACATCACACGTTTGCCTAGATTTGCTTTACATTTAACCAAAAGGACATTGTAGAAATTATAATAATTTAAAAGACATTTCTTTATCGCATATTCATTATAAAGGCTCAGAAAATACATAATTAAGAGATCACATTCGTTAGCACAAAGTGTCAAATGCATACTAGCTATTGTGCACCTTATATGAAGCGACTTAATACTATGTCCATGTTCCAAAACGAGGACTAAAATAAGTCTTGGTTTAAACTTAATGTTGTCTTTGTCTTATTTTTAGCAAAGCAAGTTTAAATTTAGCCAAAGTTTTGTAATAAAGCGTATTAAGTTTTGGATACCATTTGCTGTTATATTGGTGTCGATTCTGGCATGATTCTCTTAACTTAAACCAAATTTAACATCAGTCTGTCCTTTTCATTGTGTATAGAGAATGACAAGGATACATTATTGTCAAATTTAATTTGACACCATTGATGTAAAAAAACAAATAGGTAGACTCACAACCGCGCTCAAAAAATCGACATCATTATCATCATTAATTTGTCTACTCCTTAATTAAAGTCAAATGAGCCACAGTGGTGTCGATTCTGGCGTGATTCTCTAAACTTGAAACAAAATTTAACATCAATCTCTCCTTTTCATTCTGTATAGAGAATGACAAGGATACACTGTTGTCATATTTAATTTTAGGTTTAGAGAATCATGTCAGAATTGACACCAGTGTCAAATATTAAAGACTTAACGACTGTGAACCTTCCAACGATTCAAAACTTATTCAGATACCCCGTAATGTTGCAGTTACATTGCATTCCTATAGTATTCCACCTCTAAAAAAGTCAAACCCAATAATAATGATCGTTATAGTGCGAACAAGGGTCTTTATGAATCTGGCGAAAATTGGAACTAACGTTTTTGAATCTTTGTAAACGTCATAATTTGTATGTCATTAACGGTCACTCACTAAGACAGTGGCGCCCTCTCAGGAGCCCTATTCGCTAACTGCTTTTGACAGATGGAAGTGACAATCACCGAGCTGTTTAGTGGTAGTGATCCACTACTGCTTTATTATAACGCCACTAAGATGACTCGTTCTGTAAACCATCGATGGATTTGCAATATTCTCTTTAGTTACGCACTGTAAATGTCAAATGACTAAATTTTTTTCGTCTTCGTTTATCAGGTAGATCCTATATATAAAATGGACACGTATTTTTTCTTTTTTCACATAATATAAACATTGCAGAGATATAGTGATTTGAAAAGTCGCATGACGTCACGTTTGAGTACACTTATAAGTGAAAATTCACTCAAAAGTGACGTCACGAGCCCCTACTCCCAAACTTTGACACGCTGTAACTTTGCCTTTTTTTGGTCGATTGCCCAAAGAAAAAATACGTGTCCATTTTATATATAGAATTTCGTTTACTGTACCCCGTCATCACCCCTATTGCTGCTCGCGTTCATCTCTTGTCGGAATATAATATGAAACGTTGATGTTGATGGGTGTGTGTATGGCTTGGCGCAGACGTACCGCGACCGCAAGGCGCTGGAGTTCACGTGCCACACGGCGTTCTTCGTGTCGATCGTGGTGGTGCAGTGGGCCGACCTGATCATCTGCAAGACGCGCCGCAACTCCATCGTGCACCAGGGCATGCGCAACTGGGCGCTCAACTTCGGCCTCATCTTCGAGACCGCGCTGGCCGCCTTCCTGTCCTACACCCCCGGCATGGACAAGGGCCTCAGGATGTACCCTCTCAAGTCAGTCGCAAATTTGTTTCTTAGGTTTTCGCGCACATCACTCGTTAAATAAAACTAGTTTTTACGGGTCAATGCACGAAACTTTATTTATTTATTGACGTTCCGTAGCCTTTACAGGCTACGTCGTCAGAATTAAACTTTTATTTGATTTGTCGAGCTACCTTCGAAAGACTTTTATTGAGCGTTCGGTTATTTCATTGTTCGATTTTTAAAGTTTTATTGTCTACTAGTGGCCCGCCCTCGCTGCGCTTCGGTGTAGAGCTGTAGTGTAACTATATTTTGTTCTCAGGCTTGTGCTATAAACAATGACTTTATTTATATAATTACACGTGTTATAGTGAGTCAACCATAAAAGATAGATATATGCTGTTGCGGGATATTTTTTAGACAATTTTATGTAGAATATTTCCGTCATACATGATTTCTAAGTAACTTTAATCATTAACCATTAAGGCTGCACACGCGACGGAAGCTTAAAAAATGGTGTAACTTCTCCCGTTTTCCCAACATTTCCCTTCACTACTCTGCTGCTATTGATTGTAGCGTGATGAAAAGTATACTATAACCTGCCCAGGAGTATGAAGAATAATTGTACCAAGTTTCGTTAAAATCCGTCGAGTAGTTTTTGTTTCTATAAGGAACATACACACAGACAGACAGACAGACAGACAAAAATTTTACTGATTGCATTTTTGGCATCAGTATCGATCACTAATCACCCCCTGATAGTTATTTTGAAAATATATTTCATGTACAGAATTGACCTCTCTACAGATTTATTATAAGTATAGAAGATGTATGAATTTATTATTTAATTTACTTAATAAAGTATTTTATTTATAATTCTTTTTTGTAATTTTGAGTTTATTTATTTGACCCTAACTACCGTAAACTACCACCGGTTCCAAAATTGGGCGACCTTTCTGAGAAGAACCGGCGAAAACGTAGCCTGTAAAGGCTACGAAACGTCAATAAATAAATAAAGTTTCGTGCATTAACCCGTAAAAACTAGTTTTATTTAATCAGTGCCAAATTCTAAAAGCATTTATTCAGTTTAGGTTTCTACAAGCACATGTGAGGAGCTCGATGGCGCAGGTGGTTAGCGCGTTCGGCTGCGATCGTTGAAGTTAAGCAACTGTCGCAGTGGTCGGTCATTAGATGGGTGACCAAAAATTTACTATCTCGAGCTCCTCCGTGCTTCGGAAGGCACGTTAAGCCGTTGGTCCCGGCTGCATCTGCAGCCGTTAGCACCCACCAATCCGCACTGGGCCCGCGTGGTGGGCCATGGCCCAGGCTCCCTATTCCATCCATAGGAAAGGCCTGTGCCCCAGCAGTGGGGACATTAATAGGCTGATGATGATATGAAAGTCGAAAACTACGGCGGGAGACCTTGTACTGAGAAGAACCGGCAAGAAACTCAGCAAGGGCTGCTTTTCTACCGTGTTTTATTTCATACGATGTCGTCAAATTGAAAGTTGACATCAAACTTACATGCGTTGAGGTCAACTTTTATCACATAATGTCAAATAGGTTACAGTAGACAATCAACGAATTTACTAAGAATAAGTGTAAAGAAAAGTCCCAAAATAGCAAGAAAGTATCTTCAAAACAAATTGAGCAATTATATGAAAGGGAGTAAGTGCAAGGTTCCCTTCAAAACTTTTTTATTCTATTAATATGATAAATGTATATGCTTCTATGTTTTCTTCTCAGTCACACATAACTATGGAACGATTAAATTTTATCTAGATTGAGATGTAGAATACTTTTTGTAAGTCTGAAAAAATGTCAGGTCCCTGTGGGATTCTCAAATAACAGAAGTTTACGCGGATGAAGTCGCGGGCGATCGCTAGTATAGTATAAAACAAAGTTGTCGTTCCCGCTGTCTGTACGCTTAGATATTTTAAATGACGCAACGGATTCTTATGTAAATTTCAGCAATAGATTGTGTATTTGAAGATAGAATGTTTATTTGTATAATACAAGCCCAAAATTGTAGTTTTCATCGAAGCTATGTGAGGCCAGATCACTCGTAAATAAATGAATATTTCTAACATTCACATCAATTAGCCTTGACACCATAGTAAGCACTGTAAGGCTTGTGTTATGGGACACCGGGATAACGATAGAATTACATATACTGATACATATATTTTTCTAAAGGTACATATAAACAGTCATGTCTTAAGTCCAAATGCTTGTCTTCATCACACGAAACATTCGCCCTTTAAGTATTTACCTTGAAAACCTGCGTACATATCAGTCGCACTGCGCAGGTCGGCTATTCCCTTCTTCTCGTCATCGGTGTTGGAACTTATCTTGCGGTTCTCTTGCCTTGTAGATTCGTGTGGTGGTTGCCCGCCATTCCGTTCATGCTGTCGATCTTCATCTACGACGAGATCCGGCGCTTCTACCTGCGCCGCAACCCGGGCGGCTGGCTGGAACAAGAGACTTACTATTAGACGCCCCCACCCCGCTTGTTCCCCCGTTTCCTGCCGTCCCCCCCTGCCCCCCTGCTCCCCCCTCCCCCGCCCCCCGCCCCCCGCCCGCCGCACGCGCGGGGGCATGTGTCCGCGCGTGCCCGTTCGCCCCGCACGCCCCGCACGCCCCGCGGACGTATGCCCCGCCACCTATACCGCCTTGCCCCTGCCCCCGCCTGTCCCCCGCCTGTCCCCCATCCCCCATCCCCCGTCCCCCGCACACAAACTCACCGTTACCGTTCGACGAACTATGTATGTATATATGCACAGTGGAGTATGGAGTTTGATATTTGTGATGATAAAAATATTATACGCGTACTATTATTTGGGAGTGGTGAATCATGTTATTTTTGTATCGAGATGGTTTATGTGAGTCGCGTGCGCCGGCCTCGGGTCGGGGTCGGGCCCGGGCCGGCGGCGAGCGTTCGTTGTAAAATTAAAATCTAAGAAGCCATTATTATTATTATTATAATTTAAGTGAATTAGCTTAAGTTGAATTTTTCGAGTGTTCAGTTGGAGATTGGTTCGGGTGCATGGTGTGTGAGAGTCGATGTGGAGTGCCTGAGTTTAGTTAGCGTCACTACCGCTTACTGTTAGGTAGGTTATCGAATATCGATGCCGTATTTTGAATCGTAAGTGTAGACACGGAGCATGGCACGGACGCGTCGCTTGCGCACGACGAGCCGGCGCTTTACTTTTATAACCGATACTCTGATCATTAGCGTCAACGTTATTAAAATAGGCTGCTCATGTAAAATTACGTAAGATTTTATTTCTTAATTAAAGGATAATAACAAAACGTAGGGATGCGTAATTAGAGATTTTTAAAATTATACAGTTATGATAGAGTGGCGTCCTGCCGATCCGCGCGGGCCGGGCCGCGAGGGGCCGCGACCCGGGCCGCAGGGGGCCGCGAGGGCCCGCGGAAGGGCCGCGAGGGGCCGCGGGGGCCGCGACCCGGGCCGCAGGGGGCCGCGCGGATGCTCATTCACATTTTTCGTAACGAATACATATAACATTATAATAATGGTTACAAAAGTAAAATATAACATTATAGCGACTAATAAATCTAAATTATATGAAATGTTTATAGATTTAAATGAAGTTCGTTTCTTTAGGGTGACCTTCTGTGCTTGTTTGATGAGGACGTTGTTCATCTCATTGACAATAGTCGTTGATGATATAATTATAATTGTGGCGATCCGATCTTGTGAGCGGTTTGTTTGAACTACACTGTAGAACTAATATTGTTTTGCGTTGGACAGTTCTTTACACCGTTTCATTTTATAGTATTACTCTGTTGGCTAGGAGCGCTGTAAAAATGTAAGTGTTAATAAAAAAAACATTTTCAAAATATTATTTTGGTGTTTCATTCGTTGTTATAATTTTAATTTTGGACCTTTACGATGAAATATTTGTGTGTGCCTGTGTACTTTTTGTGTATCGTTGCCGCGTGCCGATGCATGTTGCGTACTTTGAACTTATTCTTGGCCAAACGACGCAAATGCATCAAACAATGCTATTGAATAAAAACTATTAATAAGGATATCTTTTGATTTTTAGTATCACTTCCCTTAACCGTTCTATGTAGATTTGTTAGAGGCAGCTATCAAATATAAAAGACTGCTAGGCTCAAACAGAAATATAATCGATTTGATATTATAATAAAAAATATAAATTATATACTGGTGTTTACAGTCATATTATTACGATTGCTATTAAATTAATCTCCTTTGCTTTTGACTACAGAAAAAAAATGGGTGCGTGTACTTATGTAGGCGCGTGAGAAGTTATCCTTCTTTTTGGCATCGTTTAAAATTAGTTTTTAATTGCATGCAAATAATTAATTACAATAAATTAATAAAAAGTCAGGAAAAGGACACAGTCAATAAAGTTCAGTTTTAATTTGAAAAAATAAATAAATAATCAAAATATTCAATTAAAATCGCTACTGAATATAATTTATTAGAACATATGTGATTTGCACTTGTATGAAACTCAAACACGTATTCCGATTATACAAACTAGAAACGTGGATAAATATTATAAATATGAATACCTATAACTGTTACTTTATTACAAAAAATAAAGATGTGGTTTTTGGTTCTACTACACCAATGGTCAAGAGATGGCGCTGTAGTCTCCTGAATCGCGCTTTGGTTCCGTTGTTCCAGATTAATAAATACTTTTGATAGGCCTTCACAATGCAGTCGTTAGCACCCACTAAATAGAGATTCTATTTCTATTTTGTTGGTAGATTTTCTTAATGTGCGGTAAACACAAAAGTAACGCTAGTAGTAGTCGCTTTAGCGACCAACTTCATGCTGTTAAAATTTTGTGTTACAGTGATGCGCGCGCATCTTAAAATTTCACTCTCATCATTAAATTTTTTCATAACGCGCCTAAAGAAGTATAACTTCAAAAACTAAAAAAACAACCCAAATTCTTTCAAACCTGGCTGGTTGTGGTAACTTTGTAATCTATAAATATTTAGAATTGAGCAAACGTAAAGTTCAATGTATACACTTCTAAAAGTGACGCATGAATAAAGATTTACCCAAATTGCTGACTTAAAGTAAACTAATAAAGTAATAGCTAACAGAATCAGTTAGACATTATAAAACAATATGGCTAAGTGAAATTCAGCGGTCAATGGAGCGGTATTTAGCAGATAAAGAGCAGCAGTTATTTTTGGAGCCAACGTAAATGAGTTCTGTTTACCGGTGTTAAAGTTCATTATGAAGGATAAAATAGAATCAAACTTTAACATAGGGCGGGTCTCTTGAAGCTACCACGATCGGCTCTATCCAAGACATCTTAATATTACTGGTAATATTGCGAAGGTAAACTGGGGTACTGAGTTTACCGATGCAATATTACCTGTAAGGCGCTTTGCAGACGACGGGGCGGGGCGGGCCGGTCAATTTCGCCGCAAATAATAGCACAAAGTGAATCCTATACTTCAAACGCACACAGCGGGCAAAAAGACCGCGCCTTGGGTGCCCGGCGGGCAGTGGCGGCGCGGCATGTCCGCGGCTGCCCGCCGTGGATCATACAAACCAGTTTATATGCAGTAACGCAGACGGCGGCGCGGGGCGGTCAGCTCACTCCGCGCCACGCGCTTTATAGTGATGGACTATTCCACGCGCTTTATACCGACGCAATATCGAGGAGCTCGATGGCGCGCGTGGTTAGTGCGTTCGGCTGCGATCGTTGAAGTTCAGCAACTTGAACAACGTTCGGTCATTAGATGGGTGACCAAAAATCTTCCATATCGAGTTCCTCCGTTCTTCGGAAGGCACGTTAAGCCGTTGGTCCAGGCTGCATCTGCAGTCGTTAGCACCCGCCTGCACAGAGCGCGCGTGGGTCATGGCCCAATCTCCCTATTCCATCCATAGGGAAGACTTGTGCGCCAGCAATGGAGACATTAATAGGTTGATGATATGAGCTAGAAAGTTTGTATCGCCATCACCAAAGTTTATATGGAAACTATCCAGCGCCCGAACGTAAAAACAAACTATAGTTCCTTTCATTAAAACTTTGGCGATAAGAATACTTTCTCGCTTGCTGTTCGTGGTGGGTGTAAGTCAGAGGCAAATTTACCGAGCCGAGATCTTTTCTTTTTTTCGTCTGGCAAATGCCTTACGCATCCTTCAACCACTGGGGGAGCGAGAAGAAGGTATGTGGGACTCCTCCCTGTCCTTTTCAGCCAGCCCTGGAGCTCGCTGATGTGAGCAGGGCCCTACCTACAACCTGAACAGGGCCACTATAAACCAGACAATGAAATGAAAAGTCATTTATTCAGTCTAGGCTGTGACAAGCACTTGTGAAGGTCAATACTCGTGCACCGTCACCCGACACGCACTATGAGGACCGCGGTCCCCCTACTGCGTGCCGAGAGGGCGGTTGTGGTCGCGGAACCCGTCGCCGAATAGCCGCGCTCCCGCCACGTGACCGAGCCGAGACCTGAGTGAGGAAAAAAGTCAAAGAAGTCATTAGTTACTATTATTTATTTTGATTTCATAGCCCCATCATTCTATCAGGGGATGCAAATAGTAATGTTCGAACCATGAGTTTCTTCGGCGTCCATTCCTTGATGACCAACGCAGATTCCGACGATGTTGGTGCTAACACTGGGGTCAGTGAACTGGAAATAGGGCAACCAAAAGCTGAACCCAGATGTAACCAATTAATGTTCATTAAGTCACGTGTTTTTTCCTGCTTTTGTTTTGTTATTACAAACAAACTGACAGCTTCAACTTTAATAGAATCTAAAAGTTAATTGATATCTCTGAGTTCAGCCGTATTAGTATTGACTGACACAAGCCGCTTGGTATGCACAATAAGTGTTGCTCAGCAATATTCTTTTTTTTTTAAGAAATTTGAATACGACAAGACTTTAATTGAAACTACTGTGCGTATGTGATGTCTCGCTCTAACAATGGAACTTGCCTGGTGTTAAGAGTTTATAATACGGGCTCAGGTCAAATTATCCTAAACTATTTCCTCAAGTAACTCTGCTTAAGGTTCAATATTGATTGAGAAAATTTGAGATTGGTAACCTGATAGTTGTTGCCTATCCCAGTCGCAGCCTTTGACATTGTCGCCTTACCAGAGGCAATTGGTAATTTTGCCTAAAAACCAATTTGATGCTTTCTGGTCTGCCACTAGAATGATAGGACTTAAACTCTTTACACCTAAAAGGAAACAAAACTAGGCAGCAACGCCTTAAGACAGTACATACTTATAATATTACGTAGCTACCTGAATGTTAACAATTTTGATAGTACATACATTTTTCTTTATACTGTTTTTATTACAAGAGCCTCTAGTTCAGATTAAATTAGAATATTTTTTGTTTTTTTTTTTGTTACTACATATTTTATTTATATAATTTAAATGTGCTCTTTTGGTGATAGGCTTAGCTATCTAATCATATAAAAAAATAGAATGCCTTTATCAATTTTACTTCTTTTCACCCTAAATAGTAATTTCGCTATTATCCCCTCTTTAAAAAAGGAATGAATTGAGTATATTGTACAGTGCTATGAACATAAAGCTCATAGCCGATAATAAATCTAAAGGAGAAACACGCGGCCGAAGTAATATTTTATTCAATAGGCCGCATTAAGCGACTCAATGGTTACACGGGCGGCTCCCAAGGGTGCAGGGGTGGCGGCCGCGGCCTTGACGACTGTATCCTGTCGGCTATACACACCTATAGCCTGTATATATTCCTCGAACACAACACCTAGCTCGCCAGCTACCCATAGATCGACGCCTGGCCCCCACACGCCCCGCCGTGCCTCCTACGCGGCGCGCATGCGTCGAACTGTCATCGGCCGCCGTGCCAACACATTGCCCCAAAGTCGCAAAACCAAATGGAAACGTGAAACGCGATGCGTTCCAGCTGAACGATGGTGGCCAACGTTGGCGCTGTTAACCCGTCCAATGGTAATCAGTGCGTTTGTTGAGAGTAGGCGCGATCACACGACCCTTTGCGTTCAAAGGAGCCGAGCTGAGAGGAGGCCTGTGCGAGTCGAGTCACAGGTCGTAGCGCCAGCTTGGTGTTTGTTGTTGCGTCGTGCCCGTTTGCCGATGTTTGTCTGTCGCGTGGTGTATGGGAGTGAATGTCGGCGTTGTTGTGCAGTGGAGGCGACGGCGTACATAAGCGTGGTGGCGGCGCTGTCGACGGCGCTGCTGGTGGTGGTGCTGCTGCTGGGGCGGCGCTGGTGCCACGCGGCGCCGCACCGCGGCCTGCGCGTCTCTGTGCCGCCGCCGACGCCGCTCCCGCCCGCCTTTGCGATACACGATGCTCAGTTTGGTCAGTGGTCACGCAATAACGAAAAATCCCTAACAATGTACTCTTTGTCGCTAGACAAAGAGAGAACAAGATGCGCATTTCCATAGTAAACGATAACTTTATATCTCTTTATCTATTTTAAATAGAATAGTTGTCGATGAATTTCTAGTAAATTATTGAATTAATAAAGCTTATTGAATCATTATTACCTCCCGTAAATTCTTCATACTTTATGCGTAACAAGATTTTTAATCGTGAGTGTATAGATGTTAAAAGAACGACCATGAACCATTAAATCAAACAGTCATAGTTATGTATTGATTTGGTTGGTGTTAAACCTTAGTTAATTAACTGTAGTTGGCGAGTGCGTGCGTGTTACTAAGTCCCCCTTCCAACGTTGTTAGATAGACGTAGGTACTTATGTGCTTTAATAATTTAGTGACGACCTAGGACTGTTAAACGGTAGTGGTCCCCAAGGCCGTTGACTGAAGCTTTCTTTGTCATTTATTCATGTTTCAACACAATAGTTAGGCACGTACACCCACATAACCGCCTACGTCAGACGGTTTCACAATCAATGTCATAGTTAGTCGAACCCTAGACTTTAGTCAGTAGACATAATTCTTAGCGTTTTATTAATTCAATCTAATCGTAGGGTTATGCGTATTTATATTAAATTATTTTTTACAGTTGGCCTCACAGCCGAGAAATTAATGTTTGAATATCCTTTCAGTTTTCCCAATGACATTATTTATTTAGTTATGACGATATGAATTGGATGGTTGGTGTAAGTGTGCGGCCAACTGTATATCTGTGTTGTTATAGATGCTTTGTCGAAACCGAACCATTATCCTGAACGAATATTCACGTTCGAAGCATCAGATTCGGACGAGGAGCTGCGCTTACGCATTCAACAGGTGAGGCCGCTGGCGTCAACGACTCTGATAGCAGTGGCGGATTTACCAGTAGGCTCAGTAGGCTGGAGCCTAAGGCGGCAGATTTAAGGGGGCGGCAAATTTGGCCCAAAATCTACACAGAAAAACGAGTGACAAAAATTTTAATATTTTAGTAATGCACAGTATACTCAACACTCTTACGTCCGTAATCCGTATATAAAAGATAACTAAACGCACTGTAAAATATAGGTACTTATGCGATCATGATTTTTTAAAATATTCCATTAGCGTTTCAACATGAATTACAATTTAAATTTAGTATTTTTTTTAAACTAACGGGGAAAAGCCGACGTAATGTGGACGATAGAACACAAATCATAAAGTTGCAATTTCAGAATAAATATAATTGTGAACTAGCGTATTGAATTTCAAAGGTCAGTAAGGGAGGCAAAAATTTAATAGCCTATTAGCGGCAAATTTGTAAATCCGCCACTGTCTGATAGCGTAGATTTTCTGTAGAAAACCCGTAAAAACTGAGTTAAAAAATGTTACTCAAATCATTTTCTACTGGTTTTAGTTTTGCTTATTAAGTAAGTAGATACTTAAGTTTAGATATCCCATGTAATTTGGGATTAAGCATCAATCATTTTAATTCATTAGTTTTTATTCTTATTTGTATGGTTAATTTTTCATCAAAACTTTTTAAATTTGTCAATTTGATAATTGAAAAGCATTGCTACACTGTTTATAAATAAAATTGAGTAATTTTCAAGACAACAAACAAAATGTTTTTCTCACTACGGGCTCTGCCGGGTCTGACGGAGCTTCTTTGTTTTTGCGTCTGGAAGAAATACGCAAAAAATAAAAAATGATATGGAATATGAACTGTGCTAAAGAATTGTTCCACGTAAACAGCTATCAAGTGGACGGGGCGAAAAAAAAATTATCAACACGCCCATCATTTTTGGGATTTCCGTTTCACATTATCTGACCAATAGAACGAATAGCGGAGTTCATTTGCAGATATTGGATTGGTCAAATTATTTGGTTTTATCTGTGTGCGTGTCATGTTATTATTGAAGTTTAATTATACGAGTTTGTAACCATGGCCTTTGTTAGAGAGCAAAGCTTTCATATCTTTCTAATTCATTGAAAATACGAAAATAAAGTGCATGCACCCTTAATCCAGTAATTCATAGGTCCTCCTCTCTATCTTTAGCAAATATTTGAATTACGTATTTGGAACTACACGCCCAACTTCACCAGGATAAGGAGGAGGTGGAATGCCATTACGAGGAGAAGAACGAGAACCAGGCCCACAGCAGCCAGACTAAGCTGGAGGTGGAGCTGGTAGAGACGGCGCTGCGGGAGACCAGGATCGACGACGCTGCGCCGGCGCCCGTGCCGCTGCCGTCTCCGAGGGCCCCATACCTGCATTCGTTGGAGGCGCAGAGTAGTGTCGACAGCGATGTCATCGCACATAATGTAACTATTTTAAATGGAAAAAATTGTGTGTGTCAGCTCCGACGCACGACTGGAGTTTACTCATTAAATTCGATAGTCTAACCAGACGCAAAAAGAGTTTATTTAATTTAAAAAAGATTGATATTGTAAATGCCATATCCACGTTCACTTCTAAAGCTCAGTGGTTTTGTGTTCAACGAATGGCGCGGTAGTACACCACGGTTTCTTTGTCGTCGTAGGCAATAAAGGTACGCTACGATACTGTGCTACGGTGTAGCACTACGGCTGCTACAGCGTAGACAGTAAAAACGTAACGAGGTCATTCATCGATAGATTTCACTCCTCACATTTTTCTCATACCGGGCCCCTTATATTGCATATATAAGAAAATCGATTCTTTCGGAGTAAACTCCAAAATATTAATGGATACCATATAAACGTCAGTCAATCGTGAATGTGAATTTTAATTAATGCGTGTTAAATAGAAGTCCTATCGTCAGAAGTAGTCTCTTAATTGCTTAAACAATAATACAGAATAAGTGATATTTGCCATCTCTAATGTAGGATATTTTTTCCAAGTGGTTCTCCATTTCAAGTCGAATATCCGCTGTACTTCCACATTTCTTTTGATATTCATTTAAAAACGAGTGATCGTAGGTTATCATTTTTCCGAGTTTCTTCATGTTTGTGAAGTCTTGTTGTGTCATCAGTTTCGGCTATCTTAGCAGCCGTAGCTACGCAAACAAACTTGGTTAATTAGCCCATCTCAAGACCATTAAAACAAATTGTCCCATCGTCTGTAACGTAGACATAGAGTCAATTAACTGAGTATTGCACAGAACAGAAGTTCTGTGGATTATTGCATAGTTAAGATGTTAATCTATACTATTGTATAAAGAGAGAAAAGGATACACTGACAGACTGACTGACTCATCATCGCACAGCCGAAACGGCTGGACCTAGAATAATGAAATTTGGACACTAGGTTCCTATTATTGCGTAGACATGTAATAAGATAGGAATGTTTGTAGTTCAGCCTCTTAAGCGTGAAATTTGCAAAAACGTTTGTTAAATCTTATCCCTTGGACCTATTGACTGCAAATTTTGCATAAACATTATTTAGTAGATGTACACTAAGCCAGTTACATAAAATTTTACAACTACCCTCAAAAAAATACAAAATTTCGTGTCAATGTTTGTATGGGAGATCATCCAAAATTGCATAGGATTGATTAAATTTTGCACATCTACTCTGTATAAAAAAATGCAACCTGTGTTTTGATTTTTCAAAACTACCCTCATAAAACAAAGATATAGCATGTTGAAGTTTTAAATAGTGCGTCAAGGCGTCAACGCACCTCTGCACTTTGGGTCGTAGAGACATGATATGTAGTAAATAGGTTGTTTTAATGACTTAGGCATCAAGAAAAAAGGATTTTTGAATATTCTACCGTAGATTGAATGATATAGCGGTTCAGTTTGTATGGGAAAACGAGTTTGGCTAGCTTGACAGCTTTGAAACTTGGCTTAGATAAACTTCATATTTTCTTGAAATTCGATCTCTACGACGAGAAGTAAGTACGACGAATAGCAAGTTATCTATAAAATATATTCAGCAAAGGACATTGTTCAGCGTCCATACATAGTTAGCCTAAGAACCAACAATCATAAAATGCTATTTTCTAGGTTCAAAATCGTAAGTAAATGACTGTATAAACAAAGATTATTGACGGACACTTCTGAGAACTTAAATTATTTGAAAAAATATAATTTCTTTGAGGTTATGTTTAATATTCAATGAAACATAGGTCAACCTATGAATTTAGTATAAACTCAGTATGAAGTGAATTAATATTACAACTAATTTATTTTATTCGGTGCGATTTTAAAGAATAACTACATATTAAGAAAAACTTGGTTAGGTAGGAATCATGAATAAAATAAAAACTAGGTTTGCTTAAGTCTCATTTATTGACTATTTTTCACATAATTGTATCATATTGTTTATTGTATTTATTTGTATATCGCATGTAGGTATATTGTGTAAATATGCAGCGTGAATGTGTATCAGGTGTTCTTGAATAATTTGGCAGTATTATCCTCTCAGGATGTTGTGGCACAGGTTCACTAGCACTGGGTAATAATGGCTCTACTCTTTGGTAACATCGATGGCATATTAGATAATAGTTAAATTAAAGGAAAAACAATCGCAAATAAACACACACAACAGGTAATCCGAAACGAGAATGCACTTTCCGGTATATTAAACTACTCTTTGGAATGCACGAATGCCACAGATTACTACGAATGCAAACTGCATGCACCACAACCACAGAGTAACGAATTTTATGCCGGCCTTTCACTTGACAACAGTTTGTCCTTGTCATGCAAGGTAGTTTTCCAATTACAGCACTAGAGCGCATTATGCGGCATAATGCTTATCGTTGAATGTTTCAACTACAGCAACGCTTCGCACAATCGGGCACTCTCAAAAGTATGTTTTCGTGTGATGCGTGCAATCGTACCAACTCAGTGACAGAAAATTAACAAGCATTTTTTCTTTAAGTTGGCATTGAACGAAATGTTTTATTTATAAATTATCGTTACTTATATTATTTATGTTGAAATTTTTTTAAAGCTTTCGTTTCATTGTAGTTTTTTTTTTAAATAATCAAAGTTAATTCCAACTGTGTTTAAAAAAAATATAAGTATGGATGAAGGTACAAATATTGACTTTTTTTTTCAACACGGAACTTAGCGCACTCTGCTGGTGAATGTGAAAACTAATTCACGTTCCAATTAAGCATCAGCATAATTCGGCATTGAGCGCCACTGAGTCGCATTATGCTCTGTAATTGGAAAACTACCTTAATAAGGAATGAAAAGAACAGACTAATGTCATGTTTTAAAATAGCAAATACGAATAGCCAAGTGAAGTGCCGGGATTAGGAAGAAAGAGTGTTTTGTTTGCAGCGCTGCCATAGATTATACACATTAAATGGTATTTATTGTCTAAGATTATTTTTTAACTTTTTAATTTAGCTTACTTAACTGGAAGTGTCCGTCACCATCTAAATACTGATAGTTATCGCAAAAAATATACTAAGAATTATCATAAATACCAAATTGGTGTTGGTTCTTAGGCCAATTTTAACATTGTCCTTTACTCTTATATTTTATTACTAGCTGTGCCCCGCGGTTTTACCTGCGAAGTTCCCGTGCCTTTGGGAATTCCGGCATAAAAAGATATTCAACCTATATGCCTCAGCGAAACTCTTTGCTAAACAAATAACTCTGGATAGCTATGCCCATGGCCAAATAGATTTAATATACTCGACCTATTTACTTAGAAACTTTTCGCTAACCTGAAAAATCAGGTGATTGCTGATCCATTATATTTCCATAGCTAGTCTATACTAATATTATTATGGAAAGAAATGAAATGAAATGAAATGTCATTTATTCAGTCTAGGCTGTTACAAGCACTTGTGAAGGTCAAGAAGCTACGCCATCGGTTCGCAAAACTACGGCGGGAGACCTTGTACTGAGAAGAACCGGCAAGAAACTCAGCAAGGGCTGTTTTTTTCTCCTTGTATTGTTATATACAGTGTCGTCAATTTGAAAAATTACTTCAGAAATACGTCTGAAGTCACTTTCCATTACATCATCTAGAATATAAATATGTAGTTACAATTAATTTTATAGTTAACATTTTAAGTAGTATATAGGAAGCGGCATTAGATAGGTACAATATTACTGTTATGAAAAATGAGTAATACCCATTTAATATCAAATTATAAGAAACACTATGTCCATGCATTACGATCATTTAGATAATCATCAACTTTATAATAGCTATTATTTTCATAAGAGTATTTTTGATCTGAGATTTAAATTTAGTCAGTGGAAGCTCAATCAGATCTTGGGGAACTTTGTTAAACAATGCAATACTACAACCCAGAAAAGAACCTCTTGATTTTTGGAGTCTGAAACATGGAACGGCAAGCTTGTTCTTAAATCTCGTGTTAAAGTTATGGGTTTGACTTTTTTTTGCAAATTCATCATAGTTTTTTCTTACATATATTAAATTTTCATAAATGTATTGCGACGCCAGTGTTAAAATATTAATTTCTTTAAATTTTTCTCTAAGGGATTCTCTTGCCTTTAAATTGTATATGGCGCGAACAGCTCTCTTTTGCAGTATGAAAATACTTTCGATATTAGCGGCTGAGCCTAAGATTTGATTGTTTCTATTGAATAGCTCCGAAACTACTGGACCGATTTGAAAATGTTCAAATCGGTCCAGTCGGTTTCACGTTTAGAATCCTACATTATCTCTGATGAACAAAGGCTATAGAGTACTTTCAAAAAAGTTAGGGCTTCGTATGAAAACTTCGATAACGTGGGTTACGTTACCCTGGGTGAAAAAAAGATCAAAAAATAACTTCATATCGCTTACGCTGCGAAAGTCATCTTAATGACTAAATGACTTGCTCTAAAGCAAAGTGATGTACTAAAAGTTAATAGAGGACATTAACATCATAAAAAAAAGGTCGCGATAATCGAAATTAGACCGACCATTATTTTCCGAGATTGGCACGTTCAACCAAGAAAATAAACAGAATCCAGTTTTATGATAGTAGTAATTATATCTAATTTTCACGGAAGTTTTATAATTATTTGAAGAAAGTCATAATACAAGCCCGAGAACAGAAACTATAAACTACACTACAGCTCTACACTGAAGCGAAGCGAGGGTCGGCCACTAGTATTTAATACACCCGTATGAAGCCGGGACGGGCCGCTAGTTGTAAATAAATTAAAACGCAATTCTATGCTCGGTCGCTTCATTTCTTTCACATTTTTCTTGCGGTAGTTCGATCCCTTTATCTCTTCCTAAAGATAATTTTACCCTTTAATAAGTTTAAAGTGTGTATAAAAACATGTCTCCTTAAGAAAGGTTACTATACTGTTAAAGATTCCATAAATGATAAGTCACTTTGGGCTTAATATAATAGACTAAGTCGTTTTACTTTGCTGATTTGGTAGAAAATTTAAAAATAGTACCTAGCTATACTTAACTTTTGTTAGTTAATAATATTAATGTGATGGAAGTTGACATCAACACATGTATTCTATTTTGATGTCATCTTTCAATTGACGACACTGTATGAAACAAAACAGGGAGAAAAAAATAGCCCTTGTGAGTTTCTTGCCGGTTCTTCTCAGTACAAGGTCTCCCGCCGTAGATTTACGAACCGATGGCGTAGCGTTTGGTTTTCACAAGAGCTTGTAACAGCCTAGACTGAATAAATGAGTTTGAGTTTGATAAAAATATTGTGTGTGTCAGCTCCGACGCACGACTGGAGTTTACTTCTTAAGTTCGACAGTCTAACCAGACGCAAAAAGAGTTTATTTAACTTAAAAAAGATTCATACTGTATGAAAGGGTAAATCAACAAATTAATGAAAATAATATACATATATAAGTATATATTTATTAATTTCATATACATTTATTATAACTAATCGACGAAATATTTTACATTAAACTTTTTACAATAGTCAATTTCAGATGTGCATAAATATATCATTAGGAATGTTGATAAATTATTTAATTATTATTATCAGACTATTATCATTTTTTTAAATATTAATTAAATCAACATTGTCTGCATTATTAATTACAGTGACAAGTGGTTTATGGTAACTAAAATAAGACACATGGAAGTTCGTAGATACGTGGTTCACGAATCTTGAAAATACCGCATCAACGGTTGTACAATACCTCGTTGTCACCATTGCTCTATCAGAAACAATATCTAAATTCAGTTCTGATTTTAAATTTTTTATTAATGTCAATCCGTCATCTTCGTTTGTCAAAGTTGCGCGACATAGGATGCGCACCAAAAACGTAACGAGGTCATTCATCGATAGATTTCACTCCTCACATTTTTCTCATACCGGGCTCCTTATATATGCAAATCGATTCTTAAGGAGTAAACTCCAATAATAATAGATGTATATCGTTGTCAGGACACCTCCCTGCTCTGCGGCGAGAGTAGCGGGGGCGGGGGCGGGGGCGGGGGCGGCGGCCAGGAGCGTGGTTGCGTGGAGTTAACTCTGTTGTACGACGCGCCCGTGCGCTGCATGACCGTGCACGTGCTCCAGGCGCGCGGCCTCCCGTCGCCCGCGCCGCCGGCACCCGCGCCCGCCTCCTCTCCCCACGCCGCGCCTTCCATCGCACGCGCGTTGGCCTCACCCGTCACCGCACCGTTACCGCCCGTACTACAGACGCAGGTGCGTACAGTTGGACCGCTTTTATGACTTTGAGAGGGGTAACTGTCGGTGAAATAAGGATAAAATAATATTAAATATTTCCAACACTCACACCGATTAGCCTAGCCTCTAAGTGAGCACTGTAAGGCTTGTGTTATGGGATACTAGGGTAGCGGATAGAATACGTATACAGTACATATGTAAGTATATGTATATAGAAATATATAATAAGTATGTTTATATAGAAATGCATATTAAACATCCATGACTGGAGTACAAATGTTCGTATTCATCACGCAAACATCTGCCCCCACCGAGATACGACGGGTTCGTATCTCGGAGTCGGCGACGCCATGAAACCTGGCGTACTTACCGCTCGGTCACGGAGGTCGAAATAGGTAGATACATAAAGTCTCTCCGTTTAGGGAATGTTATAATTTCCAATAACTCGGAAATATTAATAGGAAATATAAAATGCTTATTAACACCTTCTTTAATAAATAAAAAGGGTGTGAAAGAGAGAGCAACATTTTATTGACCAATTACATCACCACATAAAAAAAAAACATTTTGAAAATTATACTTAATGAAAAGAGTAAAGAAAAAAAAACAGATTAATTATTGATCCTTTGTGGTCAATCAGGACCCTGTCTCAGCACAATGCTGTCGCAACACGCCACAAAACGTGTCACAGCAGCGTTGGTATTTTGGAAGGGCCTGATTTTACCTTTTTAAAATTAGTCCCGATTTCGATCACAAGATTTTGATCACACTGTAAGATGTAAACTCGAAGCTTATTGCCCGTACCCGCGCCCGCTTTTTCCATCGCTCGCACCTTAGTCTCACCCGCGACCGCCCGCGTCCCGATGCCGCCTACGCTGCAGACGCAGGTGGATAAATCTGCATGACCAAAGACGTGCTGTAGCCTTAATAAAATATAATACTTCGTGAAATTCATGATACACGCGATAACTAGATGTCTAAAATAAAACTGTAAACATTTGTACCTGTACCTATAATGTAAAGCTTTTAAATAAATAAATATTGCCAACACTCACACCAATAGGGTATTTGACAGTATTAAAAATAAAGTGCCAATTGTTAACACCTGTGTTTAGAGTGAATATTGGCAGAGGTTTTTACTATTTTTACAAAAAAGATATTCATAATTTTAGTAAAAACCCACGAAAAAGTTAATAGTTTTCATATCTATTGTCACGTGAACCAAAACGATTGGGATTGGCGGAGCCTAAAATGACGTCACACGCAAGTAAACTTCCGGTTAAAGTGACATTACATTGTATCGTTTGATGTTTTAATAACAGTCGTGTGACGTCACACACTAGTAAAACACCATATTGTACAGAAAAACGTTTTCACGGCTTCTTGAAAATGGAGTTTTTGATTTGGTTATTTTTACTGAAATACACAACAGAATGATGAATATCCACTTTTTACGGACTAGCCCCAAAATAAGCACTGTAAGGCTTATTTTTATTTTTTATTTATTTATTTAAGGACAACCAACAAGAATATCCACACATAGTATAATATAACAAAAGTGTATAAGTGACAATTCAAGTGGTATCTTATTTATAGGCTGCCACGGCATGCATTTGTGACAATAATGACAGAGTGTGCATTCTTAACAAAATTATAAAAGTATAAAAAGAAATAATTATGCATAATATTCACAAACATGTTGTTGTTACATTGAACATATCCAATACGACAGAACTATTGTGCAGCAAGAAATCTGGAGATACTACAATATTAATAATACAATGCTTATTATGCTAAGCCGGAGCAAAAATTTTTTATGTTTGTTTGATGACAGATGGAGCAACATTTTTTACAAATTCACCATAGTCACTAAATAGGTCTAGATTAGAGGCCTTAGACATTTTATTATAATATGATTGCATACGACACAGTGACGAAAAGTGACCTAAATTAGATTTGAATATCTTGGGCATAAATAATTTGTAATTAGATGATCGCGGTAGGTTATGTGGTAAATGATATTTTATATTAGCTAACAGAAAAGGATAGTCTAAATGACCGTTCATTAATTTATAAAGAAATTTTAAATCTGCGACTTTTCTACGGTCGTCCAAACTTAATAGCTTAAAGTAATCTAAACGTTTTTTATATGAAGTGAGTTCGTAAGTTTTTTGACACTGGAAAGCTAAATGCCAGAGAAACCTTTTATTGAGTGATTCAATTCTCTTTTTGTGTATATCGTAGAACGGTGTCCAAACAAGGCTACAATATTCAACTATCGATCTAACAAGGCAATTGTATAGGCAAATTTTAGTGTGAGCAGATTTTAATTCTTTACTATTGCGTATCACAAATCCTAGTAATTTGAAACATCGGGTAACAATATTATCAATGTGTATATTGAACCTTAATTTGTTGTCAATAATAACACCCAAATCACGAGCCTTATCAACCTCCCTCAGGTTTTGGCCATTTAATGTATAGGATGAGAAATGTGGTAATTTCTTTCTAGAAAAATGCATGAAGAAACATTTGTCAGCATTTAACTTCAATAGATTATTATCACACCATACAGCAAACCGATTGATATCTTCTTGCAACAAGTGCACGTCCACTACGTTGCATACATGCTTTACAATTTTAATATCATCTGCATATAAGTAACATTGAGAGTGATGGAAGCAAGAGATGACATCGTTAATAAACAAATTAAAAAATAAATGTTATGGAATACTAGGGTAACAAATAGAATACCTATACACTACATATATAAGTATATTTATATAGAAATACATATTAAACATCAATGACTGAAGTACAAATGCTCGTATTCATCACACAAACATCATGCCCCCAACGGGGCTCGAACCCGGGACCTCTCGACTAAGCGACACCTTGAAACCCCGCGTTCATACCGCTCGGCCACGTCACGTCACGTCACGTCACGTCAACTCTAAACTTAAAAACTCGGCAGTTCCTATTTGTTTTGCCCCTAACAATTTGCTGTTCGGAAATTGCGAATACTCGTAACATCATAAGTGTTTACTTTTATAATTTTCCATCTGACGATAGACAATTGCCTTTTGCTGTTTTCAAACTCCTAAAAATACTTCGTGTACATATACATATATCTACTAAATCCAATGCGTCGAGGATACGATTATTTTATAACAGGGGGCCATTCGCCTAATGGAAATGCTTTGAGAAAACGCTAACGCTTACGATTTAATTTTTTTATTTCTAGCCGCCTGAGGTTTACAAATGCCTCGTGCTCTTTTATTTTCTTTTGCATTGGTAATAACAATATTAAAAATAATGAGCGTGAGGTATTTGAAAACCTTCGGTGGTCAGAAATAACAAAATAAAATCGAAAGCGTTAGCGTTTTCCAAAGCATTTCAGTTAGGCGAATGGCCCCCAGATGTCTTTCAAATCACAGCCGCTTAACACATTTGCTTGTAACAGGTCCGAATCGTGCTGCTCCCTCTGAAGAAGCAAAAATTCAAATCGAAGATACGTAATGGTGAAAATCCACAATATATGGAGAGCTTCGTCCTGCATAAAATTAATCCGGGTGAGTGAAATGTGAGCCCTTATCTAGTTTAAGAAAAAACAATGTATGAGTACAAGCAGACCCCTCTTTCCCAGTGGGCACTTTGGGCAAGTGCCCAGGGCCCCGCGATCGATAGGGGCCCCCCACAGATCAAATACAAAGTCCCTAGTTCCTGTTAAATCACCAAACGGGGGTCATAGGGGCCCCATTATCGTAATATGCCCAGGACCTGGAATAGGTCAAAGAAGGCACTGAGTACAAGTGTGTGTTACCAGTAAAAAAAAAAAGTGTGCCTGTACTAGTGTACACACGTAAGAAGTGAAACTTCTTTATGGCCTTATTTTTCGAAAAATGATCTACATGCAACTTTCCAGAAATTGGTTAAATAAAGTTAAATTAGATAAAGTTTAAACAAAACGATTTTATTATCATAGACATGAATACAAATTACTGCCTATGAAACTGTTATGATTACACGGCTCAGTAATCTAAGGCACATGTTCCACCTCCGACGATGAACGATAAGCGAGTAGAAACTAGAAACGAATTGGCAGTCCTGAGTTAAAATGCACGCGCACGGCTTTTGACAGCCAAGCCAGCTTAACCGAGCGAGTATAGCTGAGCGAGTATCGCTGAGCTAGTATCGCTGAGCGAGAATCGCTGAGCGAGTATCGCTGGGCGAGTATCGCTGAGCGAGTGTCGCTGAGCGAGTGTCGCTGAGCGAGTGTCGCTGAGCGAGTATCGCTGAGCGAGTATCGCTGAGCGAGTATCGCTGAGCGAGTATCGCTGAGCGAGTACCGCTGAGCGAGTATCGCTGAGCGAGTATCGCTATGCGAGTTTGGCTGAGCGAGTCTTATCTTTAATAACTATTGTCACTCAGCTACAAACGAGTAGAGATAGTTCTCGCCGGCGACAGTGTGATCATTCAGCTATCAACTATTAATATAAAAAAAGATGGCGCGTAACGGAAAAATGTGACGCGTAACCGAAAAATGTGACGGTAAATTTTTTTCCAACGTCGATAAAGAAGTTTCACTTCAAAAAAATCATCCGAGGAGGAGAAAAGGAATAAAAAGAAGCTTTCTTACAAACCTCGCAGTATTTAGTCTTGCAATCGTGACTTGTAGAGTAAGTAGGGATGTTCCGATGTAGTCAGGTAGCGAGGCAACGCACGATCACAAGAATAGTAGCAGGTGACGCATATTTAATTTTTACATCCATTCGACATGAGCTAGTACGTTCTCTGTTTACAGGGACCGAAATAATGTTTTTATCCCTTTTACGACGATTCCTACGATTTTATGAACAAATCGTAGCCTCACATATTTGTAGTTGCATTTACTTATTTTCTCCTAAAGAGTGATAAAAAGTCGAGTGTCCAACTCGGGAGCAATACTACATATTTTATAGCTTTAGCGACGTACTCTGCATTCTTTACAATAGTTCTTTTACAACCTACTATTTTATTGGTTAATGAACCAGCTACTCACCTTGATATCCAAGGCACGACTCCCGTGTTATAATTTTCTCCGCACTGGGGTCTATGTGAAAATACTTGGGGGCGACGCCTTTGCTTATCAGTGAGCGTCGTACAGCCGATATTATGATGATGATGATATGACTTACCAGAGGACGTTCACGGGCTGGGGCTCCGCATTCGCATTTACGGCTGCGAGCGCATGCGGCGACACCGCCTCATCGGCGAGGCTGCCGTCAGCTTCAACAACCTGCATCTGGAACTGGAGAACTGTCTGTGGCTGCAGCTGGCCCCGCGCAAACATAATCAGCCACCACTGCAGGTGAGATGATGCTTAACAAGTTAGTCGCCAACCTTACAGTACCCTTAGCACGAACCATTATCGAATTCGAATAGTTTGCGAGTGCCAAATGTCATTGTCAAATTTTGTATGGAAACTTGAACAGTAGCGCCATGACAATGATATTTCGTTATGTTTTTATTTTTAAGCATTTTACTGCTAGATGTTTAAAGCTAAAGAAAAGTTTACTGGAAAAAATTCCACGCGGACCAGCTGCACCCTTCGCTATCGGGCGAATGCACTGACCATTATGCTACCGCGGCGCTGACGGCCGTGTCGTATTTTCTCTAGCGTTAGGCTGCAAGGCAGCGCCATCTCTTCGCATTTTAACATGCACTGTATGACTTTTCGGTCTCGCAAACGTTACGAATTCGATATTAGTCCGTGCTAAGGGTACTCTTCTAAATTGAAATTTCAAAAGTTGTTCACATGCAGTATAAGTCCTGGAAATCATAATCTATTGAAGGAATTATTTTGTAACTGTCTCGGAGCGCGACTACTTAAACATAAACCCCTTTATTAATAAACAAGGTATAATTGGGGCTATCGCGTATGAATCCGCCGCTAGAGGCGCTAGTGTAGCGTGAGGTCTCCGAAATGTCAAATGTTATTGCTTGTTGGTTGACTACGCGGGTTTATTTTTTATTAAAATAATGTTGTGAATAATTGGTAACAATTCGGCTTAATTATGGCAAATATGAGTTATGTGGCAATGAATGTCAGTTATTAAAAATTTGAGCTTAGAAAAATGATTATGTTCCCATTTTTTCCGAATAAAACGGAACTGCGCGTCACTGTGGCATGACCTATTATGTTTAGGATATGGTTCTTTTGTGTTAAAATACGATCTAAATGTAACCTTTGATTTCATGTGCGTATTAATAAACTTTAAAAGTTACAATTTAGGACCTCACTCAACAGTGGCGCCATCTGGTGAGGCAGAAAACGGTAGCCCTCATTACGCCGTGACTTAGACTAGTTACGCCGTGTTTTGTTCATATCGCTCAAATGCCATTTGTCATTCAATAGACAGAGACAAAACATGAAGTATCTAATCCAAGCATAGTCTTCGTTTATTAATAAGGGGGTGTATGTGAACTGTTGCTTACTCTTTATGTGGAGAAACCATAGACTAGAGAATGAACTGACTAATACCTGCATGAAAATAATTACTCTTTAATAAAAAGAGAGTAAAAGAAATTTCTTTGTCTCTACTGCATGATTCCTTATTTTCAGGTTTATAAAGGTTGTCTTAATAAGAGTGCAGTTTTTCATTTTGAAATAAAAATACCTATTTTTTGAGTAAATTGTGATAGTTTTATTAGATTGCAAAGAAGACGTGTTCCGATTAACAATAGAATAAAATATCCATCAAATGACCGCCCACGGCTGTGATGACAAGCCTTTACTCATTATTCTATTATTATTTTATTATTAAGCATTACTCTTTTGATGAAATTGAAGTGTAAAAGTCATGAAAATTTGCATAAAAAGTGTAATGTCCTGATATAAGAGCCATGGGCCCCATTTGGCGGATATTTTATTTCATGCTTTATCGGAACACGTCTTCTTTACAATCCTATAAAAGTTATCACAACTTGCTCAAACATTAGGGTTTTTATTTTAAAATGAAAAAGTGCACTCTTATTAAGACAACGTTTATTTCTGTTTACTCTTTTCACTGTATTCCATGTATTGTTGAAAACTTCCAGCTTTCCTATATCAGCGCACAGTTAGAATTTTTCTAGTATTTTTAGGGTTTCGCACTCAATGGATAAAAATGAAACCCTATTGCGGTCACTGTCGTCTGTCTGACTGTCTGTCCGTATGTCACGGGTCTCTAGATCGTAAACGGAATGAATTATTGAACTGAAATTTTGGTATTTTTTTCTAGAATACTTGCCCCAAACCGAATATTTAGTTACAAATTCAATAAAATTATTTTTCATGTAGATTCTATACTTGAAGAGAAGGCGAAAATATTTACTTATCTTCTTTTTTACCTCTGCATGCGACACATAATTCTTTAGAGCTCGTTAAGTACAATACGAACATATTTCTAATATTTTTTTATTTTTAGAAAGAGAAATGAACAGAATGGAAAAAGAGAAATGAGAAAGCAGTCAAAGTGGTCATTTTTGGACCATTTTTCTAACGGAGTCCATCTCAAAATTGAAATTAGTTAGGAATGTGAAAACTTGGTATATGATGTCCCATATGCTGTATTTAAACAACAAATACTGAAAACGGGGATTCTTAATGCACTTTGTAAGTTGTGACAAAAACAAATAAATGATTTTTCCTTTCGCGGTTACTTTTTGAAGTTATACTTCTTTAGGCGCGTTATGAAAAAATTATGAGAGTGAAATTTTAAGATGCGCGCGCATCACTGTAACACAAAATTTTAACAGCATGAAGTTGGTCGCTTTAGCGACCAACTTCATGCGTTACTTTTGTGTTTACCGCACATTAAGAAAATCTACCAACAAAATAGAATCTCTATTTAGTGGGTGCTAACGACTGCATTGTGAAGGCCTATCAAAAGTATTTATTAATCTGGAACAACAGAACCAAAGCGCGATTCAGGAGACTACAGCGCCATCTCTTGACCATTGGTACTACACCAACCAAAAACCACATCTTTATTTTTTGTAATAAAGTAACAGTTATAGGTATTCATATTTATAATATTTATCCACATGTTTCTAGTTTGTATATTCGGAATATGTGTTTGAGTTTCATACAAGTGCAAATCACATATGTTCTAATAAATTATATTCAGTAGCGATTTTAATTGAATATTTTGATTATTTATTTATTTTTTCAAATTAAAACTGAACTTTATTGACTGTGTCCTTTTCCTGACTTTTTATTAATTTATTGTAATTAATTATTTGCATGCGATTAAAAACTAATTTTAAACGATGCCAAAGAAGGATAACTTCTCACGCGCCTACATAAGTACACGCACCCATTTTTTTTATCTTTTTGAGGTACGGAAACCTCAAAAAGAAAAAACGGAACCCTTATAAGATCACTTTGTTGTCCGTCCGTTGGTCGGTCAAGACCGCTTTTCTCAGGAACGCATGGAAGTATCAAACTGAAATTTATATCTAATACTCATGTCTACTGTCCCTTGGAGCTGTAAAAAAATCAAACTTCTAAGCCAAAGCAATCAAAAGATACAACCGTTTATGCCGCAAATTTTCGAAACGCGCACGGGAATCAAAACCTACAGGGTACTTCCCGTGAACTTAGAATCTTGAAATATGATACGAAGTAACGTCTTATAGTACAGATACAGGAAAAATTGCGAAAACCGTAAATTTTTAGATAATAATTTTAAATTTGCTATCTCTTTTCTCATGAACGCGTAGAGGTATTAAATTGAGTTTGTACGGAACCCTCGCAGCGCGAGTCCGACTCGCACTTGGCCGGTTTTTTTTAACGTTAGTTAAACACGTTTTCTCATTTGACATCCCATAGTTGCCGAAGCTGGAGATGAGCCAGTCCATGTCGGGCGTGCTGGCGTCTCCATCCACAGCCTCAGTGACGGGCAACGGAGGGGGGGAGTCCTGCAGCCTGGCCAGGTCCGAGTCCGCGTCCTCCTGCTGCAGCGCCAGGTCCTCACCCGAGCTGCTGCTGGGCCTGCAGTACAGCCCCAACACTGGCCATCTGTCTGTGGAGGTCAGTGTACCATCAGTGTAGATTTTATAGGTCAGAGGAGCTGAATAAAATACGGAATCACAGTGACGAATGATACTTATATTCTGTGAAATATAATTTTACTAGGAAGCTGATACGACTGACTCCTAGCACAGCAGAATACAAAGTGAAGCAAGTTTATAAGTGAACTATTCAGTCGATCAGCACGCATTCGCGTGCATGATCAAATGAGTGGGGGTTGAACGAACGAATGAAGTATTTGAGTTAAGACTGAATGAACAAGTATACTTTGGCATTACCTAGTAATGTTACTTTCTTTTTATTACAAAAGGAATACAAATTATAATATATATAGATTATTTTTTGCCAATTGAAATTCAAATATATTTTCAACAATCAGCGTGGAATATAGAGGGGCAGTCCTCGAATTGGAGCGGCTGTCTGGGGAAGTAACCTTCACCTTATAGAAGACCACAGTAAAATAACATTATCTTTTGGTGGTGTTGTGTTTATGTCTATGAGTAAGCTTCCAAAGCTCCACAGGATAGGAATAGGGTTAGGGTCGATGGCGCGAGAGATATTTTTGATTTCGCAAGCATCTATAGGCTATAGTGTCCGCTTACCTTTAGAAGGGCCATACGCATGTTTGCCACCCTTTTAAGAGCCCTTTTACAAAATTACGCCGCTGCCGTACTGATCGGCGCGTAGGTAGATTTGCACTAGTATACATTGCATTTTACAGGTGATGTTTCGAGTCTATAAAATAATTATTAATGAACTAATTATAAACATATATACATATTTCAGTAGTTCAATGATGGTAGATTAGTTTTATGAAAGTTTTTGATAGTAATTCTATTTAATTCAATATCAAAATACGAGGTCAACCTGCATTATTTTTTGGGAAAACTCACAAAGGTTAGATGGTTTTTTTGATAATTAATGAGATGGAAAATCAAAATTCTAATATATCATGTTACAACAAAAACATATTTCTAATGTCGTAGTAATTAATTTGATCTAATTTAGTAAACATTATTGAGAGTTTGAGGCGTTTGAAGTTGTGCATATTAGCGTTTTTTCCGTAAACTAGCCGCAGTAGAACGATCAGTACAAAAAAAGGAAAAAGGTATTTGCAAATATTCTACATTAACTTACAATAGGAAAAATAAATCTATTGTTAACTTCTATTGGAAATAGTCAAATACTTTCTAAGTGGGTAAACGAGGCGCTCAAAAATTACGATTTTTTGCAAAAAATGTGAAAGGGCTCTTAACATGTAACAGGTGTTACCAGAAGAATACCAGTGTTGCAGTGCATATCCCACAATTAATATGGGTACATTAACGTTATTTTTACAGTACACACACACACAGAAAGAGGTTAGAAGGATGGTCAGAGACCGTTAGTAAGGGAACCGATCTCGCCAGCTTGGCCCTGACTACACTTCCACCTTATAGAATAGCCAATCCAACGACGCGACTTCAAACAATCGAACCAATCAGCGCTCATACCCGATAGCAACGACGCAATCAGAACCAAGTTTTGGTCAAGCTATGAACATTTGCTCACACATAACTGGGGCGCGCCTGCCCCGCCCACAAGGACCTTCTAACCTCATTCTGTATTCTGTGGGTATATGTATAGAGTGTATGTACACGTAAAACACAATTTTTATCTATAGTTGCAAAACCTTTATAAAAGAAGTGTAAACTACAAAAACAAGTTCCAAATAGCTATTGCAGTAAAGAGTCGTCTTGATAAAAAGTGTTAATCATCATGTAATTATGTCTTTATACTTCGTTTTTAGCAAGGCAGTCGTTTTGCTATAAGTAATAATTTTATCTTTCTGTTTTTAATTACTCATGTGTATTTTATGGTCGTTAAAACGAATCTTCTCTGTTTCTCCCATATAAATAAACTAACTCTACCTGCTACTAGGCTTAACAAAATCAATAATTCATTTAAAGGTCTTTGTGTTCGCTTAAAAAATAAAGTCCCAAGCAATATCCAAGAGTAACCATAAATAAATTCAAAGATAGTATAAGAATAGCACTTATTAAAAAAGCGTATTACAAAGTGTCTGATTATATTACAGACAAAAATACTTATGTTTGAACTGTTCCAATCATTCCAACAGGTTTTCTATATCAAATAAATCATGATTGTATTGACGTTGTAACAACATACCTAATGAGTTGTAAATGTTGTAACATTATACTTTTAATATTATGGAGTTTTATTCGCCCGTTTTTCTCCGCAGCTAAAAAATATGTCCAACAACGAGTGGTAGGGAAAAAAAATGTTTGCCCGATACAAAAGAGTTGTACTATACATCCAATTTGAATAAACATATATTGATTTCTGATTTCTATCAGCTTCCGTGTTGTATCCTATTGTGTTACACGTTATGTTAGTGAAGTGAAACTTCTTTTCGGACGGGGTGTAAATGGAAAAATACAAACACACAACTATATAATATATCTTTATATATGTAATTCTTCTGTGAGTGTGTATGTCACTGAACTTCTCTTAAACGACTGGACCGATTTTGATGAAATTTTTTGTGTGTGTTCAAGGGGATCTGAGAATGGTTTAGATTCACAATTTTGTCCGCTGGACAACCCCTATTTTTTTAGGGCGGTACGAAGTTCGCTGGGTCAGCTAGTATATATATATATATATGCGGGATGCGTACGCAGATCTTCTCGACGAGCATGAAAGTTGGAGAGCAACTCGGCGAAGACTGAAACGCTACGAGTGTCACATGTGACAATATAAATATACATATATATATGTGGCGGCGACATCTACACACCCCACATATAACTAACATAGAGGAAAAAATCTTACACCTCCTCAAGAGATGGCACTACCGGCGCTGCGTTCACAACGTAAGGAAGCCTACATCGCGCAAGTAAAATTCGGTAGCCAACAATTCATATATACGATGCCCGACCAACATCAGTCGGGCCGCGGCGATCATTCACAACGTAAGAAAGCCTACATCGCGCATGTAAAATTCGGTAGCCAACAATTCATATATACGATGCCCGACCAACATCAGTCGGGCCGCGGCCCCCGAGCTACATATATAAGTGATGCGTGCGCTGCTCCATTACCCTATGCCTTATTCAAGGCTTTATGTTAGGTTACTTAAAAAAAGAAGTTTCACTTTAGATGCATGGTCCGTGCACACATTTTTTTATAAAATTTTGTTTCCCATTTGGCCAGGTGATAAAAGGCACCCACTTCCGCAAGCTGTCTCCCAACAAGGCTCCAGACACTTACGTGAAGCTGATCCTCGTGAGCTCCCGCGGGATGCAGCTAGCGCGCTGCAAGTCTACCACCAGGCGGGCCCAGTCCAACCCTTTGTACAAGGAGCTGTTCATATTCCAGGTGATCATTACTACCTCGCACTTGCAACGATAATACATTTCTTTATGTTAAATTATTTACAATTGATATTTTATGCTTTTTACCTAAACGTTTCCAAAATAAAAATAAAGATTAATATTGCGTGTGATTGATAATGATTTAATTTAACCGATATTTAACAATTTTGTTAAAGCACAATGACGCAAATTTTGTGTAGTTATATGTCCGACACCACAATGTGAGGATTTGCATACTCTACGTGTGTGTGAGGGCGCAGATGACGGATAGATATATATATGTGTGTGCATGTGTGTAGTTGGAGGATATACGTGTGTGTGAGTGCAGGTGGCGGATATATGTGTGTGTATGAGGGTGTGGGTGGAGGATATATGTGTGTCCACTTACACCCAGTAGGTGCAGCAAAAGAAATAGGAGTTTCTCACTAGTCCATAATTTCTTTATTTTGTTTTTTTTTTATATTAATATTGTAACACTTTATTAATGGGGAATTTGATTAAAAAAAAATACGTCTCGTTAGTGGTGCCCATTCTCAGCTTCGCAAAGTTGCAATTTTATGCTTTTTAGGTAAACGTTTCTAAAATATAAATAAAGATTAGTGTTGTATGTGATTAAGAAATAATAATAATACTTTATTCAATATCAATTACTACATGTTAATTACTTAAATCTAAAAAATACAAAATGAGATAAAAACTACACAGCCTGAACTAGGATTGTCTTGTGTTTCAGGCAAAAAAAATCTTAATATATATCTTCTTTAAATAATCAATAATAAGTATGATATGGTAGATTTATTTTAACCGATATTTAACAAATTTACTTAAATCACAATGTCGCAAATTCTATGGTATTTATTATATGTCCGACACCGCAATATCGCGGTATGGAATATATAATGCGGAATCGCATGCTCTATGTGTGTGTGTGGGCGTAGATGACGGATATATATATGCGTGTGTGTGGGTGTAGGTGGCGGATATATGTATGTGTGTGTGTGTGTGTGTAGGTGGCGCTGTTCCAGCTGAGCGAGGTGACGCTGATGGTGTCGGTGTGGTGGCGGCGCAGCGTGAAGCGAAACGAGATGGTGGGCTGGTGCGCGCTGGGGCACGCCTCCTCCACCAGCGACGCGCGCGCGCACTGGGACGACCTGTGCCACAGGCAGGGGGAACAGGTGAGTGTGTACTGCGGCCGGGGGGGGGGGCTATACCCACGCAACGAGATGGTGGGCTGGTGCGCGCTGGGGCACGCCTCCTCCACCAGCGACGCGCGCGCGCACTGGGACGACCTGTGCCACAGGCAGGGGGAACAGGTGAGTGTGTACTGCGGCCGGGGGGGGGGCTATACCCACGCAACGAGATGGTGGGCTGGTGCGCGCTGGGGCACGCCTCCTCCACCAGCGACGCGCGCGCGCACTGGGACGACCTGTGCCACAGGCAGGGGGAACAGGTGAGTGTGTACTGCGGCCGGGGGGGGGGCTATACCCACGCAACGAGATGGTGGGCTGGTGCGCGCTGGGGCACGCCTCCTCCACCAGCGACGCGCGCGCGCACTGGGACGACCTGTGCCACAGGCAGGGGGAACAGGTGAGTGTGTACTGCGGCCGGGGGGGGGGCTATACCCACGCAACGAGATGGTGGGCTGGTGCGCGCTGGGGCACGCCTCCTCCACCAGCGACGCGCGCGCGCACTGGGACGACCTGTGCCACAGGCAGGGGGAACAGGTGAGTGTGTACTGCGGCCGGGGGGGGGGGCTATACCCACGCAACGAGATGGTGGGCTGGTGCGCGCTGGGGCACGCCTCCTCCACCAGCGACGCGCGCGCGCACTGGGACGACCTGTGCCACAGGCAGGGGGAACAGGTGAGTGTGTACTGCGGCCGGGGGGGGGGCTATACCCACGCAACGAGATGGTGGGCTGGTGCGCGCTGGGGCACGCCTCCTCCACCAGCGACGCGCGCGCGCACTGGGACGACCTGTGCCACAGGCAGGGGGAACAGGTGAGTGTGTACTGCGGCCGGGGGGGGGGCTATACCCACGCAACGAGATGGTGGGCTGGTGCGCGCTGGGGCACGCCTCCTCCACCAGCGACGCGCGCGCGCACTGGGACGACCTGTGCCACAGGCAGGGGGAACAGGTGAGTGTGTACTGCGGCCGGGGGGGGGGCTATACCCACGCAACGAGATGGTGGGCTGGTGCGCGCTGGGGCACGCCTCCTCCACCAGCGACGCGCGCGCGCACTGGGACGACCTGTGCCACAGGCAGGGGGAACAGGTGAGTGTGTACTGCGACCGGGGCTATACCTGATATGTTTCATGATATTATACGCAATAAGTAGCTGTATTATGATGCCAAAACGGCAAAACAAGAGTACACGGCGTATAGGTACTCTTCAATGCTGACGTGATAATTACTTAATTGATATATAGATAAATGATATCAGCGGCTACTATAGTTGCGAGAAAACCAGTTTTCCTCCCCATTATCTTTTTAAATAGATTAATTATTGTGCTATCGTGTCGAGCCGAAGTTTTTAAACTGTTAAGTGTCAGATACCAACTTTTACTCTTGATCAATTCTAAAGTCTAAAAACTTTGGGATTAAAAAAATAGTTAAGTATAAATTAACATCGGTTGAAACACTGTCATCATCATCATCATCAGCCTATTAATGTCCCCACTGCTGGGGCACCGGCCTTCCCTATGGATGGAATAGGGAGATCGGGCCATGACCCACCACGCGGGCCCAGTGCGGATCGGTGGGTGCTAACGACTGCAAATGCAGCCGGGACCGACGGCTTAACGTACCTTCCGAAGCACGGAGGAGCTCGAGATAGTAAATTTTTGGTCACCCATCCAAAGACCGACCACTGCGAAAGTTGCTTAACTTCAACGATCGCAGCCGAACGCGCTAGCCACCTGCGCCATCGAGCTCCTCCGAAGCACTGAATCAGTAGTAAATACAAACAGCTATATCAATGTGATAACATGAAGTACACGTCGATGTCGACGCGCAGGTGCAGCGCTGGCACGTACTGCTGGAGTCCTGACGGGCGGGCCCGTGAGCGCGCCCCGCGCCCCGCTGACCGCCCCGGGCCCCGCCCCGCCCCGGGCCCCACTCTGGGGCCCCTGGAGACCCTGATTCGAACCCGGCGCCCTCTGGCGGCGCCGCGCGACGACTGCGACCAGGACCGCATATACCGACATCTTGATGCATTTTTGTCACTGTCGTTGTTGAGAATTGCTCTTTTCTAAGTATTTTGTATGTCCGAAGATGAGGCTGGCATGTCGCCAAACAGGAGGAAGCCTGTAGACTCGCTTCTCCCACGCTGACGGAGTGCACTTTTGCACGTTTCTGAATGATGAGAATTTGATGTTACAAAGTAGACATAAAAGTTGGCGAGATGATCGAGGAGAGAGTTGGATCAGAAATTGTATTTATACAGACGCATGGAATGCGTCGATACGGATTTGTATTATGGAGACAGCTTGTATTTATTCAAATTCCAAAGGGATTCTATTTGAACGCTTGTGTACTCTTTAAATTGTTAGAGAGATATGTTTAGTTGGAAACATGTTTGGATGTAACAGTTTTGTAGTATTTACATAAGTATATATATTTATTTATGAAGACGATGACTTGGAGCGCACAATGCTTGTGAGATAGATTAATGAGTAGACGGATATATATTATCTAACTTTAAATATGACTTACATTTACCCAGAAAATATTCTTAGACGCCCTAATCTTTTATATGATGATGCCGAGTTACCAGTTTACTCGGTGCAGAGCGGAACCATACAAATTTTGCCACTTGTTACATTATGAATTGTAATAGATAGATTTTGATAACATAGCTGATTAATACTCATGGAAGGTGATCCCCATTTCACGTCATGTTTACATGAAATACATATTACGTAAATATATTATATACATTTTTATAAATAAACCTTAAAAAATAAAATAAAAAGTATTGTAATAAGAAAAACTTATTGATTCTTTAAACATATTTCATGATAAATCATAATAATATAGTTCTTTTACTTGTTGCATAATAATGCTTTTTAAACCAGCACGGTTTTTTTTCAGAAAACAGTTTTTTTTGCTTATTTACGTCATCTCAGATTTCTTAAAATAGGTACTGAAATTAGTAACTACGCTATTTAAATCATAATATTGTTATAAATTGTAAACAAATGATTTTAAATTTGCTCTACTCGAACTTTATTAATATTATGTAAATAAAACTAGGTGTTTATGTGTAAGCCTTTTCCGATAAACAATCACAAAAATGTTAAGTGTAATTTATAAATTACATATATATATATATATAAATACATTGTGTATGTTTGTTATGAATTATGATTATATATCGGTCGATATGATGGCCACTCATTTATTGCTTATTAGGGTAACTAATCATATTTATATAGATTCACATTTTATATTTGAATGTCCTAAGCAGCAATCTTTCTGAATCTCAATTTATCTAAAACTAGTTCTATGGATTGAATCTAGCTTTAGTTAAACTGAGTGGGCCTAAAAAATTAGGTACTTTAAAAATACCATATTAATGTCATTTCATAAATGTTGAACTGAGGATATTGTGGTTAGCTTTCCACTAGAGGCTGACATATTACATTACATCATATTAATGTATAACCGACCAAATGTAGGCTGTAAGATTTGACCGCTTCCCTTTGCAATCCGCAAACACTAAAGTTTATAAATCCAATTAATATAATTACTTACTCGCATGTGAAATGAAAAATCAACATCTGTATTAAGTGTAGGTACCATACTTTTCTGTTGTCATTCAGGCATGGGGGTATTGATTCAGGTTAAAGGAGACCCGGCACTTTTCATAGAAAAAATGCTAAACTTGTATACAGTTGAATTTGATCTCAAAATAAAGCCAAAATTATTTGCTACATAAAACTACTTTTGCCTTATTTTTAGTGAATCGTGGAAAGAAGTTATTTAATGATTAATATTTTTTAATATAGAAACCCTTTTGATGACAAACCTACGTATTTGACATTGACAGCTAGCTGCTGATGACAAATATTGCCAGACTACGTTACCCAATTATGAAACATAGATAAAAAAATTAAAAAAGTATACAACTTTGGCACAAAATGCCGGGTGTCCTTTGTGTACTCAAATAAGACCCTACTTACGACAACAATCAGACAAGAATATTCACAAAACTTTACATTATTCAATGAATACTGTTTATATAAAATTTGAGTGTCTGTCGTGTCAATTTTTATTAAACATTGTATTGATATGCATTATTAGGACCTATCGAAATAGTTAAAAACAATTTATGTACGTAACGTTAGATAGGTACCTAATAAACATACACTTGTACTATAGTATAAAATTTAATACTTGCAGTGCAATACTTCTAGTTTTTTTTTTTAAGTTAAATATAATGTAGAGTAGGTACCTACAATATTTTTTTATTGAAAGCTTTTTTCTAAAGAATATATTACTAGATAAAAATCCACGCGGACCGGGCAGCAGACAGGACTCGAACCGGCACCCTTCGCTATCCGGGCGTATGCACTGACCATTATTCTACCGCGGCCCTGATGGCCGTGTCGAATTCTTTCTAGACTTTCTTAAAGTTCGAGATAACGCCATCTCTCAAGGGCGGATCCAGAGGGGAGGTCATGGGGGTCATTACCCCCCCCCCCCCCTGGCGCCAAAGCTGGATCCACCCTTGCCATCTCTTCGCATTGTCGATAACCAACAATGTCAAATGTAATGTCTGTTTTCCTAGTAATATATTCTTTAGATTTAAAAATCGAGCAGTTACATGCTTAAAATAAATAAAAATTATAGCTTTTTTCTATCAAAATAATAACAAAATACTCAAAAATATAATTCCGAAACTAGAATAGAAACAAATTTATAAAAAAAATATGGTTTAAACTAAAGTTCAAAAATTATAAAAATGAGGCCCTCAAACGCTTCAAAGCGACCTGTATACCCGATGCATTAGTAATTACTAAGTGTAGTACTTAAATACCAAACTAGATTATAAACACTGAAATAAATAGTGATTAAATATAGTCAGTACAGTTTCTATTAATTCTGGCTCATTTATTTATGTATTTCAAACCAAAGTTAGCTCAACTGGGATAAAATATTTGTCAAATATCAAATTATTGAAGTCGTAGTGACTAGCGCTAATTTCTAGCCGCTGATGTTATAATATCAAGATCCGATGATTCAATGTATGTATTTGCGTAGATAAGACGTTAAAAGGAATTGTTTAAAACTTAAAATTTTGACTCCGAGTGTTAATGATTGTAAGAATTCTCAATAAATCACTTTATACTACTTTCCTACACAGTTGTTTTATTTTCTACCTAAAATTTTATTGAAGTAAATTTAGATTAATTTCCAACAACACAACACTAATAAATTAACGAAATTAAGCGTTTTATAAATGGCAGATGGCTAGTTCTAGAAATATCTTAATAACTATCTTCGTGTTTGGACTCTAGCACCACTTAACATCAGGTGGGGTAGAGTCATTGGCCTACCTGGCTATAAAATAGTCCAGAAGTAATAGTTAAAAAGTTCAGTTCAAAAATAGTTCAGAGTGCTGATGAGACTGCCGCTTTTCTGCAGCGCATCAGGGATGTTTGCTGATGCACAGGTGGACTATTTGTTCACCATCTTACGCAAGCGATGTGCATCACTGGTACCTAGGGTTTGGGCCAGCTCCAACGGCATTCTGAGCAAACAGTATCGACTGTCAGTACATGCGTCATTGTTGCACGGTTCATGTACTGACTAATAGTAAATATTGACATGTTTTATTTATTTAAATATTATTATTGTGAAAATATTGAGTTTTTATAATTATTTATTACTAGTGGCCCGCCCTCGCTTCGCTTCGGGGTAGAATTGATCAAAATCCATTCTTAGCGGAAGCCTACGTCATAACATCCTACGTCATACCTTCATGCCAAATTTCAGCCCGATCCGTCCAGTGGTTTGGGCTGTGCGTTGATAGATCACTATGTCAGTCAGTCACCTTTGAGTTTTATATATATAGATTGATGATGTAAATTAATTTGTAAATTTATTGTTTTAATGGGTGGCTGATGTTGTCTAAATTTTTTTTTTAATTTTTTATAATGAATCCCATGTACCTTGACGTTGTATTTGAAAATGTCAGTAAAATATATATTTCAAGAGTAGATAATTCATATAAGTAGTACAAAAGATAATAAGTAACAGCTATATTTCACTGGTAAATTATCTAGTTAATTATTAGCGGCAGTAATTACAGACAAGGCCACCTTTATCGCCACTCCGCAGCTGTCCTGATTCAAATCGACAATTTTATTTAATTAACCATGTTAATAGTATGCATCATGCAAATTAATATAATACCCTCGGAAGTTTACATAATTGGACGTGGCGGCTTTCGAAATAAAATTTTGGACTTATTAATCTGAAGTTCAAATAAACAATAAAACGAATTAAAAAGTATGAAGGGTAATTTCAAAACTTTGCTTATGAGATATTGCTTGCAGAGTACCGTGCTTGGATTGAAGTATTTTTATTTGTACCCTGATTGGGTGTCGAGGTAAGTCTTTAAAAATATCTTTACAAAGTGGAATTCCTTCACTGTGTAAATTTTATTCTGTCTTTCGCAAAATATAACGATAAATAGATACAGCCTAATGTTAAGTCAGTTGGCGCCCAACGTGTAGCATCAAAGATTAATACACAGTTTTCTGAAGGTGTATAGGTGACATACAGGGAAATAAACTTAAAAGAATTAATGTCCACCTGATGACTCTGAACTCCTGATGTTTATAAATACTGAGCCCCCTTTAGATATTATTTCAGCCTTCAGATTTTTCTGAACAGTCCAACAGTGGTGTCAATTCTGGCATGCTTTTCTAAACTAAAAACTAGTTTTATCATCTGCAGTCTCTCCTTTTCATTACGTATAGACAATGATAAGGATCATTGCTGTCGAATTTGAGTTTAGGTTTAGAGAACCATGTCAGAATCTACACCAGTATCACGAATCTACCTAGCACGAACCATTATCGAATTTGAATAGTTCGTGAGTGCGAAATGTCAATGTCAAATTTTGTATGGAAACTTGAACTTCAGCGCCAGAAAGAACGTAACGAGAACTAAAAATCAGTACACATTTGACAATGACATTTTGGACTTCGATATTGATTCGTGCTAAGGTTACAGTACTTAAAATACAAGGACGTCTCTTAAGGAACTGCCATTCTCTACGAGCATTGCTGTAGATATTTTGTTCCGAGCAGATGTTTCTGGGCGGCGATTATGCTGCTATTGCTGTCGTTCTCGTGCATGATGGCGATGCTGGTGTACCAGCGGTTCGCGGCGATGCCCACGCGCATCAGCATCGTCAACCAGTACGAGCCGCTGCTGGGAGTGCCTTACCCCTCCATCACCATCTGCTCGCCCAACCAGATCACAATCAGCGCCGTCCGACACTTCAACAGGACGCTCGTGTGAGCATCACAAGTTGTTCAACTTGCACACCATTTATTTTCAACATCCACCAATCCGCGCGGGGTCGGCGTGGTGGGTCATGGCATGGGCTCATATATTTTATTTATTTATTGGAACGAAGTTCCTTACGGCAGGCTTGGAGGGGATAGGGATTTTGCTGCGCGACCGAACTGAAAAAAATGTGATAGTAAAACCGTAAGAATAAATCCGTGGAAAAAAGTGCGTGGAATAAAACCGTTAAATGAGACGTGCGCAGGCGCGACAGTCGCATACACACAAGCGAGTTTGCAATTTGTGTCGATTCTACATTAGCCGAAGGAACTTCGTTCCTACCTGGTGTCCCACGACACCGCATCATTTCTTTTTTTATTTTCATTTGGGAAACATACAGTTTTACACAATTCAATTAAGTAACACAAATACTTTTTCATAAACCAGTTAAGTTTCCACAGACTGAAACATTCATACACTTACATAATTTACTTAAAATTACTTACAATATTTAGAGTTATGTGAATAGAATAAATGATGATAATAAATAATAATGATAATCAAAATTTATGGTAAGAAAACAATTACTAAGTGTTAGGGTAAAACGACCTTATAGCATTCATTTCTAAATTGATTGTAAGAAAGGCAAAATATATCCAATACCCTGAAGTATTTATTATAGCTGTGATATGCTCTAGAAATTAAACTATTTGCAGCAAACTTGGTCCTGCTGAATTGTATAACAAACGTGTTGTCAGACCTAATTCTATTTGGACCTCATGGCCCCATTGACCTATTCCGTCCATATGGAGGGCCTGTCCTCAGCAGTGGTGATAATAGGCTGATGATGGTTATGTTTTATAAACATATCTATTGATCTTCTCCATAATATGTGACAGTCCAAACGACTGCATCCACGTGACACTGTTCAAGTTTTCGCCTTTGATTAATGTTCCTGAAACTGGATATCCATTATTAGGTACTTAAAGAAAGAAAAACATTTTATTTACCTTCACAGCATGAAATTAAAAAAACAAAACGGTATATAAAATAAAACAAATAAAATATTTAAGAAAAATGGGTGCGTGTACTTATGTAGGCGCGTGAGAAGTTATCCTTCTTTGGCATCGTTTAAAATTAGTTTTTAATTACATGCAAATAATTAATTACAATAAATTAATAAAAAGTCTGGAAAAGGACACGGTCAATAAAGTTCAGTTTTAATTTGAAAAAATTAATAAATAATCAAAATATTGATTTGAAAAAATAAATAAATAATCAAAATATTCAATTAAAATCGCTACTGAATATAATTTATTAGAACATATGTGATTTGCACTTGTATGAAACTCAAACACGTATTCCGAATATACAAACTAGAAACATGTGGATAAATATTATAAATATGAATACCTATAACTGTTACTTTATTACAAAAAATAAAGATGTGGTTTTTGGTTCTACTACACCAATGGTCAAGAGATGGCGCTGTAGTCTCCTGAATCGCGCTTTGGTTGCGTTGTTCCAGATTAATAAATACTTTTGATAGGCCTTCACAATGCAGTCGTTAACACCCACTAAATAGAGATTCTATTTCTATTTTGTTGGTAGATTTTCTTAATCTGCGGTCAACACAAAAGTAACGCATGAAGTTGGCCGCTAAAGCGACCAACTTCATGCTGTTAAAATTTTGTGTTACAGTGATGCGCGCGCATCTTAAAATTTCACTCTCATCATTTTTTCATAACGCGCCTAAAGAAGTATAACTTCAAAAACATGAAAACTAAGTACTTACTTACTGAAGTATATTGTTAATGGTACCTACTGGCAATTTTTTAATAGTTATTTATTATACAAGAGTGGAAAGTTCCTTTTTAACCGCGTGCTCGATTTGGATGACCGAGCAAGCGAAGGATTCTAAAGTTGAATCACGAGCGCAGCGAGTGATTCTAAATTAGAATCCTGAGCGTCAGCGAGGGAAACAAACGAGCACAAGGTGAAAAATCTTTCCACTCGAGTGCAATACGTAACTTTTCATCCCACCTCAGCGAGGAAATGACAAAATGAAAAAGAAAACAATTTATAATGACAAAATATTTTTATTTCAATTAAAACACATTAAGATAATCTATAAATTGAAGAAAATAATAAGAAGTAGAAAATAATTAAGAAATATTAAATGTAACGTTGCTACAGTTACTTATGTTAAGTTTAATATTTTTGTTAGGTAATGTTATGTTGGTGTTTGTGAATTGTGCGCTGTTTTGTGGTAAACTACTCGTATCAGTAATTTTAAATAGTTGTGCCGATTCATTGGATTCTATTGGCGTAAACGTTGGCGAGAGAGGGCTATTGTTTCCAATCTTATGGGGGCTCATTTTAGATGTAGAAGGGCGAGACCAAGAATCTGACAGAGGTTCTTTCAGCGTTATGGCCTCCACGATACTATTACAAATTTTTGATTTACTTTGGATTGAATCCTCTATGTATCCCTCTACAACCGAATTAGACTTCCAGCCTCCATGGCGCTTAAGCGATAGAAGATCAGCCCCTGATTCGGCCAAAAGTGTGGCTGAGGTTCTTCTAAAACAGTGACCGGTGTATAACGGGGGTTCTAAAAGTCCGAGAAAAGTTGCTATTTCTCGTGGAATACTGCCAATTTTATTCTGACCCATAGGTTGTCGGATACACTTTCCGTTGCGATATTGTAGAAAAAATCGTTCAATTGGGGTGTTAGAAGTACGTAAAGCTTGATATTTCTGAACAATGTTTACATATTCCTTGCGAATAACGAAGTTGCGGTCTTTTTTTGTCTTGGTATTTAGTACATTAATTAATAGCAATTCATCAGAATTATGAGAATATTTTGATACGTTATTGACATTAAGTAGTGTAAGTTCATTTGTTCGACATGCTCCGGTTATACCAATAATAAGAACAACCTGTAACAAAAGAAGTATTTATAATCGTAAATAAATTAATCAAATTAAAAATATTGTAAGTACTATGTACAATTTTATCAACAACAAAAAATTACACGTATTGACTTACTTTTGCCGCTAAATATACGGAATCAGGTGCTTCATTAATAAACTTTGCAATTTCAGATGCTGTGAAAACCTTCGATTTTTTTGGTTTATAACCAGATGAGGCTCTTTTTAAAAATGCCACTAATTTATGATAGGTGTCGATATGAACGTCTTTCTTCATCTTAATTGTTAATTTTAGCATTGAATACGTACTCCATAGCGTGCTTGCTTTCTTGGTCTCAGATAATTCTATAAAATATGCCAGCAAAACGTTTTCGGAGAAAGTTTTTGCTCCTTTAGCTAGTCGCCACATGTTAAATATATCGTACTGTTTCAAATACTTCTCTCGTGATTGCTGAGGGAGAAGGCTCATTTGCGCATTATTAACTGTTTCAGTTAACTCAGTTGGCGTTAGATAAACTTCATCGTCGCTAATGTCACTCATTTTAGTTGATTTTTTTGTACAGTTTTTAGGTTATGTTAATTATATTAAGCAATAAAACGTGAAAAACTAGAATGGCGCGAAGCACGCAAATAAAACAAAGAAACCAAGAAGGTTCCAAATTTAAATTTTTTCACAATTTAAAAAGTTCTAATCATAAATTTGGCACCATAGAGGTTACATTAAATAGGTTTAATGACGTTTTGAATTTACAATTATATTGAGTACTCATTATATGTGATGTTCTAAATTCAAATCTACTTTGCCGCTCAAGCGAATAAAATAGAATTTTCCAGCCAGATTTCGAAGCGCAAAATTACACTTTCCGAGGTGGTGGGATGAAAAAGTTCTTTAGTATAAGTCAATATAAGAGAAATCGACATTTACATGTTCATTTTAATGTTATAATAATAATAATAATTGTTTATTCCAGGCATAGAAAACTCAATAAAAATCTATATACTAAATTGCGAAAAAAGTAAAAGTGTAAACAAAATAATAATAAATAAAATAAAATAAAAGCATAAAAGAACAGTAAAAGTAAAACAGGTAGTATAATATTACCTACGTCATTATAATATTCTCACGCTGGTGCACTGAAATCCAGCATTTGAAGATAAAGGATTATCTAGTCCTTTGCATACAGTTTTGATTACGCTGTTATCAGAAAGACATATTCGTGACCAAAAAGAGACTATACGTATTCTCATAACAGCATAAAAGTCTGATATACGAGCATCTGAAAACATGCCCGACGCGCTACAGTATCTCGGTAGTCTCAAAAGAATACGAAAAGCATCATTGTATTGCACTGTTATGGAACGTCTTATAACTAGCCTAAACCTACCTACTTTTTGACGACCTCCGTGGCCGAGTGGTTTGTACGCCGGGTTTCATGGTGTCACCGACTCGAGAGGTCTCGGTTTCGAATTCCGGTAGAGGCAGATGTTTGTGTGATGAATACGAGCATTTGTACTCCAGTCATGGATGTTTAATATGTATTTCTATATAAATATACTTATTTAAGTACAGTATATGTATTCTATCCGTTACCCTAGCATCCCATAACACAAGCCTTATAGTGCTTACTTTGGGGCTAGGCTAATTGGTGTGAGCGTCGAAAATATTTATTATTAACTTGATTCTCTACAGGTATTGGTATTATTCAAACAAAACTATTTTTTTAACCTAGTGCGTTGCGTAAAGCCGCGTATTCATTAGGCAACATTTGTTATAAACACTGTTTGTAAACAGTGTTTCACATTATTATACTTGGTCGCAGCAATGGTAACGCCACGTCACGCCTGCGCCTGTGGGAACTGCTACCGCAGCTGCTGGGCATGTACGATTACGCCATCGATTACAACGAGCGCGACCTGGCCTTCCTGCAGGACCTCATCGACGAAAATCGGTACACGGTGCGTACACGATACAAAATGGTAGACATACACACTACGAGAAATCGTTACGATTAGACTGTACAGTCCGAACGGTACCGATAAATCGTAGCGTGTATGTTATAAAACTGCACAGTTTCCTATACGTACGCCACGTACGATAAACTGTTCCGTTCGAACTGTACAGTCTGATCGTAACGATTTCTCGTAGTGTGTATGGCTACCATAACGTCGCATCATAAATAAATAGGCTGCGGTGTGATATTCCGCTTACCATCAGGCTGGCCAGCTTGTTTGCCATCCCTTTAACATAAAAAAAGAATCCAAGGAGTCGCGCTAGACGTTTTAAAACTATGTTTTTGACATAAACCCATCCTGTATCGAAACTGGAACCTTACAGTTGCAATCGGGCTCAGTTAGGCGCAGTTCGTCACCGTACAGCCAAAGAGCGCTTCAAAGTCAAGTTCAAGTGAAAAGGAGACCATGGCTCGTATTACAGAATGTCAACTAAGGGCCTGTATTATAGAAAGATTCTTAGTAATGAATCTAGTCTTGAGCATAGATAGAAAGGGATGTCGCTATATATATAGTTGTCATTCCGTAATACGGGCCTAAGTGTTGATCTTTACTTGAGTACAGTTAGAAAAAGATGTTGCTAGGTGCTATTATATATAGCGACATCCCTTTCTATGCTCAAGACTAGATCAATCATTGAGGATCTTTCTATAATACGGGCTTAAGGCTCGTATTACAGAATCAGAACTAAGTGTTGATCTTTACTTGAGTCCAGTTAGAAAGGGATGTCGCTGTACAAAGGCCTTTATTATAGAAAGATTCTCAGTGATTGATGTAGTCTTGAGCATAGTTAGAAAGGGATGTCGCTATTTAAAGCACATAGCGACATCCCTTTCTAACTGTATTCAAGTAAAGATCGACACTTAGTTGTCATTCTGTAATACGGACCTTAGTGTCGTGCCATCAAGTGCCATGCCATGCATGTTGATAGATCTGAGTTGCTAGGACCGACATCGACACCAAATGTTAATTTGAAATTACATGTACATACTTTAGACATAAGTTAAGAATATCTATTACTTATTTCCTATTATTTCTTAATTTTTAATGATTATGTTCTCATGAACTTAGTTTTTTTTTGTTATTAAATAAAGTTAGTAGATTCAAAGGCGAGCCACCTACAAGGTAGAATATGTGATGTACAAGGGCACATCGGTCTTAGGGGCGCCGAGCACCATTCCTCACCATTCTATTAAAACCGTAGATTTACTGGAGGGCTCCAGATATTGCACACAGACACGCTTTCATTAAGGTTGCTCGATGACGCAAGTGGTTAGCGCGTTCGGCTGCGATCGTTGAAGTCAAGCAACTTTCGCAGTGGTCGGTCATTGGATGAATGACCAAAAATGTATTATCTCAAGCTCCTCCGAGCTTCGGTAGGCACTTTTAACCTGCAGGTTGCATCTGCAGTCGTTAGCATCTATCAGTCCGCACTGGGCCCGAGTGGTGGATCACCCTATTTCCCTATTCCATCCATAGGGAAGGCCTGTGCTCCGGCAGTGAGGACATAAATAGGCTGATAATGATGATGACATGCTTAGATGCCGGAGGTGAGCACGCTGCTGGCACAGAGCTGCGAGGGACTCCTGCGCGCGTGCTACTTCGGACAAAAGCAGTTCCCGCGCTGCCGGGGGCTGTTCTACCCCGTCCTCACCGAGCACGGCCTATGCTGCACCTTTAACAACATGTACCAACTCGTCGACGGAAAGCGGTTCGTTTAAAAGCAAACTTTATAGCGACGTAGCCAACATCCGACTCCATATTGCCGACTTGAATTAACTCCGTTCCTGAACCTTGTTGATTTAAGGGAGAAAATCTCAAGAGAGGTAGACCATTGCGGAGGATCCCGTCTGGGGAAGTAATCTCCACCACAGTGAAGACTGTTAAGCAATACTATACCACCTTGCAACCTTTTAGTTTTGTCGTGTTGCTGTCAGTAAATAGTGGTCGCGGCAACACAGGAGTAATAGTTTTCGAGGCTTTTCTAGCATCAGTACCCCTAGCACGAACCATTATCGAATTCGAATAGTTTGCAAACCGAAATGTCATTGTCAAATTTTGTATGGAAACTTGAACAGCAGCGCCGCAAAGTACGTAACGAGAACTAAACAACAGTACACATTTGACAAGGACATTTCGGAATCGCTAACTATTTGAATTCGATAATGGCTTGCGCTAAGGGTAGGTCACAGAACACAGAAAGAGGTTAGGTTACGAGAAATATGTCAAAAATTGAAAATTATTGTATGGTTTCTTTATTTTGTAGGAATAAAAAAAGAGGCGGCGCATGCATATTGGCTTAAAAGGGTATTATTTGTAAAGGAAATAATTTGCATAAAAAATATGCTACCCAAAAAACTTTTAAGGATTGCGGGATTGAAACCACAGCCTGTAGATTAATTGTTATTTGTTTACATAGAATACCGATATTAGATCTCAACGTTTTTCTCAGAACTCTTGACAATTTACTGAATGAAGTTTTCGTTAATTATATAAAATATTATTTTGAAATTAAACTGACATAGAACTGTACCAATTTACTTTTCAGATAGGTGGAAGTTTGTAATTTTTGCATGCTAACATATTGTAGCTAAACATAAGGCCCCATTTACTGTAACACCTTGTATACCACGTTTACAAGCAAATAAAGACGTTATTATTATTACACTCGTAAGAATCTATAGGTTATAGTGACCGCATAGGTATCAACAGGCTGGTCAGTATATGCTATGCAATGCTTGCTTGACGTCTTTTTTAAATAAAAAGAACCGTGTCATTTGGATGAACATTTTTTTTACTAGTACTAATATACTTTTATCCTTTCGTTATAAAGATTTGTATGTATTATCTCAGTAACGTGCACAGGAGCGATTACGAGAAGCTCCTGGTGGAGCACTGGGGATTCCCCAACGCCCTGAAGGTGGTGGCGGACTATGAACCGGACGACGCGCTCGACCACACCATCGCTAACGGCGGCAGCATACGGGTGACAATCATTCACTGTCTTTTGAAGATCTTTAAGTGACGACCTCCATGAGTCACGAGTGGATTGTACTCTGGACAATGGTTTTGGTGTTGTCTCCATCACAATCAGGGGCGGCCTTAGGAATTGCGGGGCCCCGGGCTACAAATCTTTGCGTGACCCTTTTTACCGGAAAAGGATAGTTATGTTTTTCAAGTATATTTATAAAAGGGCTTGTTTACCGGTTCATTTTGAAACCTAAATCAGTGTCAAGTACATTATGAGCGTTTTATTTAGGTTTGGCTCTACCTTAACCTTAAAAAAACCGGTTTTCCGAAAAAGCGAAATCAAATAGGTTTTGAATCCGTAGAAGCGTCTTCCTGTAGACCACTTCTGTTTATTCTCCTTTCTATCGAAACCTTGACAAATAGTTTTTAAAGCGATACAACACTGTAATAACAAAATTTAGAGTCATAAGCACCTAACCACCAATATGACTTTAATTATAATGAAGCCGGTGCGGTACATCTATAGACTCGTAGAAGAACTCCTTAAAGATTTCAAATCAAGAAATATTATTGCGTGGCATTCCTGGATACTTCCCACGTCCTTGAACAAATTAACATTAAATTAATTTACAAATAATCATCATCAATAATAAATAAATATAACAAGTCAATATTTTCACATTAATGATATTTATAAATAAATAAAACAAATAAAACATGTCAATATTTACTATTAGTCAGTACATGAACCGTGCAACAATGACGCATGTACTGACAGTCGATACTGTTTGCAAACAAGCTCAGAATGCCGTTGGAGCTGGCCCAAACCTTTTGGGCAGCAGGAAATTTCGATGAAGTCGATGTCTTCTCGTCCGAAATACCTCAGTGCCTGAAGACTAAGGTCTTCGATTAGTGCCAGTCATGATATATGTAGTTAAAACGTAGTCGTTGACAATAAGCTTAATTAAAAAGAAGGCTCAGGGTCGCACAGCGAAAGATGGCACAGTGTCTCTCTACGTGATCGAATCAGGAATGAACTTTTAATTTCGTTTATAGAACATTATTATAAATTATAAAGTAAAGGTAATAAAAATTTCATCTATTTTTCTAAGGTCAAAATCATTCCTAAATTATTACAATCTAACGAAAACGCTACGTCATTTTTTAATTGAAAGAATAGTAATGCTGAAAGTCGAACTTGTGTCATATAATTTCTCACTTATAAGTATTCTAATATTTTTTTAACTGCGAAAACCTTCTTTCTGTTCATGCAAATACAACTGTTACAGTTTATTAAGATTGTCATAATTATTAAGTATGTATAGTAGTATTTGAATTGCACGGGCTTCTCGCCCTCACACAGCAACCAAAATCTGATTGGAGTTGTTTTGTGAGGGTGGGGCTGCCCTGGGCGGTTACCCGGCTCGCCCTCCCCTAAGGCCGCCTCTGCGGAAAATGATGCAGCATGTCTAATGTCAGATTCTGTTTTATTCAAGAATGTAGAAGTTTTATCATATGCTGAAGTCCTTAATAATCTATCTGAACCTATTAAATACAGATAAATCCAGATAATTCAGTTTGAAAGGTCTTCAATAGACGAAAAATGCAAAAAATATAAAAATTTGGGAAGACTTAGGGCAGCTATTTTTTTAATATTTTTAATATATGTCTAGTTTTAGTGTAGTTTTAGTTTAATATTTGCCATGTTACTTATTTATACTATCCCTTAATAAATAAACATGAACACCCATAATATTAATTAACAATATAAAAATATAAACAGCAGCAAACTTTATTCATTAGATAGTGTTATGAAAGAATTAAGTATCTAAATCATTATCTGGAACTGGTAAACTTAGTCCTAAGAGTTTTGCCAACTCATGACTGATATCTTCAAATGTTAGCTAGTGACGACCTCCGTGGCTGAGTGGTATACACCAGGTTCGAATCCCGGTTGGGGCAGATGTTTATGTGATGAATACGAGCAATTATACTCCAGTCATGGATGCTAAATATTTATTTCCATATAAATATATTTACATATGTATCAGTCTATGTATTCTATCCGATACCTAAGTATCCCATTACACAAGCCTACAGTTTTTCATTTATTATATTTCATGCATGTACTTATGAATAATTCTATGATATTTATTACTTGTTCATTATGGAAATAAAGAGGCTATATTATTATTATTATTAATATGAACAGGTGCTTTTCCACGATTGGTCGGAATTCCCCGCGGACTACTTGACCAACTACGTGCCGATCAACACGGAGACCTTCCACATGCTGCAGGTCATCGAAACCTACTGCACCGACGAGGTTAAATCGTTACCGATCGAAAGGTATTTTACATGATTTTGAAAATAGTAATATTTTATTTTATCGTATATGGTAATATCATAATAAAAACAATTAACCTTAAACGAAAAACCTTAAAAAATATAATATAATAACTAAAATATATTACTAAAAGGAGTCCCTTTAGGCAAGGTTCCGAAGATACTGGCAGCGTTCCCCCTTTGAATAGCTAGACTAATTCGTTGTCCGAGGTAGCTGCTCTTCGGCCTCCAGTGATGTCGACTAACCTTTTTGATATTTCCTTAAAAAACCTCATAGCGCTAGGACCCCACGGACCAAGGGTCTCGACACCGAATGAGACAAAAAAAATGGGTGCGTGTACTTATGTAGGCGCGTGAGAAGTTATCCTTCTTTGGCATCGTTTAAAATTAGTTTTTAATTGCATGCAAATAATTAATTACAATAAATTAATAAAAAGTCTGGAAAAGGACGAAGTCAATAAAGTTCAGTTTTAATTTGGAAAAATAAATAAATAATCAAAATATTCAATTAAAATCGCTACTGAATATAATTTATTAGAACATATGTGATTTGCACTTGTATGAAACTCAAACACGTATTCCGAATATACAAACTAGAAACATGTGGATAAATATTATAAATATGAATACCTATAACTGTTACTTTATTACAAAAAATAAAGATGTGGTTTTTGGTTCTACTACACCAATGGTCAAGTGATGGCGCTGTAGTCTCCTGAATCGCGCTTTGGTCCCGTTGTTCTAGATTAATAAATACTTTTGATAGGCCTTCACAATGCAGTCGTTAGCACCCACTAAATAGAGATTCTATTTTGTTGGGAGATTTTCTTAATGTGCGGTAAACACAAAAGTAACGCATGAAGTTGGTCGCTAAAGCGACCAACTTCATGCTGTTAAAATTTTGTGTTACAGTGATGCGCGCGCATCTTAAAATTTCACTCTCATCATTTTTTCATAACGCGCCTAAAGAAGTATAACTTCAAAAACCTCATAGCGCTAGGACCCCACGGACCAAGGGTCTCGACACCGAATGGGACAAAAAAATGTTGCAATTTCTTTTAATGTTCTCTGAACAATTCTTCAAGTGAATCTTTTTTAGATACGCTTGACTTGGGGGGTAAACTGGCGCATGTGTTACGATTTCACGTTAGGATAAGTGTCATCGGTGACCCATCGGTAAACAATGAACAATACCCGTCACAAAATACATGAATCTAGTGCTTGGTGGGTGATAAGGGACCAAGAGTGGATTTGTGGGTGATAACGGACCCAGTGCGGATTGGTGGATGATAAGGGACCCAGTGCGGATTGGTCGGTGATGATTACGGACCCAGCGCGGATTGGTGGGCGATAATCGACCCAGTGATTGGTGGATGATAAAGGACCCAGTGCGAATTGGAGGGTGATAACGGACTCAGCGCAGCTTGGTGGTTTTTTATCTATCAACAAATCTTCAGGTTAAGTTTATGATTTTTAGATCATTGAGCTAAAGAAGTTTCACTTCAGTCGTGTGGTCATAAGCACACTCGCTTTTTTTATTTTGTGTTCTTTTTCTATCTGCTAGTGTGGACGATGATAATAAATACAATGATAAAAAATTACTTAGTAAAATAAGTTTAAACAGGAGGTTGTGAGTTTGCGAATGATCGGTTTAACGCGCAGTCCTCTGTGCACGTTTCGCAACTTGGTCGGTCGAGTCTCTACCGTCAAGGCCGTACCGGACTGATTGCACTTGCGAATAGACCGACAGAGAAATGAGTCCGCAAATCTCTTTGATCGTGTGGGCATCGTCGTCACAGGCAGTCGATAGCAAAGTAGACCAACGCATTTGGAACTGAAATAAAGGGGATGGTCGGATAAGGGAGAATAACACCCGATATGGATCGTCATTGTAGAGGCACGGTCATATTATCTATACAGTATTGTGACTCCGCCCTGTCCTTGAAATAAATGCCTACGGCCGAGCACTGCGTTAGCACGCGGTAGGGCCGCCCGCCTACAGTATTTTATGTAGTTTTGTTTTTAACGCGAGTGTAGGTAGATTACTCTTTTGTCTCTTTTTTCATCCTAACCACTTATTTATATATTATTCCACCATATTTATATATTTTGCCCGATGGAAAAATCGAAATACCTAAATATTAAAAACAAATTACGTACTAGTAGATAGGTATATAAAAAATATTCTATAAAGGTAAGACACCTTTCCAATATTTCAGGTAATTTAAAAAATGATATCTCTGGGTGTGTTATTGAAGAGCAACCAAAAACAGCAATAGTGCTGTTGTACGATATTGATCGTCGTTTGTTCTTTTCCATACTAAATTATGTAGGTATCTACTTAATTCAATCAAATATTTACAATACAAAACGCACGTTTAAGCACGGCTAACGGCATAAAAAATAATTCACACGGTGCGCGGTGGCGCATTCGCGACTGGGTGCCCGCCGAGAGTGCCTCGAACTCGAGTGGCGTAGGTATGACTCGCTTTCCGACCGTTTGTATGAAGATAGAAATGATATTATTACCGTGGTAGAGGCTCGAAGTTGTCAGTAATGTAATAATCGTTGTCGTCAGCCGCGCGTGCCTGCTGCCGTGGGAGCGGCACCTGCAGCACTTCGGTGCGTACCACAGCAGCGTGTGCGCAAAGGAGTGCTTCGCACGCCGCGTTTGGACCGCGTGCGGCTGCCTGCCCGCGTTCCTGCCGCACCTGCCGCCGGGCCGCGTCTGCACGCTGCCCGCGGTGCCCTGCTTCCTGCGCCTCAAGAGTACGCTCCTTCGTATATTAATTCCTCAGGACACATCCAATCATCTGCATTACTACTCAAATTTTTGTTATGTTTTTATTTTTTAAGCATTGTACTGCTAGATGTTTATTTAAATCTAAAGAAAAGTTTTACTAGAAAAAAATCCACACGGACCAGGCAGCGGACGGGACTCGAACCCTCACCCTTCGTAATCCGGGCGAATGCACTGGCCAATTATGCTACCACGGCCCTGATGGCCGCGTCGAAAATTTTCTAGCCTTAAGCTGCAAGGCAGCGCCTTCTCTTCGCATTGTAGGTAACCCACACCCAATTTTTGTTTGAAATCGTCAAAGTTACTGCATACGGGGAGGAAAAGCTTTTTGTATTTTGCTATTTATATTGCTGACCAATGTTACGGGCTCAATTATTATTTGAATTAGTTAAGGAAACTATAGGTCTAGAAACCAATAATATTTATGTATCAATTGTAAACATATGTGACTGTTTGTTTCTTATAAATAAAAAAAAAAAAAAAAGCCACGTAAGGCATATTTGGACACGTTAGTGTGACTTTACATTAGACTTCCATAAGTTTATGAGTGAGTAATAAGCAGAAGACCTAAGATTCTCTGCGTGTTCAGTATAATAACGCTTTCAGGTGGGCATGTTTGCCAAGGTGCGAACAAGTGACTTATACAAGTCTTATACAGTAACTTTTTTACTCATTATTGCATAAGAAATAATGTGTAAAAAAGTTACTTCTCATATGAAGAGAGTTTGCGACACCCGCAACAGCATCTTGTCGTAGAACAGTCGTACTTTTATAATTTAATAATATTATTATGTACTCATTATTGATTTTAATTTGTAATTTTATTAATTTCACGTAATAAAATATTTTTGACTTTTGTATTTTATTCAATTACTTAACTAAATACTTACATTTTGGTTTAATCTAAGAATAACCATGTAGTTTTATTGATTTAAGTATTTACAATTAGATATATGTATATAATTATAATTGCTATTGTATTTATTTAATTGATATGGCTTAATGCATGAAGTAAATAATTTATTATATCTATTTTTTATTTGTAAGCATTTATGTGCTTGAGATGTTTAATTAAATCTAAAAAAAACTTTACTTGAAAATAGGCCCGTGTGGAGCTTTACCTAGTAAACTTTTCTTTACATTTAAGTCAAGGGTTCTTTTAAATTACGGATTCCACATAACATAATCCACTGAACGCAGAACAAAATCACCCGACCAGTGCGGAGTGCGAGTGCCCGCGGAACTGCGAGTCGCGACGCTACTCCGCCGACATGACGGTCGGCAACCTGCGCGCAATATCGCACGCCCTTGATGACATCTAGTGAGTTCACTACACTAATATTCTTACAATATATAAGTCGCGGCACTAAAACTACGTATATTAAGCTAGCAGACCATGGTCGCAACGCGCACATCTAACCTACTGGGTATTTAGTTGCTAATTAGTTGCTAATTAGTTACACTATTCCCGATTTAGTTGCTCAACACCTGTAAAAGATACATGCGATCTGCTAGCTTAAGTCTTAACCTAGCAGACCACAATACTGTATCTTCGGTTCTCGTAAAGATATCGAAGTTCTGCAAACGGCATATTTAGTTGCTAATTAGTTGCTAATTAGTTACACTATTCCCGATTTAGTTGCTCAACACCTGTAAAAGATACATGCGATCTGCTAGCTTAAGTCTTAACCTAGCAGACCACAGTACTGTATCTTCGGTTCTCGTAAAGATATCGAAGTTCTGTAAACGGCATATTTAGTTGCTAATTAGTTGCTAATTAGTTGCTAATTAGTTACACTATTCCCGATTTAGTTGCACAACACCTGTAAAAGATACATGCGATCTGCTAGATTAAGTCTTAACCTAGCAGACCACAATACTGTATCTTCGGTTCTCGTAAAGATATCGAAGTTCTGCAAACGGCATATTTAGTTGCTAATTAGTTGCTGTAGGACAGCATTATTTGTATTATCCCCCCATCATCACTTAATTGCCGCACCAGCACCCACACTACCCCCGAAATACGATAAAATTAAAAAGAGCTCATCAGAGAATATAAACTACGGCGTATTTCGTTGCTAATTAGTTGCTGCAAAATAGCGTTGTTTAAAAAATTTAATTATCAACCCTTAACTCCAGATCATCCCTGCAACCACCTCGGAATAGGACGATACCGGAAAATTCTCGTAGGTGGAAAATAGACGCGGGATATTTAGTTACTAATTAGTTGCTCGTCAAAAACGCAGATAAGAGTATGCTACAATCATCCCCTAACCTCAGATACTACCCCTCTACTCACTAAAAAATAGTAGATGGTTCGAATTCACACGCAGATGTTGAAAACTGCTGGATATTTTGTTGCTAATTAGTTGTTCGCCAAAAACGCAGATAAGAGTATCCTACAATCATCCCCTAACCTCAGATACTACCCCTCTACTCACTAAAAAATAGTAGATGGTTCGAATTCACACGCAGATGTTTAATACTGTTGGATATTTTGTGGCTAATTAGTTGCTGCAAAATAGCGTTGCTTATAGTATTTAATTATCAACCCTTAACTCCAGATCATCCCTGCAACCACCCCAGAATAGGACGATATCGGAAAATTCTCGTAGGTGGAAAATAGACGCGGGATATTTAGTTGCTAATTAGTTGCTCGCCAAAAACGCAGTTAAGAGTATTCTACAATCATCCCCTAATCTCAGATCCATCCCCTCTACTCACTTAAAAATAGTAGACAGTTCGAATTTGCACGCAGATGTTTAAAACTGCTGGATATTTTGTTACTAATTAGTTGCTCGCCAAAAACGCAATTAAGAGTATTCTACAAACATCCCCTAACCTCAGATGCAACCCCTCTACTCACTTAGAAACAGTAGATGGTTAAAATTCGCACGCAGATGTTTAAGACTGCTGGATGTTTTGTTGTTAATTAAATGCCGAAAAATAGCGTTGCTTATAATATTTGATTATCAACCCTTAACTCCAGATCATCCCTGCAACCACCCCAGAATAGGACGATATCGGAAAATTCTCGTAGACTCGTGACTCCGAATCGTGTGGTTTAAAATACGGTCACCAAATAAACAAGGGAAATAAAAATATTTACCTTCTTTGAACATGTATATTTTATAAGTTAAAAAGTAATCATCAACATCTGGCAGTGAAATGCTTTTTCTTTTTTGGTATATGTTTTAGGTATATTTACGGGTTTTGATGAACTGTTCTTAGCCAATGTGACCAAGAAATTGTTTTAACGTAAGTCATTGATTTCATATATTTTTTTTTCGTTATACAGCTTCAAGAAACACAACCTGGAATTGATAATGGTACACCAAAAAGCTGTGTTAGTGGCATTTTTTTCTAGTAATCAATAATCCGGTAAAGATTTACATTATCTATTTAGTACATTTACTGTTTATTATATTTTTATTTTAAGCATTTAACTGCTAGATGTTGATGATTATGATGATTACTTTTTTACTTATAAAATATTTACATTTTCAATGAAGTTCAATATTTTTATTTCCTTTGTTTATTTGCTGACCGTAATTTAAACCACACGATTCGGAGTCGGGGATTAACCAGCGCGTGGGGACTAACTACTGCCATAACCGCCATCACGCTTAGGCCACAATGCGAGTACATCTCTCTCTATACAGACGTGTGCGTGTGTGAGAGTTGCTTATGTAGTTGAGTCGGATCATATTTTATTTGATGCTAGTGTATGAGCGTACCATATCTACCCTTTTTGTTTTAAACTAAGGTGACGAACGAATTTTAAACGAAATTGCGCCAGTGACTATTTCTTATTCGAACACGCACATAAAGTTCAGAATCACCAACAATTTTCGTGAGCTAATGTTTGTGAGTTCTTTTTTATCTCCACTATTTAGATTGCGTTTTGTACTTGGAAACAATATTACTTTATGTCAAAAATTTTTATGACTATGAAAGAACTTTCGTTTTTACTAATTTGTAGAATTAATACAATCGATTGTATTAATTCTACAAATTAGTAAAAAAGAAAGTTCTTTCATAGTCATGAATAAGCAGCTTTTCATAGTCATGAAAGAACTTTCTTTTTTACAAATTTGTAGAATTAATACAATCGATAGTATGTCAACCTAAATTTGTCGTTTAATACTTTGAAGTATTGGAAATACAAAAAATAATAAAAATTAAGATTATTTTTTAATTTAACATGCAAAAAATTTTCCTCACGCTAAGCAGCCGTGATTAAAAATACTCTAGCAGTTATTTTAGGCTTAATTAAAACGAAAATGAAAAGGTAACACTTTTCATTTCGTCAATTTGAGGATAAGATTTCGAACGCAGAAAAGAAATCTGTCAAATTCAACTTTTCCTTCGAAAGTTTTTTGAATTAGAATAGGTATGGAGAATTTAATCGTCAAACTATTTTCGAATGTTTGAAATGAAAAAGGAACAGAGTAAAGAACGTGCGAAATTTCGATCGAATTTAATTTTTCGGTGAAATAGAGTAGGCATCCTGAGGTAAAGAGATTATTGTAGAACATTTTTAAATGTAAACTTAGCGAGCAACTAATTAGCAATACGATATTCTGCAGTAATATACATCTACGAGCGTATTCTGGCCGTTTTTTTTAGATTGTAGAAAAATATCCCGCATTTTTTGTACCCATAAGGGTGGCAGCTGGGATGATTTGGAGTTAAGGGTTGATAATCAAATATTATAAGCAACGCTATTTTTCTGTAACTAATTAGCAACAAAATATCCAGCAGTTTTAAACATCTGCGTGCAAATTCGAACCGTCTACTATTTTTAAGTGAGTAGAGGGGTAGGATCTGAGGTTAGGGGATGATTGTAGAATACTCTTAACTGCGATTTTGGCGAGCAACTAATTAGCAACTAAATATGCCGCGTCTATTTTCCACCTACGAGAATTTTCCGATATCGTCCTATTCTGAGGTGGTTGCAGGGATGGTCTGGAGTTGAGGGTTGATAATTAAATACTATAAGCAACGCTATTTTGCAGCAACTAATTAGCAACGAAATACGCCGTAGTTTATATTCTCTGATGAGCTCTTTTTAATTTTATCGTATTTCGGGGGTAGTGTGGGTGCTGGTGCGGCAATTAAGGGATGATGGGGGGATAATACAAATAATGCTGTCCTACAGCAACTAATTAGCAACTAAATATGCCGTTTGCAGAACTTCGATATCTTTACGAGAACCGAAGATACAGTATTGTGGTCTGCTAGGTTAAGACTTAATCTAGCAGATCGCATGTATCTTTTACAGGTGTTGAGCAACTAAATCGGGAATAGTGTAACTAATTAGCAACTAAATATGCCGTTTGCAGAATTTCGATATCTTTACGAGAACCGAAGATACAGTATTGTGGTCTGCTCGGTTAAGACTTAATCTAGCAGATCGCATGTATCTTTTACAGGTGTTGAGCAACTAAATCGAGAATAGTGTAACTAATTAGCAACTAATTAGCAACTAAATATGCCGTTTGCAGAACTTCGATATCTTTACGAGAACCGAAGATACAGTATTGTGGTCTGCTAGGTTAAGACTTAATCTAGCAGATCGCATGTATCTTTTACAGGTGTTGAGCAACTAAATCGGGAATAGTGTAACTAATTAGCAACTAATGAGCAACTAAATATCCCGCGTCTATTTTCCACCTACGAGAATTTTCCGAAATCGTCCTATTCTGGGGTGGTTGCAGGGATGATCTGGAGTTAAGGGTTGATAATCAAATATTATAAGCAACGCTATTTTTCGGCATTTAATTAACAACAAAACATCCAGCAGTCTTAAACATCTGCGTGCGAATTTTAACCATCTACTGTTTCTAAGTGAGTAGAGGGGTTGCATCTGAGGTTAGGGGATGTTTGTAGAATACTCTTAATTGCGTTTTTGGCGAGCAACTAAAGTAACAAAATATCCAGCAGTTTTAAACATCTGCGTGCAAATTCGAACTGTCTACTATTTTTAGGTGAGTAGAGGGGATGGATCTGAGGTTAGGGGATGATTGTAGAATACTGTTAATTGCGTTTTTGGCGAGCAACTAATTAGTAACAAAATATCCAGCAGTTTTAAACATCTGCGTGCAAATTCGAACTGTCTACTATTTTTAAGTGAGTAGAGGGGATGGATCTGAGCTTAGGGGATGATTGTAGAATACTCTTAACTGCGTTTTTGGCGAGCAACTAATTAGCAACTAAATATGCCGCGTCTATTTTCCACCTACGAGAATTTTCCGATATCGTCCTATTCTGGGGTGGTTGCAGGGATGATCTGGAGTTAAGGGTTGATAATTAAACACTA